AGGACAACTTCACCACATCAAAGGGACGATGGACGGGGCCATGTACCGTCAAATCTTGGGTGAGAACCTCCTTCCCTCAGCCAGGGCATTGAAAATGGGTCGTGGATGGGTATTCCAGCATGACAATGACCCAAAACACACTGCCAAGGCAACAAAGGAGTGGCTCAAGAAGAGGCACATTAAGGTCCTGGAGTGGCCTAGCCAGTCTCCAAACCTTAATCCCATAGAAAATCTGTGGAGGGAGCTGAAGGTTCGAGTTGCCAAACGTCAGCCTCGAAACCTTAATGACTTGGAGGAGATCTGCAAAGAGGAGTGGGACAAAATCCCTCCTGAGATGTGTGCAAACCTGGTGGCCAACTACAAGAAACGTCTGACATGCGTTTTTCTGGACTTATTTGTTGTTATTCTGTCTCTCACTGTTCAAATAAACCTACCATTAAAATTATAGACTGATCATGTCTTTGTCAGTGGGCAAACGTACAAAATACGCAGGGGATCAAATGCTTTTTTTCCTCACTGTACATGTTTGTTTTGGGCTTCTTCCCTGTCGTTTTTCATGACGTACCTTGTGTTGGTTTGGAGTAAATAAAACCCCAAATACGTATTCCTGCGCCTGTCTTCAAATCATTATACAACGTGACCATATCCTAATGTTAGAAAGTAGAATATAAACTAGATATAGGCTACTATGGGTGGGGTAGGCTAAATAATTACAACTGAATAGGCGTAAAGAACTGTCAATGACTAATCATATCAATGGATGGAATCAGTGAATGAATGGCTGCAGCAACAGATGAGGCATAATTAGACAAAATAACAATTAAGTCGTTTAAACGACAGTGTTCTTCTTTTCCTTGGCCTTCAGGGCTTCCGTAAGATCTGCAGAGGGGAAGATCCATTGCTTCAAACTTGTGAGACAAAAAAAAGTCACATTTCCATTCAAATGCAAATGCAGTTTTATATTAAAAGATAGCAAAGGGATAATTCACTATATCACACAACACAGCTTGTTAGTACTGCAGGTACTATTCATATTTACACATTAAGTGACAACCAAACAAAGAAATCATAAATATCTCTTTTAGTTAACTTTACAACAGTTATATGTGACCAATATTTCTTAACATAAAACAGCATTATTAAATAAATGTCAGCAACCCTATCATTTACAATGTTTGGAAACACAGTGGTTAAATAATCCAGCAAAACAAAATGTTCTTCTCCAGTGAGTAATATTAATACAAGTCAAAACAATCATGAAATCCCTTTTGTACAAAATCCCTTTGTACAAAATCAACACAATATCTTTGACAATTTGTCTGCTTAAAATGCATGGTCAAATCTGTACAGTTTAGCAACCTTCGCTGAGTGGGTGGGATTCTGTGTGTTAGCATAGTTAATGATTGAAGCGTTGGTCAGATTGATGCATCTGTGATCCAACCATCAGAGACCTCAGGTAAAGTAGCTGCCAAGACCTTCTCTCATTGGCATCAGTGCTGTGGAATTCCCGTCTAGCAGCAAATCAGCATGTTGCTGAACTTGTTGAAGTTACTTCAATATATATGGTTTGAGAACTCAAACTGATATCTGTCCAGAGCAACGCTCCAATGCCTACCCTCTGCATTTCCATGACAGATAGAACAGTACAAAACAATGTTAATCTAAGGGCTAGATTCAATCCGTAACACTGAAGATCTGCACGATTGAAATTTAAAGGCAATGTGCTCACGTTCACGGAGACTGCATTCAGGGTAAACGCTGCATATGTCGGCTCAATTGGAAATTACCTTTCAATTTCAATTGCGCTAGAATGCAGATCTTCAGCGATAAGGCTTGAATCTAGGCCTTAATGTAATATATATTGTTTTTACTTGAATAATATGAATGGTTCCTTAAGTTGTCAGTGGTATATTTTTTGTCTAAGGTAACACCTCTGTGATTTATGGTTCATGGTAATCTCATATACTGTACAGCGCATTCAGAAAGTATTCAGACCCCTTTACTTTTTCCACATTTTGTTACATTACAGCCTTATTCTAAAATAGATTAGTTTTTTTCCCCTCATCAATCTACACACAATACCCCATAATGACAACACAAAAAAGGGTTTTAGAAATGTTTGAAAATATATATAAAATAAAAATTGGAAATATCACATTTACATAAGTATTCAGACCCTTTACTCAGTACTTTGTTGAAGAACCTTTGGCAGCGATTACAGCCTCGAGTCTTCTTGGGTATGACGCTACAAGCTTGGCACACTTGTATTTGGGGAGTTTCTCCCATTCTTCTCTGCAGATCCTCTCAAGCTCTGTCAGGTTGGATGGGGAGCGTTGCTGCACAGCTATTTTCAGGTCTCTCCAGAGATGTTCGATCGGGTTCAAATCCGGGCTCTGGCTGGGCCACTCAAGGACATTCAGATACTTGTCCCGAAGCCACTCCTGCGTTGTCTTGGCTGTGTGCTTAGGGTTGTTGTCCTGTTGGAAGGTGAACCTTCACCCCAGTCTGAGGTCCTGAGTGCTCTGGAGCAGGTTTTCATCAAGGATCTCTCTGTACTTTGCTCCGTTCATCTTTCCTTCGATCCTGACTAATATCCCAGTCCCTGCCGCTGAAAAACATCCCCACAGCATGATGCTGCCACCACCATGCTTCACCGTAGGGATGGTGCCAGGTTTCCTCCAGACGTGACGCTTGGCATTCAGGCCAAAGAGTTCAACCTTGGTTTCATCAGATCAGAGAATCTTGTTTCTCATGGTCTGAGAGTCTTTAGGTGCCTTTTGGCAAACTCCAACATGTGCCTTATACTGAGGAGTGGCTTCCGTCTGGCCACTCTACCATAAAGACCTGATTGGTGGAGTGCTGCAGAGATGGTTGTCCTTCTGGAAGGTTCTCCCATCTCCACAGAGGAACTCTAGAGCTCTGTCAGAGTGACCATCGGGTTCTTGGTCACCTCCCCGACCAAGGCCCTTCTCCCCCAATTGCTCAGTTTGGCCAGGCGGCCAACTCTAGGAAGAGTCTTGGTGGTTCCAAACTTCTTCCATTTAAGAATGATGGAGGCCACTGTGTTCTTGGGCATCTTCAATGCTGCAGAAATTGTTTGGTACCCTTCTTCAGATCTGTGCCTCGACACAATCTTGTCTCGGAGCTCTACGGACAATTTCTCCGACCTTCATAGCTCGGTTTTTGCTCTGACATGTACTGTCAACTTTGGGACCTTATATAGACAGGTGTGTGCCTTTCCAAATCATGTCCAATCCATTGAATTTACCACAGTTGGACTCCAATCAAGTTGTAGAAACATCTCAAGGATGATCAATGTAAACGGGATGCACTTGAGCTCAATTTCGAGTCACATTGCAAAGGGTCTGAATACTTATGTAAATAAGGTATCTGTTTTTTATTTTTAATAAATGTGCAAAAATTACTAAAAACCTGCTTTCACTTATGGGGTATTGTGTGTAGATTGATGAGGTAAAACAAGTGTTTAATCCATTTTAGAATAAGGCTGTAACGTTTAATTTTTTTTGGGGAAAAAGTCAAGGAGTCTGAATACTTTCCAAATGCACTGTATGTGTTTGATATTTCACAAAGGGCAACCTTGTCAAATGACATAATACACTGAAGCCTATTCTATTGTCTAGACTAGAACAGTGGACACTAAGTGCACAGTGCTTTACAGGTTCAGAGATGACAGATATCTGCTTTAATCAGAACAGCTAAAAGAATACCAAGCACATTTTACAACCTCCAGGAAATATAAAACCGAGGAAAGAAAAAAATGAAAATAATGTTTGGCACTTATACTTCATCGAGACTGCTATTCCCCGAGGACCAGAAATGGTTTACTTGCAGTTTACTTTAGATGTTATAAAATGAATGGATTTCAACGATTGCTAATGCAGTTTCCAGTACCAGTATAAAGAACCAGTTTCCAGTACCAGTCTAGAGTACCCATTTTCAGTACCAATCTAGAGTACCAGTTTCCAGTACCAGTCTAGAGTACCCATTTTCAGTACCAGTTTCCAGTACCAGTCTAGAGTACCAGTTAAGAGAGACCAGATAGATAAGTCCATGGTTGGATTTAGAAGAGTAGATATACAATGCGAAACATATGTCTGAAACAGATTGTCCCATTCCTGTGCTCTCCCATAGGTAACTGTCTGTCTGTCCGTCCTTTACGTGGCACATATCCCATACAATTTTCTTCTAGTGTAGATGTAGACGTAGCGAAGCTCCACCCTTTGGCACTGTCATAAATACAGTTCTACACAACACTCTCACCATTCTCTAAAATCAGCTAAAACCCACTCAAAGAACAAAGTTCATAAATACAGTTCATAAGGACATGGTATATGATGAGTGGCATATAGAGGTGAGAGCAGTTTGTTACATAGTCTCCTGCGGGAGTATATCGTTTTTAGCTTTGCCAAAAAGTTCACAAAAAATGCAATGTTATACACAACTAAGCGGCCCTCACCTTGAGGGGTTGAATTCTTTAAAAAGGCTCCAGATGTCATTTCATTCTCTTTTTATCATTTCCTTTCTCAGTGTCTTTTTTTTGCTTTCTTTTTCCAGCATGTTTGTAAATTGTCATTCAGTCTGTTGCCTGAAGAGGGTAGCAGTGAGTCAGTCTGCAGTTGTGAGAGGGTAGTGGTGAGAGTGCCGATGTGTGTGTGTAGGACGAAGTCCAGCGGGCGGAGGAGATGCCAGGTTTGTATGCATGCATAAATGTTTGTGTGTAGCATGAAGTATGTATGTGGCTTTAGTGTTTGTATGTACCACCTATCTGTGTGAGTGTCAGTTTGTGTATGACTCACTGTGGCCTGAAGCGTAAGTACGTACCGTTTACATATGAGTACTGTATGTATGTGTATATTGTATACAGGTGTGTGTGTGTGTGTGTGTGTATATAAGGGGTGTGTAGTTGAAGGGGTCAGGAGGACTAAGGGGGAAGAGTAGGAGTAGGGAGGCAGTGAATCGAGAGGCCTCCCTTACACCTCGCTCTCCGTGGAGGGTTTGCGCGCGGGGGTCCAGCCGGTGTCGGGCAGGCTGTGTTGGGGGTGTCGTTGGGGTGTGGCTGTGGCGGGGGTCAGCGTGTTTATGGACGAGCACTCCGACGTCTCCTCTTGGAGCAGCTGCTCCGTCTCGCCGTCGTCCAGCGAGGCGCTGCTGGCCTGCAGGGACACAGTGTCCGTGCGCATGCACGTGTGCAGACCGCCCCGCGACGGCTTCAGCTGCTTCAGGTCCTCCCAGTACAGCTCCTCGCTGGAGAGGAGACACACGCCCTCCACGATGCGGATCTTCTCCTTGGTGTAGCCGCTGTCCCCGCCCCCCTGAGGAAGTAGGAAGGAGAAAGAAGACACAGTAGAAGGGTTAGCTATGTTAGCCTAGCGCACGACGTAGACATCACCCATAATCACAGATCTAGGGTCAGATGATCATATCCCCAAAAGCATCTGAGGGGATGAAGAATATCTGACCCTGCATAAGTAGTTAGTAGAAAACTAAGCCTGTATCAGTGGTTAGACAGCAGCCATTTTGGAATAACTCATCAGAAAACTACTACAAACACTCCAGAGCAGGATGTTGTTGTAAATCTCTACCCATGCACAGTGGTAGTTTGCTTTTCAGTGAGATGTCCTCAAAACTGTCACTAGGCCACTCAGGAACATTCAATGTTGTCTAGGTAAGCAACTCCAGTGTATATTTGGCCTTGTGTTTTAGGTTATTGTCCTGCTGAATGGTGAATTTGTCTCCCAGTGTCTGTTGGAAAGCAGACTAAACCAGGTTTTCCTCAAGGATTTTAGCTCTATTCCGTTTATTTATATCCTAAAAAACTCCCTTGCCAATGACAAGCATATCCATAACATGATGCAGCCACAACCATGCTTGAAAATATGAAGAGTGGTACTAAATGACGTGTTGTGTTAGATTTGCCCCAAACATAACACTTTGTATTTAGGACATTAAGTTAATTCCGTAGCCAATTTTTTTTGCAGTATTACTTTAGTACCTTGTTGCAAACAGGATGCATGTTTTGGAATCTTTTTATTCTGAACAGGCTTTCTTTTCACTCTGTCATTTAGGTTAGTATTGTGGAGTAACTACAATGTTGTTGACCCATCCTCAGTTTTTTCCAATCACAGCCATTAACCCTAACCCTGAGCGGTTTCCTTCCTCTACGGCAACTGAGTTAGGAAGGACGCCCAAGTGACTGGGTGTATTCATACAACATCCAAAGTGTAATTAATAACTTTACCATGCTCAAAGGGATATTCAATGTCTGCTATTTTTTTTACCCATCTACCAATAGGTTCCCTTCTTTTTGAACCATTTGAAAACCTCCCTGGTCTTTGTGGTTGAATCTGTGTTTGAAATTCACTGCTCGACTGAGGGACCTTACAGGTAATTAATTGTATGTGTGGGGTACAGAGATGAGGTAGTCATTCAAAAATTATGTTAAACACTATCATTGCATCATTTCACTATCAGTGAATCCATGCAACTTATTATGTGACTTAAGTAAAATTTTACTTCTGAACTTATTTAGACTTGCAAAAAAAAAAGAAGGAGTTGAATACTTATTGACATTTCAGCATTTTATTTTAAATTAATTTGTAAAAATGTAGAAGAACATATTCCGCTGACATTATGGGGTATTGTGTGTAGGCCAGTGACACACAATCTCATTTTAATCCATTTTAAATTCAGGCTGTAACACAACAAATGTGGAAAAAGTCAAGGGGTGTAACTACTTTCTGAAGGCACTGTACGTCTCTACATTTGTTAAATAATTAGTTAAGTCAGTCATCAGAAACAGAAAGAGTCAGTTGTCATGTATGACCAAGCAGAGGAACAATAGTAGAGAGAGAGAGAGAGAGAGAGAGAGAACATGTACACATGCAAGGTGAAGGTGGGGACGAGAGAGAGAGAGAGAGAGAGAGAGAGAGAGAGAGAGAGAGAGAGAGATACAAAGGCGTGAGAGATACAGGAGGAGTGAAAGAGAGAGTGATAGGTTGATTGATTGGAGGGATTCCCCCATGCAGTGTGTGACTACCTCTCCGCAGGACAAAACAGGTCAAAAGAATAGAGGAGAGAGGCTGTTGTAAGGATGAGAGAGCTGCAGTGAAGGCGAGGGGGAAGAGAAGAAAGGAGAGATGAGTGGAGGGGTCGATCACCACTTGTGCCTCTTCATGTTTGGTTATAATTAAACTACTGTAAAGCAATCTATCTAAAGCATAGGAGATAGAGACAAACATTGAAAACTGGTATTTGTCTCAATGGTTACTTCCAGCTATACCATTTGAAACCCTTCGGTCACAATAGGCATACAGAAACCCAATGGATTCACATCAAATGTATCCGTTCCTCTATTAAACATGAGTTACTTTCTTATTCTCATTATAAGAGAATAACATACATTTCCATTTCCCCTTCAAATCGTGATTTCACCTTCAATTCACTTTTATGCTTTAGTCCCTCCAGAAAAATAACTGCTGCAAATGCTGCACATGCAAAAATGCTTCGCTAGATTAGAACACCGTCGACATTTTCTTACAATACTAAATAGGCCTGGATAGTTACCTCTTTCTTATATCGTAGCTGGTTGTAAATAGCCGGCTTCTGAGAGGTCTCGATCTTGACCTCTTGCGTTGACGTCCTGTATGAGGGGTTACTGTAGGTCAGGTTGCTCACCCCGGGGTCAGCAAACTTGGACTTTTTGTGTCTGAGGAAAGAAAGATGGGAAAACATCGTCCACACAGTCCACTGGTTAAAACTGTCCATGGGGTGGCTTTCTAGGTTAGCTCCCACAACAGACAAATGTCACAGGTCTAACGTAGCTTCCTCTCTGTTTGTTCTTTATCTGCACTGACATGAAACGATAAGTTACCTGACAGCAACATCGGCGAAATCTATTGGTGCTCAATTTGTTTTCACCTAATCACTTATTTCAGATCTGGGCAGATAAAGGGATGGAGAATAGACATATAGACATATTTATTTTATTACTAGCACTGACTTTGCTGGTGACTGCTTAATCGAGGAACATTTTACTTACTATGACTGATGTGGTTGTCTCACCTAGCTACTTTAAGATGAATGTACTAACTGTAAATTGATCTAGATTAGAGCCATCTAGATAAATGACTCAAATGTAAATGTCAAATGAGAGGAATTTTGAGTATTTAGAGAGGACTTGGTCTTACCTGTAAATAATGAATGCAGTGATGAGTATCAGGATGGCAAGAATGGTCAACGCTCCTCCAATCACATAGCTGATATGAAGCCCCTCCCCTGGGAAAGAAGTGTTGCAGATGAACATCAACCAATGAGTGGATTCCACTGCTATGACATCTAAACAATTAGATGTAGCCTCTAAATCAACACTGTACATTTGAAAGTGATGATGATAGTAATGATGACGCAAAGTGTGATAAAGACGCTACGAAGGGTAATAATCATGATAATGATGATGATTATGATGATGAAGCTGACTGATCTTTATCTTACCGTGAGGAGCCGTCACCACGTTGCTCTGTAAGCAGCCCTCCACACTCAGGATCTTGTCTGTGCAGCTACAAAACAGGATGTAAAAAATAGAACATGAACCATCAAACTGAGCCTATACTTTCTCACAAACTGAAGATATAAAGGTAAATATAAAAGTGATACAAGGTATTTAGTCAATATTCATATCAGACAGCACTCATTATGTATAAATAGGATCCCTTCAAGTCATGGTCGATGAGGTAAAATGTCAGGCCTGTAGTTGACATACTTGACCAGTGGGGGTCCTTGCTGAGACGTGTCTGTGGGGGCTTTGGGGATCTTGTTGGGGGCTGGGGTGCTGGTGGTCTCTCTGTCTGGTGAGGTGGGCACATAACCTGAGACTAAACAGAGGAACAATGATTAGTGTTTTAAAGATACATAAACAGATCACACACAAAGCTGGAATGTTGTTTATCAAAATAAGTTGTTTCTTACATACATGCACACACGCACGCAAGTACACACACACACACTCACTGGTGGAGCAGGGCCTGCTGTCTGGTTCATCAGGGCAGGCGCACACAAAGCTGTTTGTCTTAGCGAAGCAGAGATGAGTACATCCTCCATTATTCACCCCACAGTGGTTAGAGCCTGCAGGGAAGAGAAAATGCTTACTTTAACCTGTTAAACTCTGACGCCCTCTTGTGGCATTTTCACAACGGCGTACATCAAATCAAATCACATTTTATTGGTCACATACACATATTTAGCAGATGTTATTGCGGGTGTAGCGAAATGCTTGTGTTCCTAGCTCCAACAGTGCAGTAGTATCTAACAATTCAACAATTCACAACAATACACAAATCTAAAAGTAAAATAAATATATAAATATTAGGACGAGCAATGTCGGAGTGGCAATGACTAAATACAGTAGAATAGAATACAGTATCTACAAATGAGATGAGTAAAGCAGTATGTAAACATTTTTAAAGTGACTTGTGTTCCATTATTAAAGTGGCCAGTGATTCCATGGCTATGTATATAGGGCAGCGGTCTCTAAGGTGCAAGGTTGAGTAACCGGGTGGTAGCCAGCTAGTGATGGCTATTTAACAGTCTGATGGCCTTGAGATAGAAGCTGTTTTTCAATCTCTTGGTCCCAGCTTTGATGGACCTGTACTGACCTCGCCTTCTGGATGATAGCGGGGTGAACAGTCAGTAGCTTGGGTGGTTGATGTCCTTGATGATCTTTTTGGCCTTCCTGTGACATTGGGTGCTGTAGGTGTCCTTGAGGGCAGGCAGTGTGCCTCCAGTGATGTATTGGGCAGACCGCACCACCCTCTGGAGAGCCCTGCGGTTACGGGCGGGGAAGTTGCTGTACCAGGCAGTGATACAGCCCGACAGGATGCTCTCAATTTTGCATCTGTAAAAGTTTCTGAGGGTCTTAGGGGCCAGGACTAATTTCTTCAGCCTCCAGAGGTTGCAGAGGCGCTGTTGCGCCTTCTTCACCACACTGTCTGTGTGGGTGGACCATTTCAGATTGTCAGTGATGTGTACGAGGAACTTGAAGCTTTCCACCTTCTCATTTTACATTACATTTTAGTCATTTAGCAGACGCTCTTATCCAGAGCGACTTACAGTTAGTGAATACATATTTTTTTTAACTGGCCCCCCGTGGGAATTGAACCCACAACCCTGGCGTTGCAAACGCCATGCTCTATCAACTGAGCTACATCCCTGCCGGCCATTCCCTCCCCTACCCTGGACGACACTGGGCCAATTGTGCGCCGCCCATGAGTCTCCCGGTCGCGGCCGGCTGCGACAGAGCCTGGATTCGAACCAGGATCTCTAGTGGCACAGTTAGCACTGCGCCACTCAGGAGTTCTCCACTGCGGTCCCGTCGATCTGGAGAGGGGCGTGCTCCCTCTGCTGTTTCCTGAAGTCCACGTTCAGCTCCTTCATTTTGTTGACATTGAGGGAGATGTTATTTTCCTGGCACCACTCTGCCAGGGCTCTCACCTCCTCTCTGTAGGCTGACTCGTCATTGTTGGTAATCAGTCCTACTACTGTTGTGTCATCCGCAAACTTGATGATTGAGTTGGAGGCGTGCGTGGCCACACAGTCATGGGTGAACAGGGAGTACAGGAAGGGGCTGAGCACGCCCCCTTGTGGGGCCCCTGTGTTGAGGATCAGCGAAGTGGAGGTGTTGTTTCCTTCCTTCACTACCTGGGGGCGGCCCGTCAGGAAGTCCAGGATCTAGTTGCACAGGGCGGGGTTCAGACCCAGGGCCCCGAGTTTAATGATGAGCTTGGAGGGTACTATGGTGATGAAGGCTGACATAGGTATTCCTCTTGTCCAGATGGGATAGGGCAGTGTGATGGCTATTGCATCGTCTGTGGATCTATTGGGACGGTAAGCAAATTGAAGTGGGTCTAGGTTGTCAGGTAAGATAGAGGTGATATGATCCTTAACTAGCCTCTCAAAGCACTTCATGATGACAGAAGTGAGTGCTACGGGGCGATAATCATTTAGTTCAGTTACCTTTGCTTTCTTGGGTTCAGGAACAATGTTTGACATATTGAAGCAAGTGGGGATAGCAGACTGGGATAGGGAGAGATTGAATATGTCCGTAAACACTCCAGCCAGCTGGTCTGCGCATGCTTTGAGGAGACGGCTAGGGATGCCATCTGGGCCGGTAGCCTTGAGAAAGTTAACCCGCTTAAATGTCTTACTCACGTCGGCCACGGAGAACGAGAGCCCACAGTCTTTGGGAGCGGGCCGCGTCGGTGGCACTGTGTTATCCTCAAAGCGGGCGAAGAAGGTGTTTAGCTTGTCTGGGACCAAGACGTTGGTGTCCGCGACGTGGCTAGTTTTCCCTTTGTAATCTGTGATTGTCTGTAGACCCTGCCACATATTTCTTGTGTCTGAGCCATTGAATTGCGACTCCACTTTGTCTCTGTACTGACGTTTTGCCTGTTTGATTGCCTTACGGAGGGAATAACTACACTGTTTGTATTCAACCATATTCCCAGTCACCTTGCCATGCTTAAATGCGGTGGTTCGCACTTTCAGTTTTGCGCGAATGCTGCCATCTATCCACCGTTTCTGGTTTGGGTAGGTTTTAATAGTCACCATGGGAACATCATCTCCTATACACTTCCTGATGAACTCAAGTCATCGTGTCCGTGTAAACGTCAATGTTATTCTCAGAGGCTACCCGGAACATATCCCAGTCCGCGTGATCAAAACAATCTTGAAGCATGGATTCCGATTGGTCAGACCAGCGTTGAATAGACCTTAGCACGGGTACTTCTTGTTTGAGCAAAATGGAGTCGTGATCTGATTTGCCGAAGGGAGGGCTGGGGGCCTTGTAGGCATCTCAAAAAGGCGAGTAGCAGTGGTCTAGGGTTATTCTTAAGCAAGTACTACAATCAATGGCTGCTTGAACTTCGGTAGCATTTTCCTCAAATTTGCTTTGTTAAAATCCCCAGCTACAATAAATGCGGCCTCAGGATATTTGGTTTCCAGTTTGCATAAAGTCCAGTGTAGTTCCTTGAGGGCCATCGTGGTATTGGCTTGAGGGGGAATATACACGGCTGTGACTAACATATATTTTATGCTTCATGAAAGACATTTAGATTTCAACAAATACATGCTTAGTACTATTAGAAATAGTCAGCAACAACGTGACTATTACAGAGCCAGAGCAACTGCAGGTAAAGGGAAGTAAAATTGTCAGTACATTTTAAGAGAAAAATAGTTTTGAAAGTCTAGGTTTGAAATAAAATATACCACTAATAACTGTTCCAAAAGGATTTTAAAAAACAAGTCAGATATTTTACCTAATGGTGGCGCTATAAACATGCACAACTTCCCATAGGGCTTGTGCAACTCCTCCATTTTTCGACGTACAGGAATAACATACATATGTGAAGAAAACTGACGTTGCTACCTTTCCACTAATGTAATTAGATTTCCTGTCTGATTCCCAGTTCGTCCGCTAAATAGCAGCTGAAGATCACGAGGTCTCCTGGCCACTTGAAACCAGATGTGTCTGGTTGGGCAATGAGCTCAGTGTCAAAACTGGACAGATTTTGACGCCTGACATCTTAAAATGACCCTAGCGATTGGGGCTTTCAAGTTATTATTTTTTTAATAACACACAGATAGGTGAGGAAACGTCAAACTTATTTTCCCATTCAATTACCCCATAGTAAACGAGTCAGATATAGCAATGGTACATACTGAAGGATACATCCAAGGTAATGAATTGAGAAAGAAATGCATTGCATTATGATCACCAGGGTGTACATTTCACATTTACATTTGACATTTTCGTCATTTAGCAGACGATCTTATCCAGATTTAGCAGACACTCTTATCCAGAGCGGCTTACATCTAGTGCATTCATCTTAAGACAGCTAGGTGGGGCGTTGGGGGAGGGGGGGCATGCTTAGGACATTGCCAGCAGTAAGATTTGAGGTTGATTTCCAAAAAGACAATTGCTGTAGCTTTTGAATGGTATGTAATTTTGTATTTTTTTACCGTAATTGACGGGATGGATACCCCTTTAGCTGAACGGCCATTGTTTAGCAAGGTTTACTCAACAGATGAAGAAGAGTTTGTAGAGATTCACAATACAATGTTGAACACTTTTACTGTTGTTGAGTAAAAAACTATGTTTACCTCAGCTCTAAACAAGGCATGAATTACATAACACACACTGTAAATACCATCCTTGAGTGTGACCACCAGTATAAGGTGAAAGCTTAAATTAAAAAATTTAAAAACATCCCAGAAATGCCTCGTTACCACTAAGTCACTGTGGCGACACCACAATGGGGGTTGAAGGTAGAAGCTGGCTCTAATCATCTAGGATCAGATTACCCTCAATCCTAACCTTCGCCATAAGAAGATGAACAAATACTTGAACCGGTATCAGTAGTTAGGGGCAACTTACCGCTCGCTCAAGGGTAAAGTTCCCCCTTCGGTACAGATCTAGGATCAGCTTCCCCTACCCAATCCTAACCTTAACCATTAGTCGGGAAAATGCTAAAATGACCCAAGATCAGTGTCTAGGGGCAACTTCACCCTGCTCCCTTACCGCTCTGCCTCTGTGGTGAGACTACGATGATGTCCATGAGACCCTCCACGTTGGCCAGGACCGTCTCCTTGCTGCGGCCAGTGTGTTTGTCCACACGCTGGATGGACTTAGTCTGCCAGTCCGTCCAGTAGATCCAACGGTCTTGCTGCGAGAGTCGGGAGAAAGGGGTTAGAGGGGAGGACACCGGCTTCAACTGGGGGAACAAGGTAGAGAAAAAGAGGAGAGAAAGAAACACAGACAAGGAGGAAGAGAGAGAGGGAGGAAGAAAATGAAGGTCAGAGATGAAGGGAAGTAGAATGGTTCAGTTTTATGGTTCAGTATGAGTGGAGGAGGAGGGAGAGCAAGTGAGGCAGTGAACAAACAAGTGAGTGGAGGAGGAGTGAGAGAGAAAGTGAGTGGACGTGGCAGCCAGGGGGAGGAGTCAGGTGGTTGATTGACAGCTGGGGGGTACCTGTGTGAGGGCGAAGGGGTGGGACACAGGGCTGATGAGGATTTGACGGAGCTTTCCGTTTAGGTCGGAACTCTCAATGCGGTCCAGGTGAGCATCCACCCAGAAGATCCTACACACACACACACACGGAGGAGTTAAACACACACATTCATAGTACATTTACATTTTAGTCATATAGCAGATGCTCTTATCCAGAGCGACTTACAGTTAGTGAATAAATATATATATATATATATATATATATATATATATATATATTTTTTTTTTTTTTACTGGCCCCCCGTGGGAAACGAACCCACAACCCTGGCGTTGCAAACGCCATGCTCTATCAACTGAGCTACATCCCTGCCGGCCATTCCCTCCCCTACCCTGGACGACGCTGGGCCAATTGTGCGCCGCCCATGAGTCTCCCGGTCGCGGCCGGCTGCGACAGAGCCTGGATTCGAACCAGGATATCTAGTGGCACAGTTAGCACTGCGATGCAGTGCCTTAGACCACTGCGCCACGCAGGAGTACATATAGTAGTACAGTACATATACATACTAGGCAAAAATACTTGCAAGAGATATTAGACAGAGATGAGAGGGATTTAACAGGAATTGACATCAAAGCTATCCTATTAAGAGGCCAGAAAACTCCTGTACTGTACTATGATTAACTACACAAAACAGAATGCTCTGCAGAAAATAATTCGATTTTGTTAGTTCCTAATATTTTCAGTCTTTCTCTCCCTCTTTCCCGGTCTCTGGCTGTCACACTCTCCCTTCCACTCCCTCTGCAGGTTTACATTTATCGGGATGAGTCTTGTCCCGGAGGCAGAACTGAGCAATTTCTGCTAGATGGGCCAGCTGCAAAGTCAAAATTGGCTATATTGTAAAATTCATGAAAACAAAACTTTGCTTTTTGGTCTTAATTTAAAGTTAATTGAAGGGTTAAGCATTAGGGTTAGCAGTGTGGTTAAGGTTAGAGTTAAGGCTAGGCAGCTAGTGACGAAAAACACTAACCTGCGCTCTCACTCTCTCTCTCCCTCCCTACCATTCCCTCTCACTCCTTTATCTCTGTCTGTCATTCCCTTATTCCCTCCCTCTCTCCCTCCCTATCAATCCCTCTCTCTCTCCTGTATCTCTGTCTGTCATTCCCTTATTCCCTCCCTCCCTACCACTCCCTCCCTCTCTTGTATCTCTGTCTGCCATTCCCTTATTCCCTCCCTGTCTCCATCCCCCTCCCTTCCACTCTCTTCCTCCCGCTCTCTCTTTCTAACCTGCGTGTGTCGTAGTCCAGTGTGAGTCCGTTGGGCCAGCCCAGGTCTGTGTTAATCAGAACTTTACGGTCTGATCCGTCTAGGTGTGCCCGCTCGATCTTAGCAATGTGACCCCAGTCTGTCCAGAACAGGTACCTAGGGAGACCAATGAAACAATAACAACCCAGTTCCCACATCCCGCCCCCCACACATACACAAACACGCATATATAAACACCCACAAAACCAATCTCTTCCACTACACCCTTCCACCCTCTTCCCTCAACCTTAACGCTTTCCCCCCTCTATCCCTCCTCCTCTCCCCTCTCTCACCCTTTGCTGGGAAACACAGCGATGGCCCTGGGTTCATCCAGGCTGTTGTTGACTAGTACTTTGCGGCTGGTCCCGTCCAGTCGGGCCACCTCGATGGTGTTGCGACCTGTGTCCGTCCAGTACATATTCCTGGTCACCCAGTCCACAGCCAGACCATCAGTGGTTTTCAGACCCTGGCTTATCACTGTCTCCATCCCTGTACCATCTAGGTTGGCCCGTCTGAACAGCACAGGAGAAGTTAAGTCAATCAATCAATTAATCAATCAACAAATCAATAAATTATATCAATTATTAAATCAAATCTTATTGGTACAGTGCCTTTCTATTGCTCAAATACATTAATTGCAAAGAGTTAAAACCCCAAATAGTACGAAAAAGTGACAGTGACAAGTGAGTGAGAGTGTATGTATTGTGTGTGTATACACTGAGTGTACAATCATTAGGAACACCTGCTCTTTACATGACATAGACTGACCAGGTGAATCCAGTTGAAAGCTATGATCCCTTACTGATGTCACCTGTTAAATCCACTTCAAATCAGGGGAGGACACAGGTTAAAGATGGATTTTTAAGCCTTGAGACAATTGAAACATGGATTGTGTATGTGTGCCATTCAGATGGTGAATGAGCAAGACAAAAGATGTAAGTGCCTTTGAACGGGATATGGTAGTAGGTGCCAGGCACACCAGTTTGAGTGTGTCAAGAACTGCAACACTGCTGGGTTTTTCACGCTCAGTTTCCCGTGTGTATCAAGAATGGCCCACCACCCAAAGGACATCCAGCCAACGGCAGGCCAGTGGTTGAAAACAGGTCATTGATGAGAGAGGACAAAGGAGGCTGACACGAATTGACGGACAACAGTTAGTCAACTGACAGTCCAGTACAACATTTGTCCCCAAAGACCCATACAATAATGCACAACTCGTCGTACCTTGACATGAATGGGGTATGGCAGCCGATGACCTTACAGTTCCACTTCTTTCAGCAAAAAACAATAAACTGCGGTTACAGTGGGCTAAGGAACGAAATCACTGGAAACTGGAGAATTGGAAAAACATTGCCTGGTCTGATGAATCCCGGTTCCTGCTATTTCACGGTGATGGGAGGACTAGGGTATGGAGAAAACCACATGAGTACATGCATCCATCATGTTGCGTGTCAACATTGCAGGCTGGTGGTGGTGTGATGGTGTGGGGTGTGTTTTCATGGCACACATTGGGTCCCTTGATAAAAGTGGAGCTACGTTTGAATGCCACAGGATATCTGAACATCATTGCCAATCAGGTGCATCCCTTCATGGCAGCAGTGTATCCATCTGCAAATTGATTTTTTCAGCTGGATAATGCCCCATGCCACAAGGCTAGGATTGTCCAGGAATGGTTCCACAAACATCAGTGAATTCAGTGTGGAACGCTTTTGACACCTTGTAGAGTCCATGCCCCAACGAATTGAGGCTGTTCTGAGGGCAAAAGGGGGTGCAACTCAATATTAGGAAGGTGTTCCTAATGTTTTGTACACTCAGTGTATATTGTGTGTGAGTGTGTCTTTTTAGCATACCTGATAACATCGAGGCTGACATCGGTGTAGTACAGCTTCCCGTCCACACTGTCGTAGTCCAGTGAGATGACGTTGTGCAGCTCGGGCACGGGCACATGAACGTCCGTGTGGTCATTTGTGTCCAGGGAGATGCGTCGCACGCTGACCCGGTTGGAGAAGAGCAGGTAGGTCTCGGGGGAGTCGTCACATGACCTGGCGTCCCCCTTGAGGAGGATGCCAGTGGGACAGGCACAGGAAGTACCGTTGGGTCGGGGCAGACACAGGTGGCTACAGCCCCCGTTCCTTCTACCACACTTATTGAAACCTGGAGAGGGGGAGGGAGGGGTGTGGGGGGAGAGAGAGAGAGAGAGGGAGAGATGGTGTGTAAGAGAGAGAGAAAGAAGCAAACCAAGTCAGACTTTTGTTGCAGGTACACAAATAGGGGTAGCAACAGTATATTTACGGGTTTCATTACATTCCCATTACATACAGGCAACTGATTCCATTGAAAGTGAAGTGAGAGAGGGAAGACAAACAATAAATAGAAAATACAGGGGACAAAGGGAGGTAAGCAAACCGGTAAGTGCCACGCAATTCCAAGCACACACCAACCAAACAACCTTCCCAGATTATTTGCAGTCATGTGATTTTCTAAAATTAAATGACGACAAGTAAGGTCACTCCCATAGAATTCTATGGTCACTCCAACTAAGGCCAACTTTGAATCGTTGATGTATCTGGCTTTTATGCGACATGCACAATAGCCTTGGGACGAGGTTAAACCAACGCAAACCCCTACCCACACCTTCCTCTATGCTGTTCCAAGGCCAGTGTGCCATTCGTGCACTCACCCAGTGGCTTCTCTCTATCCACAGCCTGTATGTCCATGAGCCCAGGTAGGTTGCTGCGTACGGTGATGGTGTTGGCGCCGGTGGTTTTGTCAGCCCGCTGGATGCTGCGGCTCTGCCAGTCGGTCCAGTAGATGTGTGGTCCTAGTAGGGTCAGACCGTACGGGTGCTGGACCGGGGATACCAGGGTATGGCGGTTCAGCCCGTTCAGGTCTGCCGCCTCGATGCGCTACAGGAGGGTAAAACTTTGTTAATTCACTGACTCAATAGGCCGGTTTCTCAGACACAGAATAAGCCTAGTCCTGGATTTTAAAAACTATTTCAATTAAGATTATCCATTCTTCTTCTCCAATAAGAACACAGAATTGTCATTTCAGTGGCAAAATGCTTTTGCTATGGTGTGTCCTACTTTAAACATGACCCAGCTGTGGTAGAGCTGGGCTGGAACAAAAGCCTGCACAGCTTTTCGGACGGGGCGACTGACCTCTGTGTGCGCGTCGGCCCACAGTAGCTGTGAGCCGGCACTGTCGATGGCCAGTCCATTAGGCCAGCCTAGGTTGTTACTGATCAGAACCAAACGGTCCGAGCCATCCATCGATGACCGCTCCAGTTTAGCATGCTCCCCCCAATCTGTCCAGTACATATACCTGGAGGAGAGAGAGAGAGAGAGAAATGAGCAAGTCGTTAGCGACTGACAAAGTAGGGCTAACTATTGCCCAATCTAGGCTATTTAGAAAGTAAATTGCTGGGGTGTAATTCACGACGGGTCAACTTTTATTGACGAAAATATCGAAATACCTAAAACACACAGGAACCAACTCTCTCACAGGAACTAACTAACAGTCTGCATATGATTATTCAGTAAATTGATAGTAAAAATTACATTTTAATTTAAAAACAAGTGCAAAATCAGAACCTGGAGCTAAACACACTGCTCTGCACAGCGAATCTTAATTGACTGACAGCCAAAATAACTCCTTACCCCATCTCGTGGTAGAGGGCGATGGCTCGCGGGCTGTCCAGGTTCTGCCAGATCAGAACCTTCCTCATGGAGCCATCCAGGTTGGCCACCTCGATCCGGTTCGTTCCGGTGTCAGTCCAGTAGATCTTTCGGCCCACCGCATCCACCACCAGACCATCAGTGGTCATCAGACCTGGAGAACGAGAGAAAGAGAGAGGAAGAAGGAAGGAAGGAAGGAAGGAAAAGAAAGAAAGAGAGAAAGAAAAAGAAAGAAAGAGGAAGTGTGGAAGAAAGGAGCAAAGGAGATACAGTTAGGGAGAAGAGAGAGGATTAGAGGAAGTGAGAGAGAAAGGAGAGATAAGTATAGAAGTTGAAATATTTCTGTGCTACAGGTCATTTGTTTTACATAATAGATTACTATTCCTCTGTAATACAGCAGAAAGACAAAAAAGACACTAGCCTAGTACTATCTGTAATATGATTCAGATATGTTTTCTTTTATGAAATAAAGCTGATTGATTATTTCCCTCACCTGTAGCGATGATATCCTCATGAGCCGTCCCATTCATGTTAGCTCTACTCACCTTCTTCAATGTGCTGTCTGACCAGTACACTTTACCTGCAGGGGGCAGTAGACACACACTCATCAAGGTTACAAAGACATACTGTTAGTCACTGTTTACTGTTAGTGCGTGCAAATGGAACAGCGTGTGCACATCAGTGGAGGCTCCTCAGAGGAGGAAGTGGAGGACCATCCTCAATGAATTTCATAAAAATTTAAATAGTGAAACATTAAAAAGTTATCCTTTATAGATAAAACTATACTAACTATATTCACATCACCAAATAATTAATTAAAACACACTGTTTTGCAATGAAGGTCTACAGTCGCCTCAAAAGCACTCTCTGGGGTAGTACCATTGACTTCAATACAAAACCTAGGACTTACACAGTTATTATGACAACTTCCGGAGGACGCCCACCAACCTATCAGAGCTCTTGCAGCATAAACCGGCATGTTGTTCACCCAATCAAAGAATCAGAGAACAAATACATTTCTTCAAAAATGAAGGAGAAGCAAGAGAGAGAGAGAGCGAGCTAGCTATATTTTGTTGTATTTCTTTCACTTTCCCTTACTTAGCTAATTAATGCTATCCAACACTGGAACTCTTCCAAGTCAAGATAAGCTTTTGGTTTAACTGCTAAACTGCTTGCTGTACATTGTACTGCATGATTGTAGCGGGTTTACTAATGCGTTAGTTTTAGTAGCTATGTTGACTATGACATTAGCTAATATGGTGACAACGATGTGTAGCGGTTAGCGGTTTGGCTTGGAAAGGTTTTTTCGCCTGGTCACAGACAGCTGTTGTGTTGCGCAATGAAGTCCACAAGCGAAGGGAAAAGGAGAGAGGACAGCGTAAATGCGAGAAGGAAATATACAATGAGCAAAGTGATCATGCTGTTTGTATGTGGCTTCTATGAAAGTGAACTGTGGGTGGGTGATCAGGGGTGTACTCATTCCACCGGTTCTGTTGAAAAACTTTTCTTAAGAGGAAGAAAACGGAACGGGGATAAACATACCTGCATTTTTTCCAATAGAAACTCTTGTTTGCAACTGCTGAACTAATGATTACACCCTAGATCAGCTAGATGTAGGGAAAAGTGTGCAAGGCAGTATTGAATGCGTCATTCACTGTCTGTCACCTTGATTACTAAAACATTTCTCTCAACCTGTGCACGTACGTGGTAAACTTTCATTGGTAGGATAGGTTGTAGAAACCTCATGATGGTTATTGGGAACATTTTTGTATCATGTAGTAGCCTAAACCTATCAATGTTACATTGAGCTGGGTGAATAAAATATGAATGACAGTCATCCAATATGCTGTAATATAAATAAGGCCATGCTCATTGAAAAAAATGTTGTGCTCCCTCATCTTAAATGGCACTGACCACCAGATCAAAAATAAAAAAATGACACTGTTTTGTCAAAGGACACTGATGATGAAGCCCTTTCGGGCTAAACATCTGGTCTGAAAGATGGAATACATATATTATATTTTTTTTTACTGCAAAAACTAAGTGCAGACCTTCCTCATTTTCCTGTTCATACCACACTGAGATCACAGAAAAGCTGAAACACACGCACAGATGCACACACATACACACCCTCTTTGGGGTCCACCCCGATGGCGATGGTGTTTTTCATGGATCCGTTGACAGCCAGCACCACATCAGCAAAGTATGGGGATATCCAGAGAGACCATCCTGATATCGGTCCGCCGTGCAAAGATAAGGAAACTACTCATCCCTACAACCAAGAGACACAACACTGTCAGTTGAACTAAGCTTATGTGGCATTTGTAAGTGATATTCTTTAAGAATCAATGGGCTGTAAATACTGATTCACATCTTGGGCCTTGACGGTGCAGGTAGTAATTAAAGGAATGTCAGCAGTAACGTTTTCAAGATAGAGCACTTACAGTACAAAGCAAAGCGTGTGATGATAATGCAAAACACATTATCATCACACTTTTAGATTTTTACTGAAAGTGCTCCATCTTGAAAACTTTACTGCTGACATGCACGCTTGTTGGGACCATATCAACAGCGGACTAATTAACAAAATACTAAACTACGTTTTTTTTTCTCTCGTTTAAATCATGGATGAGACAATATTTTGTTATATCAATTAACCATTGTTATCAATCTATTTGTGGTATCTTGGAAGACGTAGTTTATTTACAAACATCAATATATCTGTATCTCTGTGATGATATATATGATATAGTGTTGTTTTTAAAAAGTTGTTTTTAACCTTTATTCTACCAGGTAGTCATACTGAGACCAAGGTCTCTTTTATAGAAGAGCCCTGAATTTCAGAAAATACAAAATGCAAGCAGAAACAGAACAAGTTCATAAAACATAAACACATTAATCAGTAATAAGGTCCTCAATCAGGTGTCTAAATTGCCCCAGAGGCACCAAAACATCCAATGTACCATGGGGTTGTTGTACAATGGGTGCTGGTAATATAATAATATGACATTGTTGCTATGCTACCGTGTGTGCAGGTCTTTCCGTCCAGCTGAAGGTTGATGCCAGTAGGACAGGTACAGCTGGAGCCTTTAGGGGGTGGGGCCAACAGACACAGGTGACTGCAGCCCCCATTATTCACCGCACAGGGGGTCCGCACTAGAGAGAGAGGGATAGAGGGGGGAGAGAGCGCAATATAAAATTATTCAACATGTAAATGTAAGATTATAGTATATGTTGCCCACTCACAAACTATTGCAACAATGACATCTATTTCTCACTCATTTAACAGTTGAGAGTTTAAAAATGATCTCAAACACAATTTAACCGGGCGCTCTAGACTAGAACCTCCATGAGGTCTGTGCAGCAGGCTGAACATTTGACATCCCTACTCTGATAAGTGCTGCTTCAGCCTGGTATGAGCCCCAGGTGCTTTTTTCCCTCTGAACCACATATCTAGGATCAGTTTACCTGGTCCCTAATCCCCCTAGTGACAGGGAGGGACAGTGGACCTGGTGTTGGGGGTGGGGGTCTAGTATCTTGTCACAAAATACTCAGAAGGCGGCCAACAGGTCATGCACACGCACACACACCTGTGGTGCGGTAGCGGTGGAACATGTGAATATCCATGAGGTTCTCCAGGTTCTCGGCGAGTGTCTGTCGTCCCAGGCCAGTCATTTTGTTGGCACTCTGGATGCTCTTGGACTGCCAGTCCGTCCAATAGAGCTTCTCCTCATGCAGAGTCAGCCCAAAGGGGTGGGGTAACTGACTGCCAATCAACACCTGGACACCAATGGAGGGGAGAGGGGCGGGGAATAAAAATAAATATATTAGCCAGTAGTCTGATTTACAGAGTAAAAAGCCTCACTTGATTAAATACCCATCCAACAAACAAAAATATATTGAAAATAAGCTAAAACTTCAAAAGACTATCCCTTCAAGACCACCTCACCTGTCTGTCTGAGCCGTCAAAGTTGCCAAACTCGATGGTCTTCATCCCGGCGTCGGCCCAGTACAGGCGCTGTGTTTGGTAGTCAATTGCCAGTCCGTTAGGCCACGTCAGGTTGGAAGAGATGATGACGATACGGCTGGATGCGTCCATCCCTGCCTGCTCTATCTTAGGACTCACACCCCAGTCTGTCCAGTACATGTATCTATGGTACACAGGGAAAATCATGCATCAGTAAACTGTACATGTATGTGGTATGCAAAAGTCATCTGTATACTGTATGTTCAGATTAGGTGTCTGTGGTAAACAACAAAATCCATGCTGCGCTAACGTTTTAGTATTTTACCAACTTATTGGACTGCTGGAAAAAAAAGGTGTTTTCACACGCTACTCTGTAAACTATTGTCAGAGGTGTCATTGACATCTGACGCCTGATATTGACCCTTGACCTCTGACTCACCCTCCAATTGGGTCAACCACGATGTCCCTGGGTCGGTCCAGATTCTCCCAGATCAGGACAGTACGCATGCTCCCGTCTGCATTAGATACTTCGATACGATCTGTACCTGATCTCACACACACACACACACGCACACAATTCATTATGGTTCGTACAACAAATGACTCAATAAAGACTTGTCAATAAAGACTTCCTGGTAGTCTATAGCTGACATGATACACAAACGGAAGTTTGTACCACTACCCTATAGTAATTTAAATCTAGAACACCGGTACAGTTAAGGATTCTTACCTGCGTCGGTCCAGTAGAGTTTGTTGGTCACCCAGTCAATAGCCAGACCGGCTGGACTTTCCAGACTGGTGTCCACCACCACCTGACACACACAATAACAACTCATTACAATACAGTACAGTAACTTCAATGAAATACTCCCCCATTGCAACAAGGTCAAACAGCTGTGAAATTAACTGTGATACCAAACTCTCATCAATAGGTGGCGATATTTGGTTAAAAGTAAAGTGCAAGGGACTTTTAGCAATACTCTGATCTCATCAAAACATCAACCACTATAACACTAAACTGTTTTCTTCTCTATAACTAGCTATTTTACTTGTAATGATCTTGATGGGTGGTTGTCTCATCTACTTTAGTTGAATGCACCATCCATTGTACAGTAAGTGGCTCTGGATAGGAGCATCTGCTAAGAAAGTAATATGGGGCAGAACTGACCTCCTGCTTGGAGCCGTCCCATTGGGCCCGGTTGATGGAGTCGGTGGTGACGTCCGTCCAATAGATTAAGCCCTCCTCAGCGTGCCAGTCCAGTGCCACGGCGTTGCGTATGTCAGCCAGTGGGATGACATCATCCGACATGTCCTCGGTGTCAAAGCTGATTCGTCGGATGTCCGTCCTTCGGGCAAAAAGCAGGAACTTGTCAAGACCTGATCAAAGACCAAAGGTCTTCTGTCAGTGCTCTAGGATTAACAACGGGGTCATCACAACACACACAACACAACAACATACAACAAGGCTCTGTTTCAATTGTCCACACTAGCGTACCCCTTAGAATTAAGAAATGTATTGGGCATTCTAGTGTGGACAATTGGAACCTAACTAAACTAACACATGGTTTAAAGGGCAATTCCGCCACCTTTCAACCTCATATTCATTATCTCCAGCACCAAACCAGTGTCTACATATGTGAAAACAGCTAGATAAGAAGCTAGATAAGAAGAAAGGTCCTAAAAAATGCTTGTCTGTGACTTCACAGGGTAGGATTAAAAGTAAGAAAAACTGTGATTTTCAAAACCTGCAACAAGTTTCTAGCCAGAGGGAGGGTATTTTCTTGCTCCCCACGTCACCGCAAATCTCATAGTGTTTGAAAATCACTGTTTAATTATTTATTTTTTTGACTTTATATTTTGTTCTATAAAACACAGAAATATGCTGTTTTCACATATGTAGATACTGGTATTGTGCTGGAGATAATGAAACATAGGTTTAAAAGTGGTGTAGTCGCCCTTTAACATCAGCTAACTGGACTGAAAATGTATTAGCAAACATTTGAGTTTATATTTAGAATAAAGTAATGACTAAATTAACACAAAAAGATTTACAACTCTAAATCATCACATTAAAATGTCAACAAATATTATGTTATTCTACATAGAGTGTGTTCTTGTAGGCCAGTAAGTATACTCACTCAGGGCACAGTTATGCTGGTCCACTTTCTTGAAGCCCGTGGGGCAGTCGCAGGTATAGGTCTTGTTGCCAGGGAGACAGAGGTGGCTGCAGCCCCCGTTGTTGGTCCCACATCGGTTACGCCCACCTGGAGAAAAGAGGAGGGGAGAGAGGTTAGAAGCACTGAATGAGTGAGTGACTGAGTGAGTGTGCAGGTGTGTTACTGACTAACAGAGTGCATCTGTGGGTGGTGTGTGTGTGTGTGTGTGTGTGTTTGTGTGCGTATGACAGAGTGTGTGTGTATTAGATTGTGTGTGCGTTCATGCATGCGTCTGACTGACCTGCGGGCTGTCTCTGCGGGTGCAGTGTATGTATATCCATGGGGAAGTGCAGCTTGTTTCTGATGATCTCCTGGTTCTTGCCCGTGAACTTGTTGGCACTGTTGATGCTCTTGGTGTGCCAGTCTGTCCAGTACAGGCTATCCTCAAATACCGTGATGGCAAATGGATGGGGCAAGCCTGGATAGAGAGAGAGTAAGACAGAGAGAGAGAGAGAAAGACAAAGAGAGAGAGATAGAGACAAATATTTGTATTGAAAGAAGCATATGTTGTCTTTATTTCTGAAACACAAGAACATCATTGGAACCTTCTCGTTGACCCTTCAAAGGAATTAGACCAAGTGGTATAGAAGGAGGGGGGTTACATGATTTCAAACAACAAGCACCCATTGGAGCAGCAACTAAACAACACACAGTCACACACAAATCCCTAAACAGTTCCTTCCGCAAACTAAGACAAAACACCAAATAAAACCAATCTGGCGTAAAGGAACAATTATCTTCAAAGCAAAATAGCACAAAGTTGGACAAGATCTGATTCCTCACACCATCAAATGAGGATGAGTTAATGTTGTTGTCTTTTCAATTTAGTGACACATAAGGCAACCCCCCTCTATTGAAAAAGTACCCAGAACAGAGCAGTGGTTCTGGCAGATTTCACGGTGTCCCCTATTGTATTCAGGCTTAATCAGAGCTGGTTGGAGTTAGCCTGTTTCTTATTAGCCACTCGCTAATGACATAAGCTTTGGGAGTTAAGTGCTAGCTCTATAGATTTCTTCTGAGAAAAAAGTCCCTGTTTGAATACTTACAGGAAGGAGGGAGGGATTGACCAAAGAAAGGAAGGAAGGAAGGGAACAATGATTTGGTCATTTAAATAGAGCCACAGTCTTTGGTGGAGAGCATGAGTGGAACACTTCCATACAATCGTCCCTTCATTCATTCGGCTAGCTACAGTGGCCCTATTGGCCAGATTGCCTATATTTTTTACGAAGCACAGAGAACCACAGAGAGCGCTGAATACGCTCAACTGATGGATGGAAAGAACATAGTTTTTCCCCTCGTTTATTTCTGTTGGTGGTGCACAGTTTGTGGTGAGCTTGCTGCCATAAAGGTCTTACACAGGTTTGGCATTTTATACCAGGATTTTACAGTGGGGGTGTAAATGAAGAATGGTGAAAGACCAAACCCGTGGAGAGAGGAGAATGACAATGGGTCTGTGTGTGTGTGCATTTGTGTGTGAGAAAGAGAGACAGTAGAGTACTGATGCAATTATTTTCTCTCTCTCTCTCTCCAAGATATTACCTAACTCTTAATGTAAATGAATACTCAGATACATACTTAAAGTATCATACCCGTCAGAAAAAAACTAAATAACATTAGCTTCAGGGAAAGATTGGTATTTATTCTCTCTCTCATGTCTCTCCATCTGTCAATTTTTTCTTTAGGTCTCCAGGTGTGTGTAGGCTGATACTTGGTGTGTGTGTGTTACTGATGTTACCTTCAAGGAGACACATGGTTAGACATGAGTGTGAAGGGGAGTCATAGAGTTGGATTGACCCTCTCCTCTCTCTTTCAAGGACAGCTAGCAGGAACACTGGTGGTATGTGGGCCTACTTTCTCTTTTCTGTCTCTCAGTTTTCTGTCTCTGGTCTAAGGGACAGCTGGCCCAGAAGCTGTAAGGCAACGGGGGACCAGCAGCTGTAAGGCAACGGGGAACCTTCCATGGGGGTCTACCCTGCACCCACATGTAACCTCTCCCCTCTCTGTCCCCGCTCTTCTCCTCAACTCCCTCACTCGCTCTATTGTGTCCTTCTCTGTCTCTCCCCTACCTCCTTTTCACCCCCCCCCACACCTACCTCACCCCTGAAGGTGCACAGGTGTGCTCAGAGGATAATGGTGTCACCCACATCACTCTCCATATACCATGACAAAGGAGCAGGCATGCCTCCAAATGTTTCTCAAACGAACACACACACACACACACACGTCCCATTTGTTCTGCCTGTTGTCTGAGCAAACAGAGGGCCTAGTGGAGGTACAGGGCCAATTACAGGTTTTTATCCCGAGAGCACACATCATTAAGGGCTGCTCACACAGGGCTGAACGAGTACCCTCTACACCCCTGTCCTCCTCCCCCTATCACCCCTCATGCACCCCTCCTCCTCTAATCAAACACTCACCCAGGGCAGTGGGTACCCCTCCTTTTCCTCTACCAAAAGCCCTTCCTTCTATTCATCCTCCCCTACAAAAAACATCTCACTTCTCTTCCACCCTCAAAAATCCTAAACGTTTTAACACTTATCCCAACAAAACTTTGATGGACCCATAAGCCACTCGAAGTGTCGTATTCCGGAGTTGTGTTTGTGGAAGCTTCTTACAGGTTAGATAATATATTTACATTTTAGTAATTTAGCAGACACTCTTATCCAGAGCGACTTATATACACTCACTGGCCAGTTTATTAGGTAAACCCATCTAGTACCGGGTCAGACCCCTCTTTGCCTCCAGAACAGCCTGAATTCTTCAGGTCATTCTACAAGGTGTCGGAAACGTTCCACAGGGATGTTGGTCCATGTTGACGCAATGGCATCACGCAGTTGCTGCAGATTGGACGGTGGTACATTTATGCTGCGAACAGACCATTCCATCTCATCCCAAAGATAATCTATTGGGTTGAGGTCTGGGGACTGCGCAGACCTGAACTCAATGTCATGTTCCAGGCTATGTTTATCCACTCCTCAATTGTACAGTGTTGGTGATCGCGTGCCCACTGGAGCCGCTTCTTCTTGTTTTTAGCTGATAGGAGTGGAACCTGGTGTGGTCGTCCGCTGCAATAGCCCATCCATGACAAGGATCAACGAGTCGTGCGTTCTGTGATGCCGTTCTGCACACCACTGTTGTACTGCACCATTATTAGTCTGTTTGTAGCCAGCCTGTTAGCTTGCACAAATCTATTTTTTTATTTTTTATTTTTTTGGGGGGGGTAGATCATCTTAATATTGGAGATATATTGTAACTTCCATCAATGTAATTGTCTGCATTACTTCCAATCCCCCATGTTTTTTATATATATATTCCCCTTTATTACTTTTCAACCCCGCCATCCTTTCCCTACTTGGGGTAAATTAGTGAACAACAATGCTTAGGCCTCTACTTCCAACTTATACTTACTATCTACATTTTATGGACACAGTCAATTTTACAATAATTCAATTTTATTTGTTTTTGCTCCTGAACTTCTACTCTCAACCTCGCCGATCATTTTCATGATCTCCATCCGGTTTGCTTCTATATGCCATATCTTTCTAACTGTGCTCTTTCCCAAAAGCTCCCAACATACAACCTATATACTTATTAAGGACACAGTATGCTTACATTATTAGTTATCTTTTTATTATTTGTTGTTATTTATTATTAGTCCCATCCTTCAACTCTATTCAACACCTCCCATCTATCTCTTAACACCATCCATATATGATTTCTATTTGCCATATATATATATATATCTTGCACGATTCTTGCCATTCTCCTTCGACATCTCTCATCAACAAGCTGTTTTCGCCCACAGGACTGCCGCTGATGGATGTTTTTTGTTTGTTGCACCATTCTCGGTAAACCCTAGACAATGTCGTGCGTGAAAATCCCAGGAGGGCAGCTGTTTCTGAGATACTGGATCCAGTGCACCTGGCACCAACGATCATACCACGCTCAAAGTTGCTTAGGTCATTCGTTTTGCCCATGCTAACGTTCAATAAAACAGTAACTGAATGCCTTTGATCAGGGCTGTCCCCGACAAAAATAAATCAAGAGTCATCTGTTCTTTCAAACAATCGATTGGTCAAAATCTTTAAATGTGTATTTTTGCCTATATAGACACATCCTACAGTGGGGAAAAAAAGTATTTAGTCAGCCACCAATTGTGCAAGTTCTCCCACTTAAAAAGATGAGAGAGGCCTGTAATTTTCATCATAGGTACACGTCATCTATGACAGACAAAAATGAGGAAAAGAAATCCAGAAAATCACATTGTAGGATTTTTTATGAATTTATTTGCAAATTATGGTGGAAAATAAGTATTTGGTCAATAACAAAAGTTTCTCAATACTTTGTTATATACCCTTTGTTGGCAATGACACAGGTCAAACGTTTTCTGTAAGTCTTCACACACTGTTGCTGGTATTTTGGCCCATTCCTCCATGCAGATCTCCTCTAGAGAAGTGATGTTTTGGGGCTGTCGCTGGGCAACACAGACTTTCAACTCTCTCCAAAGATTTTCTATGGGGTTGAGATCTGGAGACTGGCTAGGCCACTCCAGGACCTTGAAATGTTTCTTACGAAGCCACTCCTTTGTTGCCCGGGCGGTGTGTTTGGGATCATTGTCATGCTGAAAGACCCAGCCACGTTTCATCTTCAATGCCCTTGCTGATGGAAGGAGGTTTTCACTCAAAATCTCACGATACATGGCCCCATTCATTCTTTCCTTTACACGGATCAGTCGTCCTGGTCCCTTTGCAGAAAAACAGCCCCAAAGCATGATGTTTCCACCCCCTTGCTTCATAGTAGGTATGGTGTTCTTTGGATGCAACTCAGCATTCTTTGTCCTCCAAACACGACGAGTTGAGTTTTTACCAAAAAGTTATATTTTGGTTTCATCTGACCATATGACATTCTCCCAATCCTCTTCTGGATCATCCAAATGCACTCTAGCAAACTTCAAACGGGCCTGGACATGTACTGGCTTAAGCAGGGGGACACGTCTGGCACTGCAGGATTTGAGTCCCTGGCGGCGTATTGTGTTACTGATGGTAGGCTTTGTTACTTTGGTCCCAGCTCTCTGCAGGTCATTCACTAGGTCCCACCGTGTGGTTCTGGGATTTTTGCTCACCGTTCTTGTGATCATTTTGACCCCACGGGGTGAGATCTTGCGTGGAGCCCCAGATCGAGGGAGATTATCAGTGGTCTTGTATGTCTTCCATTTCCTAATAATTGCTCCCACAGTTGATTTCTTCAAACCAAGCTGCTTACCTATTGCAGATTCAGTCTTTCCAGCCTGGTGCAGGTCTACAATTTTGTTTCTGGTGTCCTTTGACAGCTCTTTGGTCTTGGCCATAGTGGAGTTTGGAGTGTGACTGTTTGAGGTTGTGGACAGGTGTATTTTATACTGATAACAAGTTCAAACAGGTGCCATTAATACAGGTAACGAGTGGAGGACAGAGGAGCCTCTTAAAGAAGAAGTTACAGGTCTGTGAGAGCCAGAAATCTTGCTTGTTTGTAGGTGACCAAATACTTATTTTCCACCATAATTTGCAAATAAATTCATTAAAAATACTACAATGTGATTTTCTGGATTATTTTTTCTGAATTTGTCTGTCATAGTTGACGTGTACCTATGGTGAAAATTACAGGCTCTCTCATCATTTTAAGTGGGAGAACTTGCACAATTGGTGGCTGACTAAATACTTTTTTCCCCCACTGTATGTGTTAATAAAATCAACTACAGTTCAAGTCGGAAGTTTACATTCACTTAGGTTGGAGTCATTAAAACTAGTTTTTCAACCACTCCACAAATTTCTTGTTAACAAACTATCGTTTTTGCAAGTCGGTTAGGACATCTACTTTGTGCATGACACAAGCAATTTTTTCCAACAATTGTTTACAGACAGATTATTTCACTTATAATTCACTGTATCACAATTCCAGTGGGTCAGAAGTTTACATACACTAAGTTTACTGTGCCTTTAAACAGCTTGGAAAATTCCAGAAAATGGTGTCATGACTTTAGAAGCTTCTGACAGGCTAATTGAAATAATTTGCATCAATTGGAGGTGTACCTCTGGATGTATTTCAATGCCTACCTTCAAACTCAGTGCCTTTTTGCTTGACATCATGGGGAAATCAAAAGAAATCAGCCAAGACCTCAGAAAAACAATTGTAGACCTCCACAAGTCTGGTTCATCCTTGGGAGCAATTTCCAAACGCCTGAAGGTACCACGTTCATCTGTACAAACAATAGTACGCAAGTATAAACACCATGGGACCACGCAGCTGTCATACCGCTCAGGAAAGAGACGCGTTCTGTCTCCTAGAGATGAATGTACTTTGGTGCGAAAAGTGCAAATCAATCCCAGAATAACAGCAAAGGACCTTGTGAAGATGCTGGAGGAAACAGGTACAAAAGTATCTATATCCACAGTAAAACGAGTGCTATATCGACATAACCTGAAAGGCCGCTCAGCAAGGAAGAAGCCACTGCTCCAAAACTGCCATAAAAAAGCCAGACTACGGTTTGCAACTGCACATGGGGACAAAGATCATACTTTTTGGAGAAATGTCCTCTGGTCTGATGAAACAAAAATAACAGTTTGGCCATAATGACCATCGTTATGTTTGGAGGAAAAGGGGGGTTGCTTGCAAGCCGAAGAACACCATCCCAACTGTGAAGCACGGGGGTGGCAGCATCATGCTGTGGGGGTGCTTTACTGCAGGAGGGACTGGTGCACTTCACAAAATAGATGGCATCATGAGGAAGGAAAATTATGTGGATAAATTGAAGCAACATCTCAAGATAGTCAGGAAGTTAAAGCTTGATCGCAAATGGGTCTTCCAAATGGACAATGACCCCAAGCATACTTCCAAAGTTGTGGCAAAATATCTTAAGGACAACAAAGTTAAGGTATTGGAGTGGCCATCATAAAGCCCTGACCTCAATCCTATCGAAAATGTGTGGGCAGAACTGAAAAAGCGTGTGCAAGCAAGGAGGCCTACAAACCTGACTCAGTTACACCAGCTCTGTCAGGAGGAATGGGCCAAAATTCACCCAACTTATTGTGAGAAGCTTGTGGAAGGCTACCCAAAACGTTTGACCCAAGTTAAACAATTTAAAGGCAATGCTACCAAATACTAATTGAGTGTATGTAAACTTCTGACCCACTGGGAATGTGATGAAAGAAATAAAAGCTGAAATAAATCATTCTCTCTACTATTATTCTGACAGTTCACATTCTTAAAATAAAGTGGTGATCCTAACTGACCTAAAACAGGGCATTTCTACTAGGATTAAATGTCAGGAATTGTGAAAAACTGAGTTTAAATGTATTTGGTTAAGGTGTATGTAAACTTCCGACTTCAACTGTATATGTAGGCTATTGAGCTTGTCTGGTGTTTTATTAAGCACAATGTGATAAAATAACTAAGACAGACAAATGACTCAAGAAGTAGCCAGAGATCAAGATAGCCTAACCAGAAGAAAAAAACCTGTTCCCGACCCTCCTCCTTCAGCTACTGCTGGCCTTCGCAGATTCTGCCATTAAGCTCCTGAAGTTGCCGGTAAAAGGCTACACCAGGGGTCGGTAACCTGTTCCATTTGAAGTGCCAATTTATCTTACAATTTCTTCCGATCTGCGTGCCAGTTATGATTTTTATATTCACATTTTCATGGAACAGTTTCATTTAATTCATAATCAAGTCTTCGTATCTCAAAATCATTATCATGTGGTTAATCAAAATTCTAAAAGTAACTTCTATTACCATTGTCAACTATGTAAAAATTGCCTACATAAAGCCAACAAATAAAAAAATTGCAGCCTGCAGGTAGAAAACATCCTGATAAAAATAAATGTCCTATAAATCCTATATTGGCTACGCATGGCCTGTCTGAAGGGAACTTGAAACATTGTTCCAACTATCAACTTGGTCCGGCCTGAACCTAGCACTAGAAAACTTGCAACATTGTATAAAATATTCTGGCCCCTCAGAGTTTCCTGCACCAGTGAGCTCTGGACACAGCTGTAGGCTATTTGCGCAAGGGATAAGAAGTAATCAGGTAGGCCTATTTTATGACGTTTCCAGCGGATCAGAGCATGACATTTTTCCCCCCTTTCACACCAAGTAGAGAGTGGAGTTGTTATCGAAAGAGAGCTGGAAAGATTTTTCAAATAGGCTACGTTGAGGAACTATTGTCATTCTCAATGGATGTAAAAACAGACTTTGTTTACTTGCTGTTTGAGGTGAAGAAAAAAATCATTTGAGAAGCTCCACAGTGATGGCGAGTTAAGACAATCAGAAATACTATGAGATCCCCAAATGGGCACATTTAGAGGCAAACATTTGTGCACAGGCCAGGAAGCCTAGGCCTACCTCTATGCATAATCAGGTGTACATCCTTACTCACTCTTACAAATAAAATGCAATGAATAAATTGACAACTCATAAATTAAATTAAATAAATCAAAACTTGTTCCTCACAAGTGTAGCCTAGGCCAAGGCCACACTGACTCATTGTACCTAATAAACTGGGTGGTGAGTGTATGTGCCATTTAGCAGACGCTTTTAACCAAAGCAACTTACAGTCATGCCTGCATGCATCTTTTGTATGGGTGACCTCAGCGAGAATCGAACCTACAGTCCTTGGCATTGCATACTAAGCCAGACAGGACCAGGCTGTGATAAACAGTGAACATACCTATTTATCGCCTCTGTTTTTAGATGGAGACTGAGGAGGACCTCTACTCCTGTCTCGCTTTGTTATGACCGACAGGTGTTCTGCACCGACTGCTGATTTGCCACTGCAGAGCTGGAATTATCTCTTCCCAGTTGGAATACCGAGCGGAATTGTGGCTGTGGCAAAGCCCATGGGTGTGTCCCAAATCGCACCTTATTCCCTAAATAGTCCTCTACTTTTGACCAGAGCCCTATGGGGGGATTAGGGTGCCCTATATTGGGCTCCTGAGTGGCATCTCAGTGCTTGAGGCGTCACTACAGACCCCCTGGTTCGATTCCAGGCTGTATCACAACCGGCCGTGATTGGGAGTCCCATAGGGCGGCGCATAATTGGCCGAGCGTCATCCGGGTTTGGCCGGTGTAGGCAGTCATTTTAAATAAGAATTTGTTCTTAACTGACTTGCCTAGTTAAAAAAAGGTAAAATATAAATATATATATACAATGAGGGAAAAAGTATTTGATCCCCTGCTGATTTTGTACGTTTGCCCACTGACAAAGAAATGATCAGTCTATAATTGTAATGGTAGGTTTATTTGAACAGTGAGAGACAGAATAACAACAAAAAAATCCAGAAAAACGCATGTCAAATATGTAATAAATTGATTTGCATTTTAATGAGGGAAATAAGTATTTGACCCCCTCTCAATCAGAAAGATTTCTGGCTCCCAGGTTTCTTTTATACAGGTAACGAGCTGAGATTAGGAGCACACTCTTAAAGGGAGTGCTCCTAATCTCAGCTTGTTACCTGTATAAAAGACACCTGTCCACAGAAGCAATCAATCAATCAGATTCCAAACTCTCCACCATGGCCAAGACCAAAGAGCTCTTAAAGGATGTCAGGGACAAGATTGTAGACCTACACAAGGCTGGAATGGGCTACAAGACCATCGACAAGCAGCTTGGTGAGAAGGTGACGACAGTTGGTGCGATTATTTGCAAATGGAAGAAACACAAAATAACTGTCAATCTCCCTCGGCCTGGGGCTCCATGCAAGATCTCACCTCGTGGAGTTGCAAAGATCATGAGAACGGTGAGGAATCAGCCCAGAACTACACGGGAGGATCTTGTCAATGATCTCAAGGCAGCTGGGACCATAGTCACAAAGAAAACAATTGGTAACACACTACGCCGTGAAGGACTGAAATCCTGCAGCGCCCGCAAGGTCCCCCTGCTCAAGAAAGCACATATACAGGGCCGTCTGAAGTTTGCCAATGAACATCTGAATGATTCAGAGGAGAACTGGGTGAAAGTGTTGTGGTCAGATGAGACCAAAATCGAGCTCTTTGGCATCAACTCAACTCATCGTGTTTGGAGGAGGAGGAATGCTGCCTATGACCTCAAGAACACCATCCCCACTGTCAAACATGGAGGTAGAAACATTATGCTTTGGGGGTGTTTTTCTGCTAAGGGGACAGGACAACTTCACCGCATCAAAGGGACGATGGACTGGGCCATGTACCGTCAAATCTTGGGTGAGAACCTCCTTCCCTCAGCCAGGGCATTGAAAATGGGTCGTGGATGGGTATTCCAGCATGACAATGACCCAAAACACACGGCCAAGGCAACAAAGGAGTGGGTCAAGAAGAAGCAAATTAAGGTCCAGGATTGGCCTAGCCAGTCTGTGGAGGGAGCTGAAGGTTCGAGTTGCCAAACGTCAGCCTCGAAACCTTAATGACTTGGAGAAGATCTGCAAAGAGGAGTGGAACAAAATCCCTCCTGAGATGTGTGCAAACCTGATGGCCAACTACAAGAAACGTCTGACCTCTGTGATTGCCAACAAGGGTTTTGCCACCAAGTACTAAGTCATGTTTTGCAGAGGGGTCAAATACTTATTTCCCTAATTAATATACAAATCAATTTATAACATTTTTGACATGCGTTTTTCTGGATTTTTGTTTTTGTTATTCTGTCCCTCACTGTTCAAATAAACCTACCATTAAAATGATAGACTGATCATTTCTTTGTCAGTGGGCAAACGTACAAAATCAGCAGGGGATCAAATACTTTTTTTCCTCACTGTGTGTATATATATATATATATATATATATATACACACACTGCTCAAAAAAATAAAGGGAACACTTAAACAACACAATGTAACTCCAAGTCAATCACACTTCTGTGAAATCAAACTGTCCACTTAGGAAGCAACACTGATTGACAATAAATATCACATGCTGTTGTGCAAATGGAATAGACAACAGGTGGAAATTATAGGCAATTAGCAAGACACCCCCAATAAAGGACTGGTTTTGCAGGTGGTGACCACAGACCACTTCTCAGTTCCTATGCTTCCTGGCTGATGTTTTGGTCACTTTTGAATGCTGGCGGTGCTTTCACTCTAGTGGTAGCATGAGACGGAGTCTACAACCCACACAAGTGGCTCAGGTAGTGCAGCTCATCCAGGATGGCACATCAATGCGAACTGTGGCAAGAAGGTTTGCTGTGTCTGTCAGCGTAGTGTCCAGAGCATGGAGGCGCTACCAGGAGACAGGCCAGTACATCAGGAGACGTGGAGGAGGCCGTAGGAGGGCAACAACCCAGCACAGGACCGCTACCTCCGCCTTTGTGCAAGGATGAGAAGGAGGAGCACTGCCAGAGCCCTGCAAAATGACCTCCAGCAGGCCACAAATGTGCATGTGTCTGCTCAAACGGTCAGAAACAAACTCCATGAGGGTGGTAGGAGGGCCCGACGTCCACAGGTGGGGGTTGTGCTTACAGCCCAACACCGTGCAGGACGTTTGGCATTTGCCAGAGAACACCAAGATTGGTGTCGCCACTGGCGCCCTGTGCTCTTCACAGATGAAAGCAGGTTCACACTGAGCACATGTGACAGACGTGACAGAGTCTGTAGACGCCGTGGAGAACGTTCTGCTGCCTGCAACATCCTCCAGCATGACCGGTTTGGCGGTGGGTCAGTCATGGTGTGGGGTGGCATTTATTTGGGGGGCCGCACAGCCCTCCATGTGCTCGCCAGAGGTAGCCTGACTGCCATTAGGTACCGAGATGAGATCCTCAGACCCCTTGTGAGACCATATGCTGGTGTGGTTGGCCCTGGGTTCCTCCTAATGCAAGACAATGCACACTGCTCAAAAAAATAAAGGGAACACTAAAATAACACATCCTAGATCTGAATGAATGAAATAATCTTATTAAATATTTTTTTCTTTACATAGTTGAATGTGCTGACAACAAAATCACACAAAAAGTATCAATGGAAATCAAATGTATCAACCCATGGAGGTCTGGATTTGGAGTCACCCTCAAAATTAAAGTGGAAAACCACACTACAGGCTGATCCATCTTTGATGTAATGTCCTTAAAACAAGTCAAAATGAGGCTCAGTAGTGTGTGTGGCCTCCACGTGCCTGTATGACCTCCCTACAACGCCTGGGCATGCTCCTGATGAGGTGGCGGATGGTCTCCTGAGGGATCTCCTCCCAGACCTAGATTAAAGCATCCGCCAACTCCTGGACAGTCTGTGGTGCAACATGGCGTTGGTGGATGGAGCGAGACATGATGTCCCAGATGTACTCAATTGGATTCAGGTCTGGGGAAAGGGCGGGCCAGTCCATAGCATCAATGCCTTCCTCTTGCAGGAACTGCTGACACACTCCAGCTACATGAAGTCTAGCATTGTCTTGCATTAGGAGGAACCCAGGGCCAGCCGCACCAGCATATAGTCACACAAGGGGTCTGAGGATCTCATCTCTGTAACTAATGGCAGTCAGGCTACCTCTGGTGAGCACATGGAGGGCTGTGCTGCCCCCCAAAGAAATGCCACCCCACACCATGACTGACCCACCGCCAAACCGGTCATGCTGGAGGATGTTGCAGGCAGCAGAACATTCTCCACGGTGTCTCCAGACTCTGTCACGTCTGACACATGCTCAGTATGAACCTGCTTTCATCTGTGAAGAGCACAGGCCGCCAGTGGCGAATTTGCCAATCTTGGTGTTCTCTGGCAAATGCCAAACGTCCTGCACGGTGTTGGGCTGTAAGCACAACCCCCACCTGTGGACGTCGGGCCCTCATACCACCCTCATGGAGTCTGTTTCTGACCGTTTGAGCAGACACATGCACATTTGTGGCCTGCTGGAGGTCATTTTGCAGGGCTTTGGCAGTGCTCCTCCTTGCACAAAGGCGGAGGTTGCAGTCCTGCTGCTGGGTTGTTGCCCTCCTACGGCCACCTCCACGTCTCCTGATGTACTGGCCTGTCTCCTGGTAGCACCTCCATGCTCTGGACACTACGCTGACAGACACAGCAAACCTTCTTGCCACAGCTCGCATTGATGTGCCATCCTGGATGAGCTGCACTACCTGAGCCACTTGTGTGGGTTGTAGACTCCGTCTCATGCTACCACTAGAGTGAAAGCACCGCCAGCATTCAAAAGTGACCAAAACATCAGCCAGGAAGCATAGGAACTGAGAAGTGGTCTGTGGTCACCACCTGCAAAACCAGTCCTTTATTGGGGGTGTCTTGCTAATTGCCTATAATTTCCACCTGTTGTCTATTCCATTTGCACAACAGCATGTGAAATGTATTGTCAATCAGTGTTGCTTCCTAAGTGGACAGTTTGATTTCACAGAAGTGTGATTGACTTGGAGTTACATTGTGTTGTTTAAGTGTTCCCTTTCATTTTTTGAGCAGTGTATATATAGACAATATGGTGCCATTTGGGACGCAACTCACGGCTCCCGCTCTCCCCATAAACAGAAGGCAGTGCAGCTTTGATTTCCAGAACGGGTGATTTCCAATTAGCAGGCGGGGGGGGGGGGGGGGGGGGGGGGGGGGGGGTCTGATTGCTCATTTATTGTTGTATTTATTTATTTGCACCAAAGAAAATAAGTGATAGACAACAATACAGATGAAAACAAACCCTGAAATAAAAACATGGTGTGCAGGTGTTGTTGGCTTATTTGAAAATATTTGAAAATCACACCACAAAATAAATAATATACAATACAGAAGTAAAAAAAAAAAAGGTTTGTTAAAACAGATAACAAAACCTACTAATTATAAATGTATAAATGAATTGATCAGTAATCATGAAAAAATGTGAGTGTGTGAGAGTTAGGCTATATAGAGGAGATTACTGAGTAGTTTGGTTCATCAGGCTGACCCCCAGTCTTCACTTGAAGTTATTGAGGGATGATGATGTTTTGGCAATGTGAAGATAAGAATTCCAGAGTATGGTACCTCTATATCTGATAGAGAATTGACTATGTGAGATGTGGCAGTGGGGATGATGAAGGTTATTGCAGTGTCTTGTGTTATATAGATGGATTTCAGAATTAACCTGGAAGAATCCATTGAAGACATTAGGTAAACTGTCTGGGAGGTATGAGTATTTGTAGATAAAAGTGCATAATTGGCGTACATTAATGTCGTAAATAGACAAGATATTGAGTTTCTTAAACAAAGGCGCAGATGGAGCCAGGTAGTTAGATGAGGTGGCTAGTCTTGCAAATCTATTTTGTATGATTAGTAATTTGTGTAGTTAGGAGCAATGTTCCCTCTAAGCTGCGCGCGTGTGTGGGCGCAGAAGAAATATGAGCCTGCGCAGAGAAGCACGAGATTGAACTTCACTCAACATTCTACAGTTTTCCCATTTAGTTAACACTATCAACATTTCGCTCTACTGTGGGAATTGTGATCGAATCAACACATTATCAAACCCTGTGGCACGCCACAGGATATCTTGGCCCTGGTAGATGCACAGCCGTTTGCATAAACATATTGTTCTCTATCATAAACGTAACTCTATAGCCAATTATATGTATAATCATGAAAACCGTAATAATGCAATTTAGAAAGTAATATTTCATGATCAACCGTGTGAAACGCTTTAAATGTAAAAGAATGCCGAGAGCGTATTCATTGTTGTTCAAGGCTGTAACGATTTTATCCACAAGTTGCAAAAGAGCCATATCTGTGGAGTCGTTTTTAACAAAAAACATATTGGTGCTCATATAGAATACAGTGTTGATTTAAATGATTCAACATTCTCTTATACACATATTTTTCTAGGATTTTAGAAAAACATGGTAGTACAGATATTGGGCGATAATTTGTAAAAGATCTGGGATCCCCAGATTTATAGAGGGTGATAACTTTGGCAATTTTCTCATCTTTAGGAACAATACCATTGCATTGATTTGGCGAAGATATACATTAGAGGCTCAGTAATCAAGGAAGACACTGATTTCACCAAAGAGGCACCAATCTCATCATGACCTGCTGCTGATACCTTTAAGTTACCAATTACCTCCATCACCTCCATTACATCAGGAGGATCAAACTGAAAGCAGAGAAGGGAAATGTCACTTAATGTATTCCAAGGGATTTCCATCAGTTTTCTCTGTTTTCTTTGACAGAGAGGAACCCACATTCACAAAAAAGTTATTAAATGCACATTAAATAACATCAGGATCACTATAGGTATTATTTCCAACAATAAATTGAGATGGGATAGTTGTAGATGCCTTTTTCTTATTCAACCGTATACTTTTTGTAACTTGCAGAATTCAGGGGAGAGGGATGTGTGAGAAACTTTTTATACAACTAGTTTTTTTAACTGACAATTTTTTGAGACCGGTTGTAAACCGAGGTTTCCAGAAACAATCTACTGCTCTCTTATTATATTTAACTAACGGAAAGCAGTGGTGAAATACAGAATTGGAAGATGTGAGAAAAGTATTGTATTATAAACATTTTTCCCATTAAATATCATCAATCAACATCTTAAAGCGTTGTGTTAATTTAGTTAAATATTCTACCCTTAATGCTACTAATCATTCCCATCGGTTCATTTCCAGCTGCCAAAATGAAGTGGAAAATTGGAAGTGGTCAGAAATGTCAGTATAAAGTATACCTGTTTTAGCCACATTTTTCAAAGAATTTGGAAAAATATTATCAATAAGGATGGCAGATGAACTGGTCACTCTTGTAGGCTTATAGATGAGCAATTAAAATAGCTGGAGTATAAAGTATTCAAAAAGGCAGATGTCAGTAAGTGGTGCTCACTTTTAAATAAGTTTATGTTGTAATCACCCAATAGAAAACAAATGTTATCTTAATTATTAATCAAATCCAAGGTTGATGCAAGGATATCAATAAAACTCCCAATGTCAGAATCGAGTGGCTGATAGATGCATCCCATTACCATCAAAAAATGAAGAGATTCAACATGTTATCAGATGCAAGTGCGAGGTCCTCTCTTACAAAGAATTGATAATGTTTATGAACAAAAATGGACACTCCTCCTCCCAACCTGAGGTTCTACAGTGGTGAACAGCATTATAAGTAGTACTTGTGACTTACATTACTTGTGACTGTCGTTGTGGACTTAGATTAGTTTCAGGTCTATTTGTGTAACAGTCTTGCTAATTTGTGGGCGTGTTGTATAGTAGGGGGTGTTTTCTTCGCCTCTGCCAGGCAATCAGCAATCAGTGCAGGGAGGTCTATCACCTTGGCTAGGCAATTAGTGCTAGTACTTCAGTCTCCCCTGTTTTGTCAACAAAACCATGACTGTCGCCGAAACAAAGACGTTCTGCCGAGTTGTTCTGTCGAGTTGTTTGAGGAAGGAAAGAGAAAAAGGCTTCACACCACTCTCACACATACAGTTGAAGTCGGAGGTTTATGTACACCATAGCCAAATACATTTAAACTCAGTTTTTCACAATTCCTGACATGTAATCCTAGTACAAATTCCCTGTCAGTTAGGATCACCACTTTATTTTAAGAATGTGAAATGTCAGAATAATAGTAGAGAGAATGATTTATTCCAGCTTTAATTTCTTTCCTCACATTCCCAGTGGGTCAGAAGTTTACATACACTCAATTAGTATTTGGTAGCATTGCCTTTAAATGGTTTAACTTGGGTCAAACATTTCGGGTAGCCTTCCACAAGCTTCCCACAATAAGCTGGGTGAATTTTGGTCCATTCCTCCTGACAGAGCTGGTGTACTCACAAGGCAGACAATACACTTGACATCATCTTAGAGGCTGTTCACCTACTAATCTCACTGGAACCCCCCTCCATGTCTCTGATTACTACTTTGTTTCCTTTTCTCTCCATCTTTCCTACAACCCTACCCACTCAGCCTCTCCCCAGATGTTCATTCGCCACCGCAATCTTCGCTCTCTTGCTCCTACTACTCTCCTCTTCTATCTTATCCTCTCTCCCTTCTGCTAAATCCTTCTCCCTCCTGTGTCCCAACTTTGCCTCTTCGACCTTACTCCCTTTCCGCATCATTTGACTCTCACTGTCCCCTTTCTTCCCGGCTGGCTCGAACCTCCCTTCACACTCTGTGGCTAAATGACTCACTGCGTACTAACAGAAGAGGGCTGCGGGTAGCTGAGCAAAAATGGAGGAAAAGTAAACTTCCGTTGGACCTATCATACTTCCACTCCCTCCTCTCTACGGCTGTGACAATTATGGAATTTTGGTTAACGATTAATTGTCATGCAAATGGCCATGGTTAGTCATTTTATTATTTATTTTTTTAAAGCTTGTATTGTATCATCATTAATATTTGAAAATTAGCTACAACATACTGTACCTAATGAGTAAAACACAGCTTTGGTGATACCCCCGTCTCAAAAACAAATGGTTCTGACCGATTGGAACTTTTGGAAATGACGCTTCTAATCCTGACCATGCAGTTCTGCTCATAAAATTATTACTAACTTGACCCTCTTAATATGAAAATGTAACTGCTATTGTGTAAACTATATCTACTTGAAAATAAAGCAGGCTCTGTCGTAGCCGGCCGCGACCGGGAGACCCATGGGGCGGCGCACAATTGGCCCAGCGTCGTCCAGGGTAGGGGAGGGAATGGCCGGCAGGGATGTAGCTCAGTTGGTAGAGCATGGCGTTTGCAACGCCAGGGTTGTGGGTTTGATTCCCACGGGGGGCCAGTATGAAAAATACAAAAAAGAATGTATGCACTCACTAACTGTAAGTCGCTCTGGATAAGAGCGTCTGCTAAATGACTAAAATGTAAATGTAAATTAATCCCCCCCACTTCCTAAAATTAATATATTAGACAATGTTTTTTTGTTCAGTTATTGTCCATAATTGTCAGTTACACGATTATATGATTATTGTGCCAGCCCTACTCCTCTCTACTTTCTCTTCCTCTGTATCAGCTGCTAAGGCCACTTTCTATCACTCTACATTTCAAGCTTCTGCCTCCAACCCTGGGAAACACTTCTCCAACCTCCTTAATCCTCTTTGCAAACAACTTTGTCAACCACTTTGAAAAAAAAGGCTGACGACATCCACTCCTCATTCATGATCCCAATGATCCCACTCACACATAACTACCTTAGGCCTTGACCTCTTTCTCCCCTCTCTCTCCAGCTGAAATCATGCAACTAGTGATATCCGGCCGCCCAACAACCTGCCCACTTGACCCGATCCCCTCCTACCTTCTCCAGACCATCTCTGGAGATACTCACCCATTCACCACTTCCCTCATCAACTCATCCCTGACCACTGGCTGCGTCCCCTCTGACTTCAAAATGGCCAGTCGCTCCCCTTAAGAAACCAACACTCGACACCTGACTTCAAACTACAGAGCAGTATCCCTTCTTTATTTTGTTTCCAAAACACTTGAGCGTAATGTCTCTGACCAACTCTCGTTATCTCTCTCAGAACGATCTTCTTGACCCTAACCAGTCAGGCTTATAGGCTGCTCACTCAACTGAGATCACTCTTCTCTGTGTCACAGAGGCTCTCTGCAATGCCAAAGCTGACTCTCTCGCCTCTGTTCAAATCTCCTAGAGCTATCTGCTGCCTTTGACACCGTGAACCATCAGATCCTCCTCTCCACCCTCTCAGGGTTGGGCGTCTCAGGCTCTGCACACTCCTGGATCGCATCCTACCTGGCAGGTTGCTCCTACCAGGTGGCGTGGAGAGGATCTGTTTCTGCACCATGTGCTCTCACTACTGGTTTCCCGCAGGGTTCAGCTCTAGGCCCTCTCCTCTGTTCTCTATACACCAAGTCACTCGGCTTACTCATATCCTCACATGGTATCTCCTATCATATGCTGATGACACTCAAATACTCTTCTCCTTCCCCCCCTTCTGACACCCAGGTGGCGACACACATCTATGCGTGCCTTACAGAGATCTCTGCTTGGATGTTGGCCCGCCACCTCAAATTCAACCTCAACAAAACGGAGCTACTCTTCCTCCCGGGAAAGGCCTGTTTGCTCCAAGACCTATCACGGTTGACAACTCCACAGTGTCCCCCTCCAAGAGTGCAAAGAACCTTGGCGTGACCCTGGACAACACCCTGTCGTTCTATGCAAACGTCAAAGCAGTGACTCGCTCCTGCAGGTTCATGCTCTACAACATCCGTAGAGTACGACCCTACCTCACACAGGAAGTGCAGCAGGTCCTAATCCAGGCACATCTTCCGTCTAGACTACTGCAACTCTCTGTTGGCTGGGCTCCCCGCTTGCGCCATCAAACCCCTGCAACTTATCCAGAATACCGCGGCCCGCCTGAAGTTTAACCTTCCTAAGTTCTCCCATATCCTCCCGCTCCTCTGCACACTCCACTGGCTTCCAGTCGAAGCTTGCATAATTTTCAACACCCCGGTGCTTGCCTATGGAGCAGCAAGGGGAAATGCCCCTCCTTACCTTCAGGCTATGCTCAAACCCTACATCCCAACCCGAGCACTCTGTTCCGCCAGCTCTGGTCTCTTGGCCCTCCAACTCAGCCCAGTCAAAGCTCTTCTCTGTCCTGGTACCCCAATGGTGGAACAAGCTTCCCCCTAAAGTCAGGACAGCGGAGTCCCTGCCCATCTTCTGAAAATGTCTAAAAACCCTATCTCTTTAAAACTCAAAAAAAAGTAAAAAGGCATTTGTCTTTTCCTACTAGCACTGACTTTGCTGATAAATAATTTGTTGAGGGAAAATGTACTTGATACGATTGTGAAGTGTTGTTGTCTCACTTAGCTATCTTAAGATGAACGCAGTAATTGTAAGTCCCTCTGGATAAGAGCGTCTGCTAAATGACTAAAATGTAATGTAAAATGTAGTGTGCACTATATCTCTCTGACTGAGGAAATGTGTGAGTGCATGTGTATCTGTGTGTGTTTACGTGTATATGTGTGTATCAGCGTCACAGTAACATCATTGTGGTCATTCAGAAACCAAGTTGAACTCTTGTCAAACCTATGCTCAATTCCTCCCTCATTTTCTTCCCCCTCTCTCACGCGCTCTCTCTCTCTGGCTGACAGGGGTTTCATTTCCTGGCCAAACGTTCATTTAGGGGATTTTCAGTTTGATTTTCCGTAAACACAGGTAACCCAGGGTGCCAGCAGAGAGAGGACTGTGTGTGTGTGTGTGTGTGTGTGTGTGTGTGTAAGTTAGTGTCTGCGTGTGTGTGTGTGTGTGAATGAATGGCGGTTAACAAACCAATTGCACATTAGATGACGTCTTGGGAGAATGTTGATATTTGTTGCTTACTGCATACATTTTTACTAAACAGTGTATGATTAGTACACAGTATACACTTTTATTAAGCAGTAGGCAAGAACAATTTCGAACATGGCCTGTGTGTGTCTGTGTTTGGTTCCTTGGTGTCCTTACCTTGGCTGATGACGGCCTTACGGTTCCGTCCGTCCAGGTCAGCTCTTTCGATGACGTGATGCTTGGCGTCCACCCAGTACATGCGGTGCCCGGCGTAGTCGATGGTCAGCCCGTTGGGCCAGAACAAGTGTGTGTCGGCGATGATGCGCCGGTTGGAGCCGTCCATGTTGGCATACTCGATACGAGGAGTGTTACCCCAGTCCGTCCAGTAGATCTTGCTGTGGGGGGTGGAAAAAGTCAGGGAAACTTAGGGTTAGGTTGTCGTTGTCCAACAAAAAGATAGGTCACATACAGTTGAAGTCGGAAGTTTACATACACTTAGGTTGGAATCATTAAAACTCGTTTTTCAACCACTCCACAAATTTCTTGTTAACAAACTGCTGGAGGAAACAGGTACAAAAGTATCTATATCCACAGTAAAATGAGTCCTATATCGACATAACCTGAAAGGCCGCTCAGCAAGGAAGAAGCCACTGCTCCAAAGCCGCCATAAAAAAGACAGACTACGGTTTGCAACTGCACATGGGGACAAAGATCATACTTTTTGGAGAAATGTCCTCTGGTCTGATGAAACAAAAATAACAGTTTGGCCATAATGACCATCGTTATGTTTGGAGGAAAAAGGGGGTAGCTTGCAAGCCGAAGAACACCATCCCAACCGTGAAGCACGGGGTGGCAGCATCACACTGTGGGGGTGCTTTGCTGCAGGAGGGACTGGTGCACTTCACAAAATAGATGGCATCATTAGGAAGGACAATTATGTGGATATATTGAAGCAACATCTCAAGATATCAGTCAGGAAGTTAAAGCTTGATCGCAAATGGGTCTTCCAAATGGAAAATGACCCCAAGCATTCTTCCAAAGTTGTGACAAAATGGCTTAAGGACATCAAAGTCAAGGTATTGGAGTGGCCATCACAAAGCCCTGACCTCAATCCTATAGAAAATGTGTGGGCAGAACTGAAAAAGCATGTGCGAGCAAGGAGGCCTACAAACCTGACTCAGTTACACCAGCTCTGTCAGGAGGAATGGGCCAAAATTCACCCAACTTATTGTGAGAAGCTTGTGGAAGGCTACCCGAAACGTTTGACCCAAGTTAAACAATTTAAAGGCAATGCTACCAAATACTAATTGACTGTATGTAAACTTCTGACCAACTGGGAATGTGATGAAAGAAATAAAAGCTGAAATAAATAATTCTCTCTACTATTATTTTGACATTTCACGTTCTTAAAATAAAGTGGTGATCCTAACTGAAATAAGACAGGGAATTCTTACTAGGATTAAATGTCAGGAATTGTGAAAAACTGAGTTTAAATGTATTTGGCTAAGGTGTATGTAAACTTCCAACTTCAACTGTATCATAGGACAAGCACCATTCAGACTTGGGATCGAATAGTACTTGTTTTCTTTAAATAATAATTTGCTGCGCTAGATCAAGTTTTCCTGGTGCAATGGAACCAATGCAGTAGTCCCATAAGTGCAAACTGTAGGAGAAAAATCACGTATTTACCTGATTTGTTTAATATGAATAGTTAACTATTAATATTCTTAACAATAGTAGAGACATTTCTTAACTATCAATGCTGTGATTTTCATAAGGATGGTACCCTCTAGCTCCCTGCAGCTGGTCTGGGCATGTAGTCAAGGACATGAGATAGAGATAAACTTGAGGAACAGATAGACCTGTATTGTTTAATTTCTCGTTGCTTCTGAGTAACCTGGTCACACGGCTTAAGACAAAGAGTGTCACGTTCGTTGAAGGACGGGTCAGACGAAGGCGCAGCGTGATATGCGTACATGTTTATTTAACTGATCAACACACGACAAAACAACAAACAAACAAACGAACGAAACGTGAAGTCCTAAGGCTACAACCCATACAAGCCTCTAACCGAAACAAGATCCCACAACTAAACAGTGCCAATAGGCTGCCTAAGTATGATCCCCAATCAGGGACAACGAGCGACAGCTGCCTCTGATTGGGAACCACACCAGCCAACATAGATCTACACATACTATAATGACAACATAGAAAATACTACATAGAACTGACTCAACATATAAGAGTCCCCTGAGTCAGGGCGTGACAGTACCCCCCCCCCCCAAAGGTGCGGACTCCGACCGCACCAACCTGACATGACAGGGAAGGGTCCGGGTGGGCATTTCGCCTCGGAGGCGGATTCGGCTCCGGGCGTGACGACCACATACTCTCCGCCTCCCTGTTGTGCCCCTGGTCTGCTCTGGACCTCGGCGCGCTGCTTCCCCTCTCCTTCCTCCCACGATACTCCAAGCCCTGTCTGGACCCTGGTGTGGGAGACCCCGAACCTGGAGAGGGGCTGACGTCTGGGTCTGGACCGGAACCGCTGACCGGAGCTGGACTAGGCACAGGGGAGGGGACTGCTCTAGCTCCTGAGTGGAGCCGCTGACCGGAGCTGGATCAGGCACCGGTGGAGCGGACTGCTCTGGCTCCGGAGTGGAGCCACTGACCGGAGCTGGACTGGACCCCGGTGGAGCGGACTGCTCTGGCTCCGGAGTGGAGCAGCTGACCGGAGCTGGATCAGGCATCAGTGGAGCGGACTGCTCTGGCTCCGGAGTGGAGCAGGCACTGGTGGAACGGGCACGGGCCGTACCGGACTGGGAACACGCACCACTGGCTTGGTGCGAGGAGTAGGAACAGGCCGGGCCGGACTGGGAACACGCACCACTGGCTTGGTGCGGGGAGCAGGTACGGGTCGTACCGGGCTGGCGACACGCACCACTGGCTTGGTGTGGGGAGCAGGTACGGGGCGTACCGGGCTGGCGACACACACCACTGGCTTGGTGCGAGGAGCAGGAACAGGCCGGGCCGGACTGGTAACACGCACCACTGGTCTGGTGCGAGGAGCAGGAACGGGCCGGGCCGGGCCGGTTTGGAGACACGCATCACAGCTCTGGAGCGAGGAGCAGGAACAGGCCGGGCCGGACTGGGAACACGCACCACTGGCTTGGTGCGAGGAGCAGGAACGGGCCGGGCTGGCGACACGCACCACTAGCTTGGTGCGAGGATCAGGAACAGGCCGGGCCAGACTGGGAACACGCACCACTGGCTTGGTGCGGGGAGCAGGTATGGGTCGTACCGGGCTGGCGACACGCACCACTGCCTTGGTGCGGGGAGCAGGTACGGGGCGTACCGGGCTGGCGACATGCACCACTGTCTTGGTGCGGGGCGTACCGGGCTGGCGACACGCACCACTGGCTTTGTGCGAGGAGCAGGAACAGGCTGGACTGGTAACACGCACCACTGGTCTGGTGCGAGGAGCAGGGACGGGCCGGGCCGGACTGGAGACACGCACCACAGGTCTGGTGCGAGGAGCAGGGACAGGCCGGGCCGGACTGGGAACACGCACCACTGGCTTGGTGCGAGGAGCAGGAACAGGCTGGACTGGTAACACGCACCACTGGTCTGGTGCGAGGAGCAGGAACGGGCCGGGCCGGACTGGAGACACGCACCACTGGTCTGGTGCGAGGAGCAGGAACGGGCCGGGCCGGGCCGGACTGGGAACACGCACCACTGGCTTGGTGCGAGGAGCAGGAACGGGCCGGGCTGGCGACACGCACCACTAGCTTGGTGCGAGGATCAGGAACAGGCCGGGCCAGACTGGGAACACGCACCACTGGCTTGGTGCGGGGAGCAGGTATGGGTCGTACCGGGCTGGCGACACGCACCACTGCCTTGGTGCGGGGAGCAGGTACGGGGCATACCGGGCTGGCGACATGCACCACTGTCTTGGTGCGGGGCGTACCGGGCTGGCGACACGCACCACTGGCTTTGTGCGAGGAGCAGGAACAGGCTGGACTGGTAACACGCACCACTGGTCTGGTGCGAGGAGCAGGAACGGGCCGGGCCGGACTGGAGACACGCACCACAGGTCTGGTGCGAGGAGCAGGGACAGGCCGGGCCGGACTGGGAACACGCACCACTGGCTTTGTGCGAGGAGCAGGAACGGGCCGGGCCGGGCTGGCGACACGCACCACTGGCTTGGTGCGAGGAGCAAGAACAGGACGGGCCGGACTGGGAACACGCACCACTGCCTTGGAAGGGGGGCAGGTACGGGTCGTACCGGGCTGGCGACACGCACCACTGGCTTGGTGCGGGGAGCAGGTACGGGTCGTACCGGGCTGGCGACAAACACCACTGGCTTGGTGCGAGGAGCAGGTACGGGTCGTACCGGGCTGGCGACACTCACCACTGGCTTGGTGCGGGAGCAGGTACGGGTCGTACCGGGCTGGCGACAAACACCACTGGCTTGGTGCGAGGAGCAGGTACGGGTCGTACCGGGCTGGCGACACACGCCACTGGCTTGGTGCGAGGAGCAGGAACAGGCCGGGCCGGACTGGGAACTGACGCTAGAGATCTTCGACCGTACCAGTCTTTCACTCTCTGCGCCCAGTCCTCCTCCCGTGAGGACTCCTCCCTGAGCCCCCACTAGTGCAGTGGTCGGGGCTCTTCTCCATCGCTCCCCGACCACCCTTTTAGCCCCCCCCAAAAATTTTTTTATCTTGAGCTGTCTCTCGGGCTTCTTCCTCGGCCAGCGCTTTCTACGTTGCCGTTGCTCCTCTCTATACCGGGCCTCCACTGTCTCCTCCCAAGGACGGCGATCCATCCCAGCCTGAATCTCCTCCCATGTCCAGGATCCCTTACCGTCCAGGATCTCCTCCCATATCCAGGCTGTCTGCTCCTGGGCACGCTGCTTGGTCCGTGTTTGGTGGGATCTTCTGTCACGTTCGTTGAAGGACGGGTCAGACCAAGGCGCAGCGTGATATGCGTACATGTTTATTTAACTGATCAACACACGACAAAACAACAAACAAACGAACGAACGAAACGTGAAGTCCTAAGGCTACAACCCATACAAGCCTCTAACCGGAACAAGATCCCACAACTAAACAGTGCCAATAGGCTGCCTAAGTATGATCCCCAATCAGAGACAACGAGCGACAGCTGCCTCTTATTGGGAACCACACCGGCCAACATAGATCTACACATACTAGAATGACAACATAGAAAATACTACATAGAACATACACACCTTGACTCAACATATAAGAGTCCCCTGAGTCAGGGCGTGACAAAGAGCCTCAGAGTGACCACGTTTTTTCAGTTAATCCTGTCTTTTACTAGGGCACAGCTGTGTGTAGATATGAGTAGTAACGGAACTAACGTTATCACTTGTTTGTGCGCTATGACCCGATACACATAGCCACAAGAAGAAAACAAGGTAGCTCCTGATCTGCCGGGGAGGGGTGGAATCAGCCATGACTAAGCATTTTTAGGTCCACTATATAAGATGTCAGCATTTCCTGTTCGTTGGGCTCTCACTCTATCCAGTTATTTAAATAAAGATTTAGTTTAAGTATAACTCTGACTTGTGTGATAAGTTTGTCTCTCCTCATTTGATAGTATTTAAAATATCCACCACATTTGGCGACGAGGATGGGATCTGTTACTTCACCTGTTGGTCGCCCCTGAAGGTCTGGGTAAACTGTGCACAGGGGATCCCCAAATTGGGATCTCAGGGGAAACGCGCACCTAAATGAGCAGCTGGATCCACCTAAGATCTGCGAGGAAGCGGGCATGGGTGGATACCAGATCCCGAACATAGTATTGAGAGAGGGGAGCAAGATGATCCACCAATATCCTGATTGGTGGTTGACCTTGTCTCTCCTCATTATTGAAAAAGAGGCGAGCGAACCACACAAAGTCTAGTTTTTAAGAAAAGCCTCTGTACGTGGGCTCTGAGTGTGTATTCCTGTGAGAGGGGGCACCTTGGAGGCGTAAGCAGGGCAGAGTCAGAGGAGAGTCATCTGAGAGCACTGTCAGACTCAAAGATACTCTGCCACTGATCTGTTGCGGGCGACTTAGAGCCGTCCTGACACTGAAGTGATCACAGTGGTGATTGGTGCGGTCTGTAGGGACGAGGGGCCAGAGTGTCTGTAGATATGCCAGCACTTGGTGAAGTCCCATTGGATGAAGGACCTCTGTCTGAAGGGTGTGCCTCAGAAGTGGTGAAGTCCGATTATTTTAAATGTGCTAGCCAGGTATGCCCTGGAGGAGCCAGTGTCGGTATAGAAGCCAGCACTTGGTGAAGTCTGTACCACAGTAATCACAGTAGGTGATATCTCCGTGTGGAGATAACACCCCGTTCTGGACAATATTTTAATGGAGATATGAATTTCCCTGTTCATATGGATAAAACATAAAATCAGAAACAGCACTAACCGGCTTTCTTTGTTTGTCTACCCCTGTGTGTGTGTGTCTGTGTTAACTGTGAGTGTGTGAGTGGAACAGGAACCATGGGAGCACACGGGAGCAAGGGACATGGTATTCCAGATCCCCCCACAGGGGCCCTGAAGGTTATGTGCAGATAAGTGGGGAAGGGGCATTCTGAACCAGGTGAAATTACAGATAGGGAAGGTGGTTTTCCGTTGACAGGGACACTGAGCGTAACAATGTTAGACAAAGTCAGGGAGAGACTGACAGAGTATGAAGGGACTAAAAAAGAAAAAAAAATATCAAATAGGCTGTGTTAAATTTAGAAAATGGGAAAGAGAGGCAGAAAGGCGTACACAAAGACAGGACCCATTTGGGGGACAGCCCCGTCAGAATATGGTAGTGCAGACTGCGGAGGAAGGAAGAACAGATAAAGACGAGATAATGAGAAAGAACAGAAAAGAAGATGAGAGATTTCCCCCCTCCCTACTTTTTTCCTCCAAATCTTTACCCAGTGCTGTCTGGGCCTGGGGCTGCGGCTGTCGACCTCCCTCCCCCCGCCTGATCCAAACGACCCAGTGGACGCTCTCATTCTACACCCCACTGCGCCTCCTCCCCCAACTTCACAGTTCACTCCTGTGCCTCCCCTAGTAGCAGCAGCGGTGGACAAACTGCTCTCTGGACTGGCCATGCTGGCGGTGGGAATGACGTCAACTCCCAGACCACAGAGGAAGGGTACGGCTGGGGGAGCCAGACAAGCGGACAGGAAGAGTCGCAACCCGTTCCTCGAGGGCGCTCCCCCAACCAGCCCAGACGACAAGACAAGACTCAGAAACTACAAGCTGCTCAGTTGACATTCTACCAGGGGGCCGCACTAGCAGCTGCTGGAGGGGGTGCGAGTGGTGGAAGAATCTGCTACAACTGTCGAAAACCTGGCTATTTCGCCGTAAGCTGCACTCAAACTGCCCAGCAGCCAAGGGGAAGAGGCAGAGGTGGATCAAGAGGAAGAGGAGCCCCAAGGGGGCTCAACAGCCATGGCAGCCGCCAACCAACCAATGGCCAGGCCCACAAGGGGGCCCTCAAGGCAGAGGCCAGCCTGGGGCCTGGCAGATGGGGCCGCCTGCACAGACGGCCCTGTACAATCCAGGAGAGGAGGAGAAGGGAGAAGTAGTTTAGTTAGAATTGTCAGAGCAACCAGAACATTTGTTTTTAAAGAACCATAACCTTCCTCGAATCAAGCTAACAGTGGAGGCTTTCATCAATGTTGAGTCAATAATATTTATTGTTGATACGGGAGCTACGATGTCTGTGATTAACTGTAAAGGCTATGACAAAACCTCCCATGTCTAGTGAAACAGTCAAAACTAGGGCCTTCAGGCCTCCCATTCAGAGAGCATGTAACTATGCCTCTGCCTGTCTCCTTTTATGAGGAGAAGTGTCAGCATCAATTTCTCTACTCTGACCACTGTCCTGTCAATCTGATGGGCAGGGACCTCCTGTGTAAACTAGGCATCAACATAACATGTGGCCCAACCGGTTTAACTGTTATTTGTGAGGAGGGGGAGCAATTGATGTTAATGTCTGAGTTTTGTGACTGGTATTATGCATTGGGGTCACGAGGGCAGTTATGTCTGAAGCAGGCTTACATTGCACCTCCCATTTCTCACCATTGACAAGAGACCTGAGATGAGAACAAATGGCTGTTAGAAAGTGTAGCGCCAGAATCTATCCAGTGTGAAGGGTTGTATTGTAGCAGTGATTATTATTATTTTAATTTTTTTAATTTCTTCAACGAGGCGGCCGCGAGGGATATCCTACAGACACCCGACAAGGCCCAAATCCCCGTCATTCGCGTGAGGAAGAGACGGAGATATCGTGGACGTAGGTCGGGGTGCCTTGTAAGGATCCGACGGCGAGCGAGTAAACTGCCTCTTCCATCAATCCTATTAGCCAATCTTCAATCATTCGATAACAAATTGGATGACCTAAGATTACGGTTATCCTACCAACGGGACATTAGAAACTGTAATATCTTATGTTTCACAGAGTCGTGGCTGAACGACGACATGGATAACATACAGCTAGCGGGCTATACGCTACATCGGCAGGATAGAACGGCTGACTCCGGTAAGACAAGGGGTGGCGGTCTGTGTATATTTGTAAAAAACAGCTGGTGCACAAAATCAAATACTAAGGAAGTCTCAAGGTTTTGCTCGCCTGAGGTAGAGTATCTTATGATAAGCTGTAGACCACACTATTTACCAAGAGAGTTTTCATCTATATTTTTCATAGCTGTCTATTTACCACCACAAACCAATGCTGGCATTAAGATTGCATTGAATGAGCTGCATAAGGCCATAAATCAACAGGAAAACGCTCATCCAGATGCAGCGCTCCTAGTGGCCGGGGACTTTAATGCAGGGAAACTTAAATCCGTTTTGCTAGCACAGACTGGAACATGTTCCGGGATTCTTCAGATAGCATTGAGGAGTACACCACATCAGTCACTGGCTTCATCAATAAGTGCATCGATGATGTCGTCCCCACAGTGACCGTATGTACATACCCCAACCAGAAGCCATGGATTACAGGAAACATCCGCACTGAGCTAAAGGGTAGAGCTGCCGCTTTCAAGGAGCGGGACTCTAACCCGGACGCTTATAAGAAATCCTGCTATGCCCTCCGACGAACCATCAAACAGGCAAAGAGTCAATACAGGACTAAGATTGAATCGTACTACACTGGCTCTGACGCTCGTCGGATGTGGCAGGGCTTGAAAACTATTACAGACTACAAAGGGAAGCACAGCCGCGAGCTGCCCAGTGACACAAGACTTCCAGACGAGCTAAACCACTTCTATGCTCGCTTCGAGGCAAGCAACACTGAAGCATGCATGAGAGCACCAGCTGTTCCGGATGACTATGTGATCACGCTCTCCGTAGCCGATGTGATTAAGACTTTTAAGCAGGTCAACATTCACAAGGCCGCTGGGCCAGACGGATTACCAGGACGTGTACTCCGAGCATGTGCTGACCAACTGGCAAGTGTCTTCACTGACATTTTCAACATGTCCCTGACTGAGTCTGTAATACCAACATGTTTCAAGCAGACCACCATAGTCCCCGTGCCCAAGGACTCTAAGATAACCTGCCTAAATGACTACCGACCCATAGCACTGACGTCTGCAACCATGAAGTGCTTCGAAAGGCTGGTCATGGCTCACATCAACAGCATTATCCCAGAAACCCTAGACTCACTCCAATTTGCATACCGCCCCAACATATCCACAGATGATGCAATCTCTATTGCACTCCACACTGCCCTTTCCCACCTGGAGAAGAGGAACACCTACGTGAGAATGCTATTCATTGACTACAGCTCAGCATTCAACACCATAATGCCCTCAAAGCTCATCACTAAGCTAAGGATCCTGGGACTAAACAACTCCCTCTGCAACTGGATCCTGGACTTCCTGACAGGCCGCCCCCAAGTGGTAAGGGTAGGTAAGAACACATCTGCCACAATGATCCTCAACACAGGGGGCCCCTCAGGGGTGCGTGCTCAGTCCCCTCCTGTACTCCCTGTTCACCCATGACTGCATGGCCAGGCACGACTCCAACACCATCATTAAGTTTGCCGACGACACAACAGTGGTAGGCCTGATCATCGACAACGATGAGACAGCCTATAGGGAGGAGGTCAGAGACCTGGCCGTGTGGTGCCAGGACAACAACCTCTCCCTCAACGTGACCAAGACAAAGGAGATGATTGTGGACTACAGGAAAAAAAAGAGGACTGAGCACGCCCCCATTCTCATCGACGGGGCTGTAGTGGAACAGGTTGAGAGCTTCAAGTTCCTTGGTGTCCACATCACCAACGAACTATCATGGTCCAAACACACCAAGACAGTCGTGAAGAGGGCACGACAAAGCCTATTCCCCCTCAGGAGACTGAAAAGATTTGGCATGGGTCCTCAGATCCTCAAAAAATTCTACAGCTGCATCATCGAGAGCATCCTGACTGGTTGCATCACCGCCTGGTATGGCAACTGCTTGGCCTCCGACCGCAAGGCACTACAGAGGGTAGTGCGTACGGCCCAGTACATCACTGGGGCCAAGCTTCCTGCCATCCAGGACCTCTATACCAGGCGGTGTCAGAGGAAAGCCCTCAAAATTATCAAAGACTCCAGCCACCCTAGTCATAGACTGTTCTCTCTGCTACCGCACGGCAAGCGGTACCGGAGTGCCAAGTTTAGGTCCAAAAGACTCCTCAACAGCTTCTACCCCCAAGCCATAAGACTCCTGAACAGCTAATCATGGCTACCCGGACTATTTACACAAAATCCCCCCCCCCAGGATGAAGGGGGCTGAGCCCCTTGTAGTCACTCCCAAAGATACCAGTCTCCCTCCAGAGCAAAGTATCCACTCAGTAAAGAGGCTATTGCGGGTATCACACCTGTATATGCCTCACTGTTAGAGCACAGAGCGTTAGTCCTGTGTCCAGAGTAACCTTGCAATACCCCTATCTTTCCAGTAAGAAAAGCCTCAGGGGATTGGTGTTTTGTACAAGGTTTAAGGCCTGTGAATAATGCTGTGTTTGCTCGTGCCCCTGTGGTTCCCAATCCAACTATGTTATGTGATTTATTTTGATGATTGTTTTTGTAAGAGAAATGCACTGCTTGAAAAGCATTTACTGCTGTTAGCGGGTTATAATTGTTTTAGATGTCATTTATTTTGTAGACTGTAGTTTTACAAAATTATAACTAAGCTACTGACTCAAGGAGTTATGACTGATTTCCAACAATACCATTTTCTGTCAACCTGCTAGTTGTAGCAGTGTTGTAACCGCTAACCTTTGCTTTCACAGCACTACCGGTGAAGACATTAGAATTCTACGTTTTAAAGGTTAAATGCTTTTAGCCTTGTGTAGAGAAGGCCTGTGTACACCATTTGAAAAGGTGTTCTTGATGTAACCGATTCCTGGTTTTCAAGTAAGTTGTTACGTGTAGTAAGAATACCTGTCCTTTCGGGAACTTAATTTTAAGTAGTGAGAATTGTGTTGACTGATCTTTGGAATTGAATTGAAGTGAACCTAATTCAATTTAAAATAGGCCTGGAATTAGTTAACTGATTGATCTAAGATGATTTGACTGCTGTTAAGAAATGTAGATACTGTTAGAGAACTAAACAAATAAAGAGGGGTACCCCATGAATTAATGTATGGACGCACACAATAACAGAATGATTGTGAATGAATGATTGCATAATGATGAACTGTTTGAACTGTTTAACACATGTTGACACTTACAGGAATGGTGGAAATCCATTTTCTGATTTCACCCATGGCCACAAGATGGCGATGAAGGACAAGATAAAGTGGACTCCTGAGGATTTGCAGGCAGTTGACAAAATCTGACACAGTTGCTAACCTTTTCTCCTTGTTTAGGTTTGCCGGATCATTCTAAACCATTTAATCTATTGGTGTTTAAAATCCACCTTAAAGGGCACACAAATGACATTTTCTGAAGTTTCTATTGCCAGAGTTTTGGTTGCACACGTAAATTATCCTGATAACAAATGTACTGAAACACCCAGTGTAAACCTGGTACACAAAATGTTTGAAATGTCTTTAAATAATGTCTGAGGTCAGTGATGTTTGACCTGTTGCATACTTAGAAATGCGCCTGTTGTAGACAGAGGTTTACTCACAAGGTCGGCTCAGTAGGAGTGGAATATTGGCTTAATGCCCAGACGCTTTTGCAGCATGATGCTGCCACCCCCGTGCTTCACGGTTGGGATGGTGTTCTTCAGCTTGCAAGCAACCCCCTTTTTCCTCCAAACATAACGATGGTCATTATGGCCAAACAGTTCTATTTTTGTTTCATCAGACCGGAGGACATTTCTCCAAAAAGTACGATCTTTGTCCCCATGTGCAGTTGCAAACCGTAGTCTGGCTTTTTTATGGCGGTTTTGGAACAGTGGCTTCTTCCTTGCTGAGCGGCCTTTCAGGTTATGTCGATATAGGACTCGTTTTACTGTGGATATACAGTGGGGAAAAAAAGTATTTAGTCAGCCACCAATTGTGCAAGTTCTCCCACTTAAAAAGATGAGAGAGGCCTGTAATTTTCATCATAGGTACACGTCAACTATGAAAGACAAATTGAGATTTTTTTTCTCCAGAAAATCACATTGTAGGATTTGTAATGAATTTATTTGCAAATTATGGTGGAAAATAAGTATTTGGTCACCTACAAACAAGCAAGATTTCTGGCTCTCACAGACCTGTAACTTCTTCTTTAAGAGGCTCCTCTGTCCTCCACTCGTTACCTGTATTAATGGCACCTGTTTGAACTTGTTATCAGTATAAAAGACACCTGTCCACAACCTCAAACAGTCACACTCCAAACTCCACTATGGCCAAGACCAAAGAGCTGTCAAAAGACACCAGAAACAAAATTGTAGACCTGCACCAGGCTGGGAAGACTGAATCTGCAATAGGTAAGCAGCTTGGATTGAAGAAATCAACTGTGGGAGCAATTATTAGGAAATGGAAGACATACAAGACCACTGATAATCTCCCTCGATCTGGGGCTCCACGCAAGATCTCACCCCGTGGGGTCAAAATGACCACAAGAACGGTGAGCAAAAATCCCAAAACCACACGGGGGGACCAAGTGAATGACCTGCAGAGAGCTGGGACCAAAGTAACAAAGCCTACCATCAGTAACACACTACGCTGCCAGGGACTCAAATCCTGCAGTGCCAGACGTGTCCCCCTGCCTAAGCCAGTACATGTCCAGGCCCATCTGAAGTTTGCTAGAGTGCATTTGGATGATCCAGAAGAGGATTGGGAGAATGTCAAATGGTCAGATGAAACCAAAATATAACTTTTTGGTAAAAACTCAACTCGTCATGTTTGGAGGACAAAGAATGCTGAGTTGCATCCAAAGAACACCATACCTACTGTGAAGCATGGGGGTGGAAACATCATGCTTTGGGGCTGTTTTTCTGCAAAGGGACCAGGACAACTGATCCATGTAAAGGAAAGAATTAATGGGGCCATGTATCGTGAGATTTTGATTGAAAACCTCCTTCCATCAGCAAGGGCAGTGAAGGTGAAACGTGGCTGGGTCTTTCAGCATGACAATGATCCCAAACACACTGCCCGGGCAACGAAGGAGTGGCTTCGTAAGAAGCATTTCAAGGTCCTGGAGTGGCCTAGCCAGTCTCCAGATCTCAACCCCATAGAAAATCTTTGGAGGGAGTTGAAAGTCCGTGTTGCCCAGCGACAGCCCCAAAACATCACTGCTCTAGAGGAGATCTGCATGGAGGAATGGGCCAAAATACCAGCAACCGTGTGTGAAAACCTTGTGAAGACTTACAGAAAACGTTTGACCTGTGTCATTGCCAACAAAGGGTATATAACAAAGTATTGAGAAACTTTTGTTATTGACCAAATACTTATTTTCCACCATAATTTGCAAATAAATTCATTAAAAATCCTACAATGTGAATTTCTGGATTTTTTTTCCTCATTTTGTCTGTCATAGTTGACGTGTACCTATGATGAAAATGACAGGCCTCTCTCATCTTTTTAAGTGGGAGAACTTGCACAATTGGTGGCTGACTAAATACTTTTTTTCCCCACTGTATGAGTAGTAACGGAACTAACGTTATAACTTGTTTGTGTGCTATGACCTGATTCACAAAGCCACAAGAAGAAAACAAGGTAGCTCCTGATCTGCCGGGGAGGGGTAGAACCAGCCATGACTAAGAATTTGTTGGTCCACTATATAAGACGTCAGCATTTCCTGTTCGTTGGGCTCTCACTCTATCCACTTGGTTGTGTGGTATTGCGACCAGCTCACTTATCGATAAGTTATTTTAATAAAGATTTAATTTAAGTTCAACTCTGACTTGTGTGATAAGTTTGTCTGTCCTTATTTGATAGTATTTAAAATGTCCACCACAAAACCCCGCCCATCTGGCACTCCATGCAGGCTCAATCAAACAACATTCAAAGTATTTAAAAGAAAATAAATACTATTCGAACCTAGGTAATTCATAGTTGTTATCAGATGCCACTGATGTCAGCTGTTTGAATAACTTTAAAACTTTGAAACTTAACTGATCAAGGTCACTGACACGTTCTCCGCCCTGGTTCCTGTCTTTCAATCATCTATATACTTTGGCTCTCAGCATTCATAGCCAATTTACCAATCATCCTCTCAATTACCACACGCAAATTAGCTATTTGATGAGCTAAATTAGTAAATTAATAGTTTCCAACTTTTCCATGTCGCTAGAGGTTCTAAAGCATCAAACTGTCACTGTGGCATATTAAAGGTGCCCACCAGAGGGCAAAGCCACGCCTATTTTGACGTAATTCCTGCAATTGCTTGTTTAGGTTCCACCTCCCAAGAATGACACAGGCTACAGTACCAGTCAAAGGTTTGGACACACCTACTAATTCAAGGGGTTCTTTATTTTAACTATTTTCTACATTGTAAAATAATAGTGAAGACATCAAAACTATGAAATAACACATATGGAATCATGTAGTAACCCAAAAAGTGTTAAACAAATCAAAATATATTTTAGATTTTAGATTCATCAAACTAGCCACCCTTTGCCTTGATGACAGCGTTGCACACTCTTGGCATTCTCTCAACCAGATTCACCTGGAATGCATTTCAATTAACAGATGTGCCATGTTAAAAGTAATTTGTGGAATTTCTTTACTTCTTAATGTGTTTTCCATAATCACAAATATTGTTGTAAAGGAAATCACACTACAAACTATCACCCTCATGCTCTTAAGTAAATCATGAATGTTATGGATACATTAGAACTAGTGGATATATGGACACTTAAATATCCTGACTTAGTTAAATATACATGGCGGAGACTCAATCAAGCTAGTCGTCTTGACTTCTTTTTTATGTCATTCCCGTTGGCACCAAAAGTTTAAAAAGTGTTGATAGGGTACAGAATGCGGTCGGACCATCATATAAGTGGCATATACATTACTCTTACTGAATTTCCACGTGGGCAAGGATCTTGGAAATTTCATCAAAGCTTATTGGATGATAACTTGTTTTTAACTAGGACAAAGGAATTTATAACTGAATTTGTCCGACATAACATAGGTACAGCAAATCCCCTTATTGTATGGGACACCTTTAAATGGGCCTTTAGAGGCCATGCAATTCAGTACTCATCTCGAAAACAAAAGCAATTTAGGTCAAGAGTCCATACTAACAAAGGAAATGGAAGGTCTAACAGAACAGATAGATATCAATAAAAACTGTAACATAGAGGCTCTGAATAAATTACAGAAAAAAACTAAAAGAAATGGATGGAACTTAATCAAGAAAGATCAAGTGTAATATATTATAAAAATAAAGCAAACTGGATGGAATATTGGGAAAAATGCACCAAATTATGTTTTTATTTTCAACATAGAAATGCTACCAAAAATAATTTACTGAAACTGGTTACAAATGACGGAGTCACTCATTATTTACCAAATGAGGAAGCAAAGTACTTAAAGCATATGTTTTCCGTATATACACTGCTCAATAAAATAAAGGGAACACTAAAATAACACATCCTAGATCTGAATGAATGAAATAATCTTATTAAATACTTTTTTCTTTACATAGTTGAATGAGCTGACAACAAAATCACACAAAAATGATCAATGGAAATCAAATGTATCAACCCATGGAGGTCTGGATTTGGAGTCACCCTCAAAATTAAAATGGAAAACCACACTACAGGCTGATCCAACTTTGATGTAATGTCCTTAAAACAAGTCAAAATGAGGCTCAGTAGTGTGTGGCCTCCACGTGCCTGTATGACCTCCCTACAACGCCTGGGCATGCTCCTGATGAGGTGGCGAATGGTCTCCTGAGGGATCTCCTCCCAAACCTGGACTAAAGCATCCGCCAACTCCTGGACAGTCTGTGGTGCAACGTGGCGTTGGTGGATGGAGCGAGACAGGATGTCCCAGATGTGCTCAAGTGGATTCAGGTCTGGGGAACGGGCAGGCCAGTCCATAGCAACAATGCCTTCCTCTTGCAGGAACTGCTGACACACTCCAGCCACATGAGGTCTAGCATTGTCTTGCATTAGGAGGAACCCAGGGACAACCGCACCAGCATATGGTCTCACAAGGGGTCTGAGGATCTCATCTCGGTACCTAATGGCAGTCAGGCTACCTCTGGCAAGCACATGGAGGGCTGTGCGGCCCCCCAAAGAAATGCCACCCCACACCATGACTGACCCACCGCCAAACCGGTCATGCTGGAGGATGTTGCAGGCAGCAGAACGTTCTCCACGGCATCTCCAGACTCTGTCACTTGCTCAGTGTGAACCTGCTTTCATCTGTGAAGAGCACAGGGCGCCAGTGGCGAATTTGCCAATCTTGGTGTTCTCTGGCAAATGCCAAACGTCCTGCACGGTGTTGGGCTGTAAGCACAACCCCCACCTGTGGACGTCGGGCCCTCATACCACCCTCATGGAGTCTGTTTCTGACCATTTGAGCAGACACATGCACATTTGTGGCCTGCTGGAGGTCATTTTGCAGGGCTCTGGCAGTGCTCCTCCTGCTCCTCCTTGCACAAAGGCGGAGGTAGAAGTCCTGCTGCTGGGTTGTTGCCCTCCTACGGCCTCCTCCACGTCTCCTGATGTACTGGCCTGTCTCCTGGTAGCGCCTCCATGCTCTGGACACTATGCTGACAGACACAGCAAACCTTCTTGCCACAGCTCGCATTGATGTGCCATCCTGGATGAGCTGCACTACCTGAGCCACTTGTGTGGGTTGTAGACTCCGTCTCATGCTACCACTAGAGTGAAAGCACCGCTAGCATTCAAAAGTGACCAAAACATCAGCCAGGAAGCATAGGAACTGAGAAGTGGTCTGTGGTCACCACCTGCAAAACCAGTCCTTTATTGGGGGTGTCTTGCTAATTGCCTATAATTTCCACCTGTTGTCTATTCCATTTGCACAACAGCATGTGAAAAGCAGAACTTAATATTTGGTACATAAACCTTTGTTTGCAATTACAGAGATCATACGTTTCCTGAAGGTCTTGACCAGGTTTGCACACACTGCTTTTGGCCCACAGGTTTTGGCCCACTCCTCCATACAGACCTTCTCCAGATCCTTCAGGTTTCGGGGCTGTCGCTGGGCAATACGGACTTTCAGCTCCCTCCAAAGATTTTCTATTGGGTTCAGGCCTGGAGACTGGCTAGGCCACTCCAGGACCTTGAGATTCTTCTTACGGAGCCACTCCTTAGTTGCCCTGGCTGTGTGTTTCGGGTCGTTGTCATGCTGGAAGACCCAGCCACGACCCATCTTCAATGCTCTTACTGAGGGAAGGAGGTTGTTGGCCAAGATCTCGCGATACATGGCCCCATCCATCCTCCCCTCAATAGGGTGCAGTCGTCCTGTCCCCTTTGCAGAAAAGCATCCCCAAAGAATGATGTTTCCACCTCCATGCTTCACGGTTGGGATGGTGTTCTTGGGGTTGTACTCATCCTTCTTCTTCCTCCAAACACGGCAAGTGGAGTTTAGACCAAAAAGCTCTATTTTTGTCTCATCAGACCACATGACCTTCTCCCATTCCTCCTCTGGATCATCCAGATGGTCATTGGCAAACTTCAGACGGGCCTGGACATGCGCTGGCTTGAGCAGGGGGACCTTGCGTGCGCTGCAGGATTTTAATCCATGACGGCGTAGTATGTTACTAATGGTTTTCTTTGAGACTGTGGTCCCAGCTATCTTCAGGTCATTGACCAAGTCCTGCCGTGTAGTTCTGGGCTGATCCCTCACCTTCCTCATGATCATTGATGCCCCACGAGGTGAGATCTTGCATGGAGCCCCAGACTGAGGGTGAATTACCGTCATCTTAAACTTCTTCCATTTTCGAATAATTGCGCCAACAGTTGTTGCCTTCTCACCAAGCTGCTTGCGTATTGTCCTGTAGCCCATCCCAGCCTTGTGCAGGTCTACAATGTTATCCCTGATGTCCTTACACAGCTCTCTGGTCTTGGCCATTGTGGAGAGGTTGGAGTCTGTTTGATTGAGTGTGTGGACAGGTGTCTTTTATACAGGTAACAAGATCAAACAGATGGAGTTAATACAGGTAATGAGTGGAGAACAGGAGGGCTTCTTAAAGAAAAACTAACAGGTCTGTGAGAACCGGAATTCTTACTGGTTGGTAGGTGATCAAATACTTATGTCATGCAATAAAATGCAAATTAATTACTTAAAAATCATAAAATGAGATTTTCTGGATTTTTGTTTTAGATTCCGTCTCTCACAGTTGAAGTGTACCTATGATAAAAATTACAGACCTCTACATGCTTTGTAAGTAGGAAAACCTGCAAAATTGGCAGTGTATCAAATACTTGTTCTCCCCACTGTAAGTACAGTGATGGAAAAAAGTATTTGATCCCCTGCTGATTTTGTATGTTTGCCCACTGACACAGACATGATCAGTCTATAATGTTTATGGTAGGTTTATTTGAACAGTGAGAGACAGAATAACAACAAAAAAATCCAGAAAAACGCATGTCAAAAATGTTATAAATTGATTTGCATTTTAAATGAGGGAAATAGGTATTTGACCCCCTCTCAATCAGAAAGATTTCTTGCTCCCAGGTGTCTTTTTTTACAGATAACAAGCTGAGATAAGGAGCACACTCTTAAAGGGAGTGCTCCTAATCTCAGCTTGTTACCTGTATAAAAGACACCTGTCCACAGAAGCAATCAATCAATCAGATTCCAAATGCTCCACCATGGCCAAGACCAAAGAGCTCTCCAAGGATGTCAGGGACAAGATTGTAGACCTACACAAGGCTGGAATGGGCTACAAGACCATCGCCAAGCAGCTTGGTGAGAAGGTGACAACAATTGGTGCGATTATTCGCAAATGGAAGAAACACAAAATAACTGTCAATCTCCCTCGGCCTGGGGCTCCATGCAAGATCTCACCTCGTGGAGTTGCAATGATCATGAGAACGGTGAGGAATCAGCCCAGAACTACACGGGAGGATCTTGTCAATGATCTCAAGGCAGCTGGGACCATAGTCACCAAGAAAACAATTGGTAACACACTATGCCGTGAAGGACTGAAATCCTGCAGCGCCCGCAAGGTCCCCCTGCTCAAGAAAGCACATATACAGGCCCGTCTGAAGTTTGCCAATGAACATCTGAATGATTCAGAGGAGAACTGGGTGAAAGTGTTGAACTCTGACTACCAGGGTTGAAATTGAGCTCTTTGGCATCAACTCAACTCGCCGTGTTTGGAGGAGGAGGAATGCTGCCTATGACCCCAATAACACCATCCCCACCGTCAAACATGGAGGTGGAAACATTATGCTTTGGGGGTGTTTTTCTGCTAAGGGGACAGGACAACTTCACTGCATCAAAGGGACGATGGACGGGGCCATGTACCGTCAAATCTTGGGTGAGAACCTCCTTCCCTCAGCCAGGGCATTGAAAATGGGTCGTGGATGGGTATTCCAGCATGACAATGAACCAAAACACACGGCCAAGGCAACAAAGTAGTGGCTCAAGAAGAAGCACATTAAGGTCCTGGAGTGGCCTAGCCAGTCTCCAGCCCTTAATCCCATAGAACATATGTGGAGGGAGCTGAAGGTTTGAGTTGCCAAACGTCAGCCTCGAAACCTTAATGACTTGGAGAAGAGGAGTGGGACAAAATCCCTCCTGAGATGTGTGCAAACCTGGTAGCCAACTACAAGAAACGTCTGACCTATGTGGTCCTCTGTAGCTCAATTGGTAGAGCATGGCGCTTGTAACGCCAGGGTAGTGGGTTCGATCCCCGGGACCACCCATACAGTGGGGAAAAAAAGTATTTAGTCAGCCACCAATTGTGCAAGTTCTCCCACTTAAAAAGATGAGAGAGGGCTGTAATTTTCATCATAGGTACACGTCAACTATGACAGACAAAATGAGAAAAAAAAATCCAGAAAATCACGTTGTAGGATTTTTAATGAATTTATTGGCATATGATGGTGGAAAATAAGTATTTGGTCAATAACAAAAGTTTCTCAATACTTTGTTATATACCCTTTGTTGGCAATGACACAGGTCAAACGTTTTCTGTAAGTCTTCACAAGGTTTTCACACACTGTTGCTGGTATTTTGGCCCATTCCTCCATGCAGATCTCCTCTAGAGCAGTGATGTTTTGGGGCTGTCGCTGGGCAACACAGACTTTCAACTCCCTCCAAAGATTTTCTATGGGGTTGAGATCTGGAGACTGGCTAGGCCACTCCAGGACCTTGAAATGCTTCTTACGAAGCCACTCCTTCGTTACCTGGGCGGTGTGTTTGGGATCATTGTCATGCTGAAAGACCCAGCCACGTTTCATCTTCAATGCCCTTGCTGATGGAAGCAGGGTTTCACTCAAAATCTCACGATACATGGCCCCATTCATTCTTTCCTTTACACAAATCAGTCGTCCTTGTCCCTTTGCAGAAAAACAGCCCCAAAGCATGATGTTTCCAACCCCATGCTTCACAATAGGTATGGTGTTCTTTGGATGCAACTTAGCATTCTTTGTCCTCCAAACATGACGAGTTGAGTTTTTACCAAAAAGTTATATTTTGGTTTCATCTGACCATATGACATTCTCCCAATCCTCTTCTGGATCATCCAAATGCACTTCAGACGGGCCTGGACATGTACTGGCTTAAGCAGGGGGACACGTCTCGCACTGCAGGATTTGAGTCCCTGGCGGCGTAGTGTGTTACTGATGGTTGGCTTTGTTACTTTGGTCCCAGCTCTCTGCAGGTCATTCACTAGGTCCCCCCGTGTGGTTCTGGGATTTTTGCTCACCGTTCTTGTGATCATTTTGACCCCACGGGGTGAGATCTTGCGTGGAGCCCCAGATCGAGGGAGATTATCAGTGGTCTTGTACGTCTTCCATTTCCTAATAATTGCTCCCACAGTTGATTTCTTCAAACCAAGCTGCTTACCTATTGCAGATTCATTCTTCCCAGCCTGGTGCAGGTCTACAATGTTGTTTTTGGTGTCCTTTGACAGCTCTTTGGTCTTGGCCATTGTGAAGTTTGGAGTGTGACTGTTTGAGGTTGTGGACAGGTGTATTTTATACTGATAACAAGTTCAAACAGGTGCCATTAATACAGGTAACGAGTGGAGGACAGAGGAGCCTCTGAAAGAAGAAGTTACAGGTCTGTGAGAGCCAGAAATCTTGCTTGTTTGTAGGTGACCAAATACTTATTTTCCACCATAATTTGCAAATAAATTCATAAAAAATCCTACAATGGGATTTTCTGGATTTTTTTTTCTCATTTTGTCTGTCATAGTTGACGTGTACCTATGATGAAAATTACAGGCCTCTCTCATCTTTTTAAGTGGGAGAACTTGCACAATTGGTGGCTGACTAAATACTTTTTTTCCCCACTGTACGTAAAAATGTATGCGCACATGACTGTAAGTCGCTTTGGATAAAAGCGTCTGCTAAATGGCATATTATATTATTATATTATATATGTGATTGCCAACAAGGGTCGAATACTTATTTCCCTAATTAAAATGCAAATGAATTCATAACATGTTTGACATGCATTTTTCTGGATTTTGTTGTTGTTATTCTGTCTCGCACTGTTCAAATAAACCTACCATTAAAATGATAGACTGATCATGTCTTTGTCAGTGGGCAAACGTACAAAATCAGCAGGGGATAAAATACTTTTTTCCCTCACTGTATGTATGTTTATATATATATATATATATATTTGCGAGAAAAAAAAAACATATGGGTGATTGGAAGTAATGCAGACAATTACATTGATGGAAGTTACAATCTATCTGCAATATTAAAGCTGATCTACACCCTAAAAATAAATAAAAATACAAAATAAATAAAACTATTATTGTTTCAGCTGTTTGAAGCTGGTGTACAGAACTGAAAGTAGAAGACGCAAAAACAAAACTGAAGAATGGGAAGCATAGAAAATGTATTTTATTTTACCTTTATTTAACTAGGCAAGTCAGTTAAGAACAAATTCTTATTTACAATGACGACCTACACCGGCCAAACCCGGACGACGCTGGGCCAATTGTGCGCCGCCCTATTGGACTCGCAATCACGGCCGGTTGTGATACAGCCTAGAATCGAACCAGGGGGTCTGTAGTGACGCCTCAAGCACTGAGATGCAGTGCCTTAGACCACTGCGCCAATCGTGCACATAGAACAGATGTACCACTTCTTAGACATGCTTTCAAGTAGAATTATATATCTATAACTCACATCTCTATGTAAATTTGGTCGGGTCGCCCAAAAAGTTAAAATTGCCACTTTAAAATGTACAATCAAGGCTCTCCTTAGGCATTTCTGACTAGGTGGTGCTGATGTAGGCCTAAGGGTGAGTAGGAGAGAGGTCTGGAAGTTGTGAAGTTGGAGAAGGAAATTGGAGCATTTTGCTATAAAAAAATAAATAAAACTTTAAATGCCATTTCCTGAACCCTAGAGTCTTAAATGATATTAAACAATGTAGCCAACACAGTAGTCTAGTGTGTGATCCTAAATTAAATTGAGGTGGTCTCAATGATACTTTCAAATTTTTTTGGGTTAAATTTAGGGGAGATTATCATTCTAATTCATAGGTGTCTTAATGTGGAAACTCTAGTGGAAATGTAAACTGGCATTTTTAATTTGTAGCTAACTACCTGTTTTGTAAAAGACGCCTTAGCTAAGGAGCTATCTAAGAAATAATATTGGTTATGTGCTTGACTAACGCATACAATTTTGGAAAATGTATTTGGCAAACAGTCCATTCTCCATATTCCCTACCCTTTTCCCTCACACATCAGTGGTATCAACAGACAAAGTGGAGAGCTGCCATCCAGCTGCAGGGACGAAAATAGTACTACGACTATGGGGGGCTGGGAGGGCTGGAGATTTTTTCTCCTCGTCTGAGTCCTATGATTGGTTCAGCTCCAACTTCAGAGTCAAAAACCACAATGTGCCTACTAGAAGCTTATTTTTGCATTGTTTAGGGTCGTTTTTTGTACCAGCATACTTTGACCTGAAATTGCGTGTATGGTACACAAAATACGTGCAGGTTGGCAGGTAGGGATAGAGAAGAGAGAGGAGAAAGAGAGAGATCCTCCTTACCCCTCTATAGGGTGCAGTGCGATGGCTCGGGGTTTCTCCATGCTCTGCCATAGGAGGACCTTGCGGTGGGTTCCATCCAGATTGGCCACCTCAATACGGGACGTCCCTGAGTCAGTCCAGTATAGCTTGTCATGGATCCAGTCTATAGCCAGACCACCTAGAGGGAGAGAGCAGGGTCATGTTCATTAGGCACCAAACGGAGGAAAACGGACTGAAACAGGGAGGGACTGTCTTGACTTAATTAAAAACAGTCTTTTGTTTTCCATTGCAAAAGTTTTAAAACATGTTATGTTGCATGCCCTAATAAACACAACCCTGGTAGTCAATAGATGGTAATATTAAAATGTGGCAAAAGAATCAGCGCTGTTGAGCCATCTAGTTTTTATCTAGGGGTTATGGTTTGGGGCAAACTTTGGGTAAAAGTGTAGAAGCTAAAATCACATTTGGGATTAAAGGGCGGCAGGTAGCCTAGCGGATAGAGCGTTGGGCCAGTAACCGAAAGATTGCTAGTTCGAATTCCTGAGCAGACTAGGTGAAATATCTGTTGATCTGCCCTTGAGCAAGGCACTTAACCCTAATTGCTCCAGGGTTGCTGTCATTAATGGCTGATCCCTGGCCGTGACCCCACTCTCTGAGGGTGTCTCAGAGTGGGATATGCAAAAAAACACATTTCCATTTCACACCACACACTTGTACAGGTTACACAGAACAAATATAAGCCCCCCTATTTGACCTTTTTGGATTAGAAAATGCCATCCATTTGTCTTCTTCAGCAAGGCCAGATTGTGTTGACTCGTAATTTGTCCTAAACCTTGTATTATGACTGTTGCAGTGCTGTACATACTATGTTGAAACATGTTCTGACCATAGTAAAACCATGTGTGGTCGTAGTTATAACTGGGCTTTCCTTTAAATAATTTTGTGTGTTCAGAATGTAGCATGACCATCTGTGATCGTATCAATGGTGGTGGAAAACCACCTGCTATGCATTCTCCCGTGTGTGTTTTGACCAGAGTTAGACCATAAACGGTCATGTTCATACCTGGACTCTCTAAGCCAGTGGAAACCACTTCCTCCACGTTGCTCCCGTTCAGGTTGGCCTTCATGATGCGGTCGAGCGTGACGTCGGACCAGAAGACCAGCTCCTGGTTGTGGTGGAAGTCCAGAGCGATAGCGTTTTCCAGGTTGTTCAGCAGCAGAGTGTACTCTGACCGATGGGGCAACACCTGGCGGATGTCTATACGGTTAGCGAACAGCAGCACTGGCTCAGGACCTAATGGGGGGGTACAGAGTAGGGTAAAGAGAGGAGGGTATAGAGAGGAGGGAGGGAAAGGAGAGAGGGAGGGTAGTGAGAAGCAAAATGAGGAGAGTAATAGAAAGAGGGAGAGAGGGGAGAGGGTGTGGAGTGCAAGGGAGAGAGGAAGAAAAACTCAGCTCTTGCAGGAAACTCCAGCTATCACTTTCAATAAGACCCAACATTAATATTAGTCAGTCAGTCAAGTACACCCCCTGGCCACTGGAACCCAAGCAGAGATGCTCGACCGGGGTTCACCAGTGATACACACCAGATTTGTGGGGTGCTGTATTGGCAATGTAGTGGACCCTAGCTTCATATCTAAATATAGTACAGACCAGGCCTGCGTTTCAAATGGCACCCTATTGCTTTATAGTGAACTACTTTAGTACAGTAGTGCACTATAGGATATAAGGTGCCATTTGGGATGCACCCAAGCACTCGCTTTTCTGACCTTAAACTATGAGCTAACCTCAGCCACAGTCCAACTCCCCCAAGCTTAGCAAGGGATATGGTTACAATTAAATGCAGATGAAACATGTTTGCATGTTTTAAACACAACTATGATGCATATGGGTCACCCACTACCCAGGGCAGAGTAAGGGAAATGGTTTGAATTCCATGCAGGCAAAACATGTTTAAGAAACACAAAACCCTGATGCATTTCAGGTAAACAACTTCCCCAGGCGCTCGCAATCCCTCCAAATGTTGAAGCCAAAGGTCTTAAATTGAAAGGTTGTGAGTGGACTCACCCAGCGCCTTGCAGCTGCGCTTGTCAGGCCTCAGCTCGTAGCCCTGCACACACCAGCACTGGAACCCCCCCTCTGTGTTGGTACAACCCTGGCTGCAGTAGCCCTCCTCTGCACACTCATCCACATCTGGGAACGGGGGGTGTAAGAGAATATGTGATGAAACTGCAAGTGTAAACACCTAAAATATATACATTTTCAATCAACTCATTATAAAATCAGCAGAGCTCATTTACGTTAAATTTTTTCAGTCTCTCATCGCACGCACACGCACACACACACACAATCTCACCCTGGCAGGCCCTGCCATCCTCCATCAGTCTGTAGCCAGTATGACAGGTACACTGGACCAGACCTCTGGCCATCTGACACTTCTGAGAACAGTCTCCGTTATTCAGGTTACAGTTGCCCTCGCTGGACCGCGGGCCTACACTCAAACACACACACACACTTGTTAGAGAGATATTATGATGTGGAGCCTTACAGAAGTTTCCGCATAAGCCCCCAAACACACACACACACACACACCCTTCCCCTTATACAGTCAGACATAACTCACGGCAGTCCTGGTGAGGGTGTTCGTCCGTCCCATCTCCACAGTCGCTGACCTCATTACAGACCTTCCTCTGGCCAATACAACGGCCGTTCCCACACAGGAACTGGTCTGGAGCACATGGATGGGGTGTCTGGTGGGGAGATAGATGGAGAAAGTTACAATGGGCTGGGAAAAAAGCTGTGAAGAACAATGGACAACATCTGAAAACTCTGTTTCAAATGGCACCCCTTGGGTCCTGGTCAAAAGTAGTGCACTATATAGGGAATAGGGTACCATTTGGGACTTAGCCTCTGACTTTTGAAGGATAGACACAAAAGGTCGGTGGGGTAATGGTAACCGTTCTTTAGATTGACTGGATCTAGACTCCACCCTGGGTGGGGTGATCATCCAATATACTTTCCCTCTGACAGTTTCCTCTCCCATGATGCTTTTCAGCATGGAGAGCTGTCCTGCAACTGTTGTCATGGATACTGAATTATAGGGTGCATGTCTGAGGTGTGAGATTTAGCTCAATGTTTGTTTAGCCCCGCCTATAATAACTAAGTCCCTGGAGCTCTCTTTCCTCCTTTGTATCCTTTTATTTCCTCTGTACTGTCTAGTTTAGATTAATGCCGATCTGCACAAGTGCACACACCCACACACGTACCAGTCTTCTCACAGTCATCTTCATCGCTGCCGTCAGAGCAGTCCTCCTCGCCGTCACATCTCCATGACAACCTGACACAGCGTCCCGATGCACAGCGGAACTGATCCGCAGTACACATGGAGGTGGCTGGAGGGAGAGGACAGGTTGGTTAGACACACACACACACACACACACACACACACACAATCTACATACATTGCATACACAAACACACAGAAACACACACACAATATGTACACACACACACACACAAGCAGATACTTACTGCAGTTCTTCTCATCTGATTGGTCATCACAGTCAAACTCCCCGTCACACCTCCAGCCAGCGTTGATGCACATCCCACTGCTGCACATGAACTCCACAGAACGACAAGGCTGGTGGGAGGCTGCAGGACACACACACATGCACGCACACACACACAATCACTACCGTGAGATAAAATGCAAATGCTTTTGGAACTTCAATCATCCCTGACAGTGTAAAACAATTTATCTGAAGGACCCTGATAATACAAAGATGCTTTTACAGGGACAGAACAGAAAGAAACATGTGGGGCAGGACATGCATGTTTGCAAAAGAATCAAACATATATATCCAAGACCAAACGAACACACACAAGGACACACACACTTTTATTCATGATCTAACAATAGAGCCTGTTCATATGAGGCTGAAGGGCTGAGGGTAGAAGATAAGGACAGAGAGCTGAGGAATGAATAAAGCGAGGGTAAAAAAGAGAGGAAGCGTGAGAGAACAAGTGCTGTAGAGTGTCTGCATGCGTCCATGTGAAGTGTTATCAGTTAGACAAGAGAAGGGAACAGCGCCAACAGAACAGAAGAGAGGGAGATAAGAAAGCTGTGTGTGTGATGAGGGGATGATCAAAACACCAGGTGGTGAGAGAGAGAGAGAGAGAGAGAGAGAGAGAGAGAGAGAGAGAGAGAGAGAGAAATGGAAAGACATTTTAAATGGACAGTGTTCTCATGTTCAAACCCACTTATCAGCTGGTACCCTGTCGTCCACATTGACACCCACACACACAGAGAACCGTTTCATCTACCCGTGTGTGCCCAACTCTCAGAATACACACACACACAACGAATACACAGACATAGCCATACACACACACACACACACCACTAAACACACAGATAACCGTTTGATCTGCTCGTGTGCCCAGATCGCTCTCCATTCTGAACACACACACCATGCCCATCTAAGAGTGTGCCAGTGTTTTTCTATCAAAGCGTCCAGCATACAGTCAATGCCAAGACATGCAGTGTGAGGATGGCTAGTCTTATTCCTCTCTGGTATGTCTCCTCTCCCAGCTGTAGTGTAAGGTCTTCTTTTCCTATTTTTTTTTATCTCTGTCCTTTTTCTTTTTCTTTGATGCGTTTTCAACTCTCCCAAAAAAATTATAAATATCCCCAGGCAAGGGGGGCAATTATCAAATCAAATCAAGTTTCTGTTGGTCACATACACATATTTAGCAGATGTTATTGCGGGTGTAGCGAAATGCTTGTGGAGGGCGGAGAAAGGGATGATAGAGGAGGAGAAGAGAGGGGACGAAGACATGCAACTAACATGACCTTACTGATCAGTCAGTCACAAAGAAAGCCTTTAAAAAAAAAAAGCTTATCACCGTTAAAGACAACATCAAAGAAGAGAGGAGTTTGAGAATCACTGCTCTCGCTCCTCTCATCCTACTCCCTAGTCTGATGCATGCTATTAGAGATCCATTCACAGGCATTTTGTGTGGGCTGCCATGACAGAGAGAATGAGAGAGAGTGTGTGTATCAGTGAGCGAGAGAGAGAGAAAGAGAGAGTGAGAGAAAGAGAAAGAAAGAGAGAGAGAGAACGAGAAAGAAAGCGAAAGAGAGACTGTGGGACAGGGAGAGATGAAAGACTGAGCTAGAGATACAGTAAGGTCTTAGTTATTATTAGTCTAACAGGGTACATTCTTTGGAGTGAAGAGGAGAAACATGATAGCCTGTGCTAATCGAAACGCTAGCTAGCTCGCGCGTATGTGTGTGTTAGAGAGAAAAAGACGGGAAGTGTTTTCCAACGCACGCAGACATGCACACACGCACGTAACATAGACACACCACGGAGCAGCAGGCTCTACCACGACAGCTGTCAGCAAGGAGAATGGGACAGGGCATTCCAGGAATCTGTGTTAGGGAACGCTCAGAGAGCCATAATAAGTGAGGGAGACAGATTTCTGCAGTGTAGCCATTACAGTCACTGCTCAAGCTCAATCATAGCTACAATGGTAACAGCTGGACCAGCCATCACCAACTTGTCTCAATTCTGTTTAACCTCAGCCGATCCTATCCTTATCTCTTTTCTTTTATGAACACTTGACTGGAAATTTGACACACTATTGCTTTCACCTGATAAGGCCTTAAAAATAAAACAAAGAGTGTCAGTGGCACCTCTCAAATACTGAACTTCACTCCCTCACTCCTGTCCCTCATGATAAAGTTGTAGCCCACCTGCAATCCTACCTGCCCCTAACATACTGACCCCTTTGTTTACATTCCACTTGAGAAATAGGGCGCTCGGCATTCTGGGTAGAATTCCAAGCTGTCGTCCGGCCACAGCAGGTTCTCTCTGTGTGTGTGTGTTTGTGTGTGTGTCTGTGTGTGTGTGTCTGTGTGTCTGTGTTTGTTTGTGTAGCAGAGGAATTTGAGGTACAGTATGTGTTTGCTGCCTGGCGGTGTAGCAGCCTCTGATGTAGCATTTATGGTGCTGGCGCCTGCAGATGTCAATGATTAGCTACCTGAATCAGACGTGTGTGTGTGTGTACTTACAGCAGTCGGACTCATCAGACCAGTCTCCACAGTCGTCGTCTCCGTCACAGTGGTAAATGTCCAGAATACAGCGTCCGTATGCACACTGGAACTCTTCAACACTACAGGTGGCCGTCATTACATCAGATGCTACAGAGGGAGAGAGAAAGGGAGAAAAAGAGAGAGGGGGGGGGGGGGGGGGGGGTACATATTTAACACACATTCTCCTCCACCCCCTCTCACTTTGCCCCCAAACCTTTCTGTCATAAACTATAAAGACAGTATGTGGTTCTGACATTCAGTGTGTTTTACACTAGGGCAGTCAAAATAGGTAAGGGGTGGGGATAGTTTGGTGAAGCTGTAATGTCGACACACTGACCCCTTGGCGACAAAGGGAAGATAAGGCTCAGAGTGTACACCTGTGCGAGGCCCTTTGAAATCCTGCTGCCAATTCTTTATCCATACCATTGAAATTCCCCTCGCCAGAGAGAGAGAGAGAGAGAGAGGGGACACACACGTACAGTATGTGTCTCAGGGGGAGTTGGGACATGCAAAAAAAACATTTCCATTTCACACATGCGTATAAATGATACGAGGCTGTCTGCGCTTTTTTAAGGTTCTTACTACTGAATAGTGTCTGTTCCAGGTGTGTAGGTGTCAAAATAAGAATACTGGAAGAGATGGAGACCCACACACTGTAGAAACAATGAATACATCCAAAACTGAGGCTTGAATGCAATTATTAAAACATCATGGTGGCCAAAAAATCACAGTGCAAGAAAGTGCATAATCGAAAGGTGGAAACAAAACACAAACGTTTTGGCCTCAGGCCATGTGTGTGCAGACAATTTACACTGATGATGGCCTGAGGCTGAAACGTTTGTGTTTTGTTTCCACCTTTCATTTATGCACTGATGATTTTTTGGACACCATGATGTTTTAATATACATCTTTATTTTGCATTAAAGCCTCAGTTTTGGATGTATTCCTTTTCAGACAGTGTGCAGGTCTCCATCTCTTTCCAGGACACATGTGTAGAATACACACTTGTACATGTGTGAAACAGGACAAATATAAGCACACACACACACACACACACACACACACACACAGGGCAACTCACGGCAGTTTTCCTCATCTGATCCGTCCTTGCAGTCACTGTCTCCATCACAGTACCAATGTTCAGCAATGCAGCTCCCATCTGTACAGCGAAACTCCTTATCGGAACACTTACGCATGTCTGAGAGAGAGAGAAAGAGGGGAGAAAGAGAGAGAAAGTAAGAGAGAGGATTGAGTTGTGACAAAGACTATGACTTTCTGAATATATGTGTATACTGTAGGAGTGAATGTGTGGTGTGCATGTGTGTGTTTGTGTGTGTGTGTGTGTGTGTGTGTGTAACTCACCACACTGCTCGTCACTGTTATCCCCACAGTCATTGTCCCCATCACAGTGCCACAGGCTGCGGATGCAGTAGCCGTTCTGACAATGGAACTCATCCTCTTCACACTCTCTAGGAGCTACAGGGGTGTCAATCAAAGGACAAATCACACAAACAATATTCTATACACCGCTTGTATGATGTAAGTATCTGATATGGGCGCATGCACACACCGCACAGCTTAGTGACCTTTCTCTTACTTTCATACAGAGAAAAGTAGCTGTCTATTAACCTCCAGTGGACAACCTCCCATCCACACTGATGGTTAACCTCTGATCTAAAATACACTGTCATATCCAGCACAACAACCCCCTCAAAACCTACTTCCTTACAATAATTTATCTGATGTTATCATTAGTTCCACTTACTAGCTCTCTTAGGCCTACAACAATGTCTCTCTCCCGTTCTCTCCTGCGCTGAATGGCCCCAGACCGGAGGTGATATATTATTTAAAGTGTGTTGTGTGTGTGTGTGTTGTGTGTGAGGGGGGTTGCTGCCTTAGAAGGTTAACTAATTATGAAATCTACCTCACTTATGCCTGGACTGCCAATAAAATGGATACAGCGGCTCAGTCAAAGAAACCCACTTAGAAACGTGACGGCAGTTCAGAGTGTAATACAAGTTAAGGAGCAGAGAGACAGAAAAAAGGGACGGGCACAGATATGTTTGAGGATAAAATGTGTCTTTTTCATTGAGACTGTACTTCCTACCTCAGTGACTATTGCGACGGAACGTGACCCAAATCTACTACCTCTCATCTCTTTCTCTTGTTTTCTCACACACAGTCTTCACAGCTTTAAGACCCAACCGAGTCCATCAGAACAGAAGAGACTAGATTTATTAGTATTTTTATTTAAGAGTACTCTTGCCCCTCTCCTATTCAGATGCAACAGAGTAGGAGAAGGACACGGAATAGAAGCAGAAGACAAAGCTAGCCCCTGGATGAGAGTCTCTAAACGATAACACTATGGCTGAATCTCATTCCAAAAACTAACTTGGCACACTAAGTAGAATTTAATTGAATCTCTCATCTGGCGCTCTCTTTCCTTCCCTCTCATTCCTAACCCAAACAGAGGAAAGTTCCAGAAGTCACGTGTCCTTAGGCAGATCATCAGTCAGAAAGCAGGCAGGGGTTAGAGATGAAAGGTCACTGTGATTCATTACCAGGGTCATTATGCATTGAGGTGTGTGTGTGTGAAAAAATGTATAAAACAAAATACATTCATTTTTAAACACTTTTAATGTTTCCTGGAGTATTACCTATGCACTTTCAGGGTTTGCCTTCCCTCCTTGCCCCCTGCCTGCCTTGCATCCTCCTCTCATCCCATGAGTTGACATAGAAAAGAGCAGAAGCTCTGAACTCTCCCATCAGTTCCTACCCTACAGGTTATAGAAAAGAGCTGAAGCTCTGAATAGTATTTGAACCCATATCTGGTGTGTGTGTGATACCACTGTGGATATGTAGTAATGTGTGTTCTGCTGAATGTTTGATAAACAAACAAAAAAAAATGATATGAACGTAGGACCACACACATCCACACAGACACGCTCACTCTGTCACTCACTTTCACACAAACGTCTCTTTTTCCAGTTTTGTTGTCTGAAACTTTGACAACTTGCTAAGCTCAAGTGGAGCATGACAGATTCTCCCCCGTCTCTCTCCTTTCTCTTCCCCTTCTCTCTTTAAATAATGGAATAAAACAATAGTGGGGGGAAAAAAACTAGGGAGGAGGACAGAAAGACAGAGAGAAAAAAGGCCTGAAATAATAAGTAGGCCGAGGAGCGAGGGAGGGGGAAATTTACGGAGCATGAAGATGAAACATTTATGGCTGGCTCACAGAAGACGGACCCCCCATCAGGATGGGATTCTACGTCTGGCTCCTGTAATATGGGTCAGACAGGAGAGAGGGAAGCTGGGAACGAGGAAAGAGAGAAAGAAAGAAAAAGAAAGAAAGAAAGAAAGAAGAAAGAAAGAAAGAAAAAAGAAAGAAGAGAAAGAAAGAAAGAAAGAAAGAAAGAAGAAAGACATAAAGAAAGAATAAAGAAAAAAGAAAAAAGAAGAAAGAAAGAAGAAAGAAATAAGACTAAGAAGAAAGAAAGAAAGAAATAACAAAAAGAAATAAAGACTCAGCCCTCCCTCCATACAGCTAAATCAAAAAACGCAAAGCACTAACCAATCCCCTCACTACACTCCCTCCCCCCTCACCAACCTCCCTCCCCCAGCCCACCCCTGCCCCCCCCACAAGAAAAAACCAACCCCAATTGAAGTCCCCGCCCACCTCCTCACAGTCCCCCCTTCCCCCTTGAAAAAATGAGGATGGAACCCCCACCTCCATACAGAGATTATCTGGAAAAAATGAGGAGGGAACGAGAGAATCTGAGAAAGAGAGAGAGACCTCACCTCCAAAAAAAAGGATGAATGGAGGTACAAGCTGGCAGAGTTAGCTTGGGTCAATTCCATCTCCTTAACATTCAGGAAATTCAATCCATGGAGTTGGAAATGAATCGTACCAGGTTTCTCATTCCGATTTGAGTGGTGATCTCTGAGAAGGACTTAATGGGTGTGGAGGTGTGTGGACTGAAATCTCGCTCAACCACAGGGTACCATGGATACCTCTGTTTATTATGACACCTTTTTATAACAGACAGTTGTGAATGTGTGTGTGTGTGTGTGTGTGTGTGTGCACGCGCAAACGTATTAGTCTTTGTCTGGAAGTCACTTTAAGCATTTGAAAATATTTAAATGAATCAAGAACATTATTTTGAAGGCTCCCTCATGAGCCATAGTATAGTTGAAAATAATTTCCCGGCATACATATCCACTCACTACACTGGTAACAGGGTATATAGCAGTATGATCAAGCCAATGGAAATACTCAGCCATCTACATGGATTATATGGGACACTTTCAACCCAGTGAGTCACTCTGGATAAAGCAGTTGCCCGTTGGACAGTCTTCATTTAGTCTGACCACTAACTACATCTCAACCCAGAAACAACTCTGACACTGACAGCTGGAGTGGATAGGGAAACATCAGTGGCCTGTGTATGTCTGCTTCCCAAATGGCACCCTATTCCATTGGGCTCTGCTCAAAAGTAGTGCACTGTATAGGGAATAGGGTGCCATTTGGGATGAAATATAGAAGTACATGTAAGTATAAATATGCACCAACTCCTGACGTGTATAAGTACATGGCGATATAAACATGAGTGTATAAATACACACTCCTCACTCACACCCTCCCACTCTCTCTATGCCCATCTACTGCTGCCAGCCAGCTGAAGCCTATTTCAGTTTCTTTCCCAGGCACGTGCACACATGCACACACATGCATACACACACAATAAGTGTTCCCCCAGGCAACAGGAGGAAGTGTTTGCACGGTAAGGTAAAAGGTCATCCTCAGAGTCAGGTGTGATTGCCATGGGAGCAGTGACCTCCCATTAGGGTGTGGTCACGTGTTGCCAGTGGACAGAAGGGGGAGTAGGGGTCTCCTTTACAACTCACTCATGATGACTGCTCCTTACCTGTGTACACACACACACACACACACACATCCCACTGGACGAAAAGGGTCCATATCAGGGGATATCTTTACATTACATATTTTTGATATTCTAGAGCATACAGACCATTTCCAATGGAATTTTTTATTAATTTTTTATTGTATTTTTTTGCACCATATCCTTACAAATTCTGAATCAAGATGTGTCTTTTCGACATATACGATATTGGGATTACTCCAAATATCACCGATGGACATTTTCTAGGGCCGGACATGGACTCATTCAATATCCTGAGATACAGTGGGGAGAACAAGTATTTGATACACTGCCGATTTTGCAGGTTTTCCTACTTACAAAGCATGTAGAGGTCTGTAATTTTTATCATAGGTACACTTCAAATGTGAGAGACGGAATCTAAAACAAAAATCCAGAAAATCACATTGTATGATTTTTAAGTAATTAATTTGCATTTTATTGCATGACATAAGTATTTGATACATCAGAAAAGCAGAACTTAATATTTGGTACAGAAACCTTTGTTTGCAATTACAGAGATCATATGTTTCCTGTAGGTCTTGACCAGGTTTGCACACACTGCAGCAGGGATTTTGGCCCACTCCTCCATACAGACCTTCTCCAGATCCTTCAGGTTTCGGGGCTGTCGCTGGGCAATACGGACTTTCAGCTCCCTCCAAAGATTTTCTATTGGGTTCAGGTCTGGAGACTGGCTAGGCCACTCCAGGATCTTGAGATGCTTCTTACGGAGCCACTCCTTAGTTGCCCTGGCTGTGTGTTTTGGGTCGTTGTCATGCTGGAAGACCCAGCCACGACCCATCTTCAATGCTCTTACTGAGGGAAGGAGGTTGTTGGCCTAGATCTTGCGATACATGGCCCCATCCATCCTCCCCTCAATCCGGTGCAGTCGTCCTGTCCCCTTTGCAGAAAAGCATCCCCAAAGAATGATGTTTCCACCTCCATGCTTCACGGTTGAGATGGTGTTCTTGGGGTTGTACTCATCCTTCTTCTTCCTCCAAACACGGCGAGTGGAGTTTAGACCAAAAAGCTCTATTTTTGTCTCATCAGACCACATTACCTTCTCCCATTCCTCCTCTGGATCATCCAGATGGTCATTGGCAAACTTCAGACGGGCCTGGACATGCGCTGACTTGAGCAGGGGAACTTGCGTGCGCTGCAGGATTTTAATCCATGACGGCGTAGTGTGTTACTAATGTTTTTTTTTGAGACTGTGGTCCCAGCTCTCTTCAGGTCATTGACCAGGTCCTGCCTTGTAGTTCTGGGCTGATCCCTCACCTTCCTCATGATCATTGATGCACCACGAGGTGAGATCTTGCATGGAGCCCCAGACCGAGGGTGATTGACCGTCATCTTGAACTTCTTCCATTTTCTAATAATTGCGCCAACAGTTTTTGCCTTCTCACCAAGCTGCTTGCCTATTGTCCTGTAGTCCATCCCAGCCTTGTGCAGGTCTACAATTGTATCCCTGATGTCCTTACACAGCTCTCTGGCCTTGGCCATTGTGGAGAGGTTGGAGTCTGTTTGATTGAGTGTGTGGACAGGTGTCTTTTATACAGGTAACGAGTTCAAACAGGTGCAGTTAATACAGGTAATGAGTGGAGAACAGGAGGGCTTCTTAAAGAAAAACTAACAGGTCTGTGAGAGACAGAATTCTTACTGGTTGGTAGGTGATCAAATACTTATGTCATGCAATAAAATGCAAATTATTACTTAAAAATCATACAATGTGATTTTCTGGATTTTTGTTTTATATTCCGTCTCTCACAGTTGAAGTGTACCTGGGATAATAATTACAGACCTCTACATGCTTTGTAAGTAGGAAAATCTGCAAAATCGGCAGTGTATCAAATACTTGTTCTCCCCACTGTATGTGATATCCTATTTTCTCTCTTCATGTTGACAAATACTGACTGTATGAATCACATATCTGTGTTTTCTCAGCACATTCAAGATAGTAAGCTATATTGATTCCAGATATGCTTCTCTTGGCTGAGGTCCATGTCCGGATCTTGATATGCTTTTTGATATGCTGAAAATAAGGACGAGTTTTCCGCACATGCATTTTTGGATTCCATAATTTTTGGATTCCCTCCAGACATCATACATGGTATTGCTGGATATTGACTCATTAGATATCCTGAGATAGGCCTATGTGGACATCTTATTTTCTCTATATGATGACTTTCAAGTACTTTTTCAAGCACTAATATTTATTTTCAAGGACCATAAATGTGTAACAGTTCATATTATGCAATGGTTTCTAGTCGCCACCAGATGGCAGTATATTACCACAGCCTCATGAAAAATAAAAATAAACTTCGCATTCATCACTACCTTACATGTTCTACTCAATAATATGTTGTTTCACTACTTATTTACTACATACATGAGTGGTAAGTCCGTACTGATGATTTTGTAATTTGAGTAGTGATGAGCCGAGTTTTGGGACATGCCTACTGGTGAACAAACATTTCCTATTCGCATTACTACACAATTCCAGCTAAATTACTGTTTTTATTGGGCATTTGGGAATCTACTACTTAATGGCTACAAAAAAACGTATTGCTTCCAACTGGCAGCTTTATTGGTTAGGTCCAGTGATGTAGTGGTAAAAAAAGGTGGGTAAACTATACTTAATAAAAATATAAAACACCACATGTAAAGTGTTGGTCCCATGAGCTGAAATACAATATCCCTGAAACTTTCCATATGCACAAAACGCAGGATTGAATCCACATTTGCCCGACATTTTTGCTATTGATGTGACGTTTGGCAGCGCCTAATCAGTCAGTGCTGTACAGTGCCTTGCAAAAGTATTCATCCCCCTTGGCGTTTTTCCTATTTTGTTGCATTACAACCTGTAATTTAAATGGATTTTTATTTGTAATGGACACACAAAATAGTCCAAATTGGTGAAGTGAAATTAAAAAAATTAATTGTTTCAAAAAATTCGAAAAAATAAATAACGGAAAAGTGGTGTGTGCATATGTATTCACTCCCTTTGCTATGAAGCCCCTAAATAAGATCTGGTGCAACCAGTTACCTTCAGAAGTCACATAATTAGTTAAATAAAGTCAATCTAAGTGTCACATGATCTCAGAATATATACACTTGTTCTGAAAGGCCCAAGAGTCTGCAACACCACTAAGCAAGGGGCACCACCAAGCAAGCGGCACCATGAAGACCAAGGAGCTCTCCAAACAGGTCAGGGACAAAGTTGTGGAGAAGTACAGATCAGGGTTGGTTTATAAAAAATATCCGAAACAAAAATGGAAAGAATATGGCACCACAACAAACCTGCCAAGAGAGGGCCGCCCACCAAAACTCATGGACCAGGCAAGGAGGGCATTAATCAGAGAGGCAACAAATAAACCAAAGACAACCCTGAAGGAGCTGCAAAGCTCCACAGCGGAGATTGGAGTATCTGTCCATAGGACCACTTTAAGCCGTACACTCCACAGAGCTGGGCTTTATGGAAGAGTGGCCAGAAAAAAGCCATTGCATGTTGATTTTTTTTTTTTTGTAAAAACGTTTGGTGTTCGCCAAAAGCCAAGTGGGAGACTCCCCAAACATATGGAAGAAGGTACTCTGGTCAGATTAGACTAAAATTGAGCTTTTTGGCCATCAAGGAAAACGCTATATTTGGCGCAAACCCAACACCTCTCATCACCCCGTGAACACCATCCCCACAGTGAAGCATGGTGATGTCAGCATCATGCTGTGGGAATGTTTTTCATTGGCAGGGACTGGCAAACTGGTCAGAATGATGGATTGCGCTAAATACAGGGAAAATCTTGAGGGAAACCTGTTTGAGTCTTCCAGCGATTTGAGACTGGGAAGGAGGTTCACCTTCCAGCAGGACAATGACCCTAAGCATACTACTAAAGCAACACTTGAGTGGTTTAAGGGGAAACATTTAAATGTCTTGGAATGGCCTAGTCAAAGCACAGACCTCAATCCAATTGAGAATATGTGGTATGACTTAAATATTGTTGTATACTAGCGGAACCCATCCAACTTGAAGGAGCTGGAGCAGTTTTGCCTTGAAGAATGGAAAAAAATCCCAGTGGCTAGATGTGCCAAGCTTATAGAGACATACCCCAAGAGACTTGCAGCTGAAATTGCTGCAAAAGGTGGCTCTACAAAGTATTGACATTGGGGGGGTGAATAGTTATGCAAGCTCAAGTTGTCTGTTTTTTTGTCTTATTTCTTGTTTGTTTCACAATCAAAAATATGTTGCATCTTCAAAGTGGTAGGCATGTTGTATAAATCAAATGATACAAACCCCCCAAAAATCCATTTTAATTCCAGGTTGTAAGGCAACAAAATAGGAAAAATGCCAAGGGGGGGTGAATACTTTTGCAAGCCACTATATTAAGAAAATGACTGTAAAAACTCATAAATCCCAGTGGATTGATGAGGAATTGAAAAATTGTATGGTTGAGAGGGATGAGGCAAAAAGGAATGGCAAAGAAATCTGGCTGTACAACCAACTGGCAAATTGACAAATCATGTTACTAAACTGAATAAAAAGAAGAAGAAACTACACTATGAAACAAAGATAAATGTCAAAGAATAATAGTAAAAAGCATTCCAGCACCTTCAATGACATTTTGGGAAAAAAGGCAAACTCAGCTCCATCATTTATTGAATCAGATGGCTCATTCATCACAAAACCGACAGATATTGCCAACTACTTTAATGATTTTTTCATTGGCAAGATTAGCAAACTTAGGCATGACATGCCAGCAAGAAACGCGACCAAATTATGAAAGACAAGCATTGAAATGTTGTATTCCATAAAGTGAGTGTGGAAGAGCTGAAAAAAGTATTATTGTCGATGAACAAGCCACTGGGGTCTGACAACTTGGATGGAAAATAACTGAGGATAATAGCAAATGATATTGCCACTCCTATTTGCCATATCTTCAAACCTACTCGAAAGCATGTGCCCTCAGGCCTGGAGGAAGCTAAAGTTATTCCCCTACCTAAGAATAGTAAAGCCCCATTAACTGGCAACAAACGCTGACACTACACATCCAAGTACAGTACCAGTCAAAAGTTTGGACACATCTACTCATTCAAGGGTTTTTCTTAATTTTTACTATTTTCTACATTGTAGAATAATAGTGAAGACATTAAAACAATGAAATAACACACATGGAATCATGTAGTTAACAAAAAAGTGTTAAACAAATCAAAATATAATTTTATATTTGAGATTCCTCAAATAGCCACCCTTTGCCTTGATGACAGCTTTGCACACTCGTGGCATTCTCTCAACCAGCGTCACCTGGAATGCTATTCCAACAGTCTTGAAGGAGTTCCCACATATGCTTAGCACTTGTTGGCTGCTTTTCCTTCACTCTGCCATCCGACTCGTCCCAAACCATCTCAATTGCGTTGAGGTTGGGGGATTGTGGAGGACAAGGCCATCTGATGCAGCACTCCATCACTCTCCTTCTTGGTAAAATAGCTCTTACACAGCCTGGAGGTGTGTTGGGTCATTGTCCTGTTGAAAAACAAATGAGATTCCCACTAAGCCCAAACCAGATGGGATGGCGTATCGCTGCAGAATACTGTGCCTTGAATTCTAAATAAATCACAGACAGTGTCACCAGCAAAGTATCCCCACCCCATAACACCTCCCCCTCCATGCTTTTACGGTGGGAACTACACATGAGGAGATCATCCGTTCACCCACACTGCGTCTCACAAAGACACAGCGGTTTGAACCAAAAATCTCTGATTTGGACTCCAGACCAAAGGACAAATTTCCACCTGTTTAATGTCCATTGCTCGTGTTTCTTGGCCCAAGCAGGTCTCTTCTTCTTATTGGTGTCCTTTAGTAGTGGTTTCTTTCCAGCAATTCCACCATGAAGGCCTGATTCACACAGTCCCCTCTGAACAATTGATGTTGAGATGTGTCTGTGACTTGAACTCTGTGAAGCATTTATTTGGGCAGCAATTTCTGAGGCTGGTAACTAATGAACTTATCCTCTGCAGCAGAGGTAACTCTGGGTCTTCCATTCCTGTGGTGGTCCTCATGAGAGCCAGTTTCATCATAGAGCTTGATGGTTTTTGTGACTGCACTTGAAGAAAATTTCTTAGTTCTTAAAATCTTCCGTATTGACTTACTTTCATGTCTTAAAGTAATGATGGACAGTCATTTCTCTTTGCTTATTTGAGCTGTTCTTGCCATAATATGGACTTGGTCTTTAACCAAATAGGGCTATCTTCTGTATACCCCCCCCCTACCTTGTCACAACACAACTGATTGGCTCAAATGCATTAAGAAGGAAATAAATTCCACAAATTAACTTTTAACAAGGCACACCTGTAAATTGAAATGCATTCCAGGTGACTACCTCATGAAGCTGGTTGAGAGAATGCAAAGCTGTCATCAAGGCAAAGGGTGGCTACTTTGACGAATGTATATATAAAATATATTTTGATTTGTTTAACACTTCTTTGGTTACTACATGATTCCATGTGTGTTATTTCATAGTTTGATGTCTTCACTATATTCTACAACGTAGAAAACAGTAAACATAAAGAAAAACCCTGGAATGAGTAGGTGTGTCCAAACTTTTGACTGGTACTGTACACCTGGTTAAGTTCGCTGATGACATTGCCTTGATCAGCCTGTTGCTGCATGATGACTAGGAACACCATGGCCCGGTTCTAAATGACTTTGTAGAGTGGTGTGATGAATCACACTTGGTCCTCTATACCAACAAGACCAAAGAGATGTGCATAGACTTCAGCAACATCTATCAGATGTCAGAACATGGAGATTGTAGAGGAAGACAAATATCTGGCTGTCCTCTTGGACAATAAGCTTCAGTGGAGTACATGTATAGACCTGATCTACAAAAAGAGACTGTACATTCTCAAAAAGGTGGGATCTTTTAATGTTGACTGTACTATACTGACTCTGATTTGCAAATCTTTCATTGAGAGTATTTTAACTTTTTCTATTGTTTGTTGGTTTGGCAATTCCACAGTCAGACCGAAAACATATGCTGAGAAGGATTATCATCACAGCAAGCAAGGTACTTGGAGTCAAACAGACAGGCTTGGATTAAATATTCAAGGTTAGGGCCCTCAGCAAGGCTCACAAAATCTTTTTAGACCCAAGCCACCCCCTGTACCCGGACTTTGAACTACTCCCCTCTGGTTGCAGGTTTAGGGCATCCCCGGGCAGGAAAAACAGAACTAGACAATCGTTTGTGCCAGGTGTAAAATCCCTCCTAAATAACTGGGGATAATGTTCCTACCCACCCAGTAAGGCCAGCTGGCTAGTCTCTTGAATTGGTATATACTGTATATAACTATTATGATATTTTTATTGTCAATTTGTTGTCTACTGTATTTAAACGCCACTTTAAACGTGTACAGGATACTGCAACAACATTTCCAAATGGGGACAATACAGTCAGTAAAGTATATCAGGATCTTGATATGCTTTATCATATGCTAAATAAGGACAATTTCTGATGCTTATTTGAGTTTTGATGACATTCTTTCAGACACTAGCTATACTTTTGGTATTCCCTCTGGATAAAGGCGAGTGCAAACCACAAGCTAAAAGCACTAACTGGTAGCCTAGCAACAAGAATCACATATTTTCTGCTGTAGAGTTCCAACTGTCATTTTAGAATTTGGGTGCCACAAATGAGTGTGTAAACAGTGTGTGGTCGAACTGACAACTGAAGAAACAAAGAAGTGAGACGCTGTTCAGAAAATACCTCAAAGAAGTTAAAGCTAAAGTGAGTAGCTAATTTGAGATGTTTTATTTATCTTAGTAACTAGAATCAAGAATGTTAGCTAATTTGGCCAGCAGCCAGTAGGGCGAGCTAGCTAGCTAGACTTAATAGGGGGGTAAAGGCTAACTGGTAGCCTAGCTAGCTAACAAATAATGACATTGCCTTCCTTTTAGGGAAAAATTGTTTTACCCCCTATCAAGTGTCAAGGTGACAGATAACGTTTTTAAAAGTTTAGGCGTATTTTGTATTATTGGTTTGTTGATGTGCATGAATGTGTGTGTTAGATTAGATATTACGTTGTTATTCACAAAAATTGTGAATATGTGTTTCTGTGTGTATGTGACTTACGACAGTCCTGTTCATCGGAGTCATCCTCACAATCGTTGTCCCCGTCACACACCCAGGAGCGGCGGATACACTTCCCGTTGTCACAGTGGAAGTCCAGTGGAGAGCAGGTGGGCAGCACTACAGAGGAAAATACCAGCCATTAACACAGCCGTAACAAAGTATGGGCATACACACACACAAATGCATGACAGCGAACACGGCCCCATGGACACAGCCAATATACTGAGTATACAAAACATTAAGAACACCTGCTCTTTCCATGACATAGACTGACCAGGTGAATCCAGGTGAAATCTAGGATCCCTTATTCATGTCACTTGTTAAATCCACTTCAATCAGTGTAGATGAAGGGGAGGAGACAGGTTAAAGAAGTCGCAGAATGACTGGCTCTTTGTCATCAACAGATAATGAAATTACCACAGGGAGAGGGGGAGGAAGAAGAGGAAGAGTTATGTTATCTTTCTTGTAGGCCTTCAGGCCACTAATATATACACACAAACACACATGTGCGTGCATGTTGATATGAAGTATGAAACATTGACCATCCAACATGGACTACATGAAAAATGCATGACGTCACTGAGTAAAGCAGCCCATGCGGCAGCCAGCTAAGAAGTCTGAACTTACTGAGTGATGTATGAATGAATAATGTGTGTGTGTCTGTGTGACAGAGACACTATGGAGTAACGGGGAGAGAAAAGCCCGACTGACCCATATTTCCCTGTATGGGTCCTGTATTATTAAGAGAGAGAGAGAGCGAGAGAAAGAGAGAAAAAATAGAGAAACAGAAAACACAACAGAGACATGGAAAGAGAGAGAGTGTGAGAGAGATAGTGAGAGAGACATATTGGAGACAGAGGGATGATGCTGGGTTGTCATGAAGCAGCGAGTCACACAGTGATCAAAAGCAGGCAGAGAGAGGGAGAGAGAGAGAGGCAGGCAGCATCAGAAGGAGAACAGACCCCACTCATATTTATTCCTACATTAATTTATTCACAAACACGCCTCATTGCCACCAGTTTTCATGTGATAGAATGAAGCCCAGCGTCGTCGTACACATAGGATGTGTCTCAAATGGCACCCTATTCCCTATATAATGCACTACTTTTGAACAAAGCCATATGGGTCCTGGTCAAAAGTAGTGCACTACATTGGGAATAGGGTGCCATTTGAGATGTACATTACTAAGATCTCAAGTCTTAGGCAACAGATCAATCATATGAGTTTACAGTGGAACAAATTGAAAACTGAGAAGGTAGCTACACAATTTATGGTATTTAGTCAATTATCCCCTTCTCGCTCCTTCCTCCTCTACCCCAGAACCATCCCTTGTCTCTCCAGAATGATAGGATGAATAGTGGTCACATCTGTGCAGTGGTGGTAGTGTCAATTACAGTGAGTTGAATCACTGACGTGGAGAATGAAACACAGTTCAGTCACAGTTCAGTGAAGAGTTACTGTAGAAGTAAAGAGCTGTGTGTTAGTGTCTTGGCAAGAGTTTGTAGAACTTACCCCGAACTACTGATACATGGACATAACTTTTTTAGCCTCTATTAGTGGTTAAGGTTAGGATTGGGTGTAGGGTAATCTGATCCAAGATCTGTGTTTAGGGGCAACTTCTACCATGAGATTATTTGCATTAGCAGTCTAGCACAGTCTTTGAGCTAGCAACTAACACTGAATTCCCTTTTGAAAGTTTTCAATGTAACATCTTTCAGTAATTCAACTGATCTGGGCGACAGAGAGCACAGTGTGAATACACACGTATGCAGGCAGGACACCCACAAGCACAAGATAAACAAAGAAACACGCCGCCATAAGGTATAAAAAACATTTGTGCTCACACGAACAACACACGCACATGAGCAATCACACACAAAACATTTTGCCTTTTTTTTGGGGGGGGGGTAGTCGTGTATGTGAGCGGGTTTGTTCCTCCCTGCGTGGAGGTGTGTTCATTAAGATACCTACGAGTAAAGTACGTTTTCCGATTAGCTCTGTGTCCTGCGCCTGACTTCGTCCTACCGCATTACACTGACGCCTTGACAGAAACACGCACCAAATATGGAGTCAGCGGGTACAGCCGTGCCAGCCGGATCGATGGAGGAACGCGTCCAACAACAAGCGACCATGATCCAGGATCTCGGCACCGCAATGGAACGAGTGGTGAATACTATGGAGCGATGGGATAGAGGAGGTTTTCCTATACCTCTTCCAATTACACCACCCTACACCGCTGTCCACCTTTTCACCACCTGGGTCCAGTGGGATTCGGCTCTCGCTCCCGAGGGCATACGACGGTACAGCTGCCGGGTGTCAGGGTTTTCTGCTCCAGGTAGAGCTCTACCTGGAAACCATCCACCCGGCTCCCTCGGGATACGAGAGCGTGTCCGCCCTCATCTCCTGTCTGTCCGGTAAAGCGCTCGAGTGGGCCAACGCCGAGTGGAGAGGAATAGACGCAGCATCTGTAAGTTATGAGGAGTTTACCCGGCGGGTGAGCGTCTATTCCACCTCAGACAGGCGGGTGAACGTCTATTCCACCTCAGACAGGAGAAGAGGAGCGCACAGGATTTTGCACTGGCCTTTAGGACTCTGGCTGCCAGCGCAGGATGGAATGAGAGGGCCCTTATCGACCACTACCGATGCAGCCTAAGGGAGGACGTTCGTCGGGAACTGGCCTGCAGGGACACCAACCTTAACCTGGACCAACTGGTGGATATGTCAATCAGGCTGGATAACCTGTTGGCCACCCGCGGACGTCCGGATCAGGGGACGTCCATTCCACCCCCCAGCACCTCCGACCCTACCCCTATGGAGCTCGGAGGTGCTGCTCTTAGGGATACCAGTAGAGGGGCCGTACCCTGCACCAACTGTGGCCGCAGACAACACACTGCTGGTCGGTGCTGGGGAGGGTCTTTACGGAGTCGCACTGGTGGACCGTTTCAGGTGAGTAGGCACCCGACTCACCCAGAGCTCCCTGTTGCGCATATGTGTATAGATGTCGTATTTCCAGAGTTTTCTCCTCATTCCCAGCATAAGGCGCTAGTAGATTCAGGCGCAGATGGGAACTTTATTGATCGTCAGTTTTCCCGTAGTTTAGGGATTCCTATTGTGCCAGTTGATGTGCGCTTCCCTATACATGCCCTAGATAGTCGCCCATTAGGGTCAGGTCTGATTAGGGAGGTCACAGCTCCACTCTGGATGAAGACGCAGGAGGGTCATGAGGAAAACATTAGTCTCTATCTGATTGATTCTCCTGCATTTCCATTGGTGTTGGGGCTTCCCTGGTTAACCTCTCATGACCCCACTATTTCATGGCAACAGAGGGCTCTCAAGGGATGGTCAAGTCAGTGCTCGGGGAGGTGTGTAGGTGTTTCCGTAGGGGCAACTACGGTGGAAAGTCCAAACCAGGATTCCACCATGCACATTCCGCCTGAATATGCCGATTTGGCTCTCGCCTTCTGTAAAAAGAAGGCGACTTAGTTACCACCCCATCGACAGGGGGATTGTGCGATAAACCTCCAGGTAGGCGCTGCACTTCCTCGGAGTCACGTGTATCCTCTGTCACAGGAGGAGACGGTGGCTATGGAAACATGTCACCAAATCTCTGAGGCAGGGATACATTCGGCCTTCCACTTCCCCTGTCTCCTCGAGTTTCTTTTTTGTGAAGAAGAAGGATGGTGGCTTATGCCCGTGCATTGACTACCGTGGTCTTAATCAGATCACTGTGAAGTACAGCTATCCACTACCTCTGATTGCTAGTATGACGGAGTCATTGCACGGGGCGTGCTTCTTCACTAAATTGGATCTCAGGAGCGCGTACAACCTGGTGCGTATCCGGGAGGGAGATGAGTGGAAGACAGCATTCAGTACCACCTCTGGGCACTATAAGTACCTTGTCATGCCATACGGGTTGATGAATGCTCCATCAGTCTTCCAATCCTTTGTTGATGAGATTTTCAGGGACCTGCATGGACAGGGTGTTGTGGTGTATATTGATGACATCCTCATATACTCCGCTACACGGGCCGCGCATGTGTCCCTGGTGCTTCAGGTGCTTGGTCGACTGTTGGAGCATGACCTGTATGTGAAGACGGATACATTTCTGTTCTTCCAAGAGTCTATCTCCTTCCTAGGGCACCGCTTGTCCGCGTCAGGTGTGGAGGTGGAGATTGACCGCATTTCGTCCGTGCGTAATTAGCCGACTGAAGGAGGTGCAGCGATTCTTGGGTTTTGCCAACTACTACCGGAGGTTTATCCGGGGCTTTGGTCAGGTAGTGGCTCCCATTACCTCCTTGCTGAAGGGGGGACCGGTGCGACTGCAGTGGTCAGCTGAGGCGGTCAGGGCTTTTGGTCACCTGAAGGACCTGTTTACCTCGGCTCCCGTGCTGGCTCATCCGGATCCCTCCTTACCATTCCAGGTTGAGTTGGATGCGTCCGAGGCTGGGATAGGAGCTGTACTGTCTCAGCGCTCGGGTACGCCACCAAAGCTCCGCCCCTGTGCTTTCTTTTCGAAGAAACTCAGCCCGGCGGAGCGCAACTATGATGTGGGGGACCGGGAGCTGTTAGCTGTGGTTAAAGCTCTGAAAGTGTGGAGGCATTGGCTTGAGGGGGCTAAAAACCCTTTTCTCATTTTGACTGACCACCGCAATCTGGAGTACATCTGGATTGAACCCTCGCCAGGCAAGGTGCGCCATGTTCTTCACGCGTTTTGTGTTTACTCTTACTTACAGACCAGGTTCCCAGAACGCTAAGGCAGACGCCCTGTCCCGACTGTATGACACAGAGGAGAGGTCCATTGAGCCCACTCCCATACTTCCGGCGTCGTGTCTGGTGGCGCCGGTGGTGTGGGAGGTTGACGCGGACATCGAGCGAGCGTTACGTACCGGGCCACTCCCCCCCAGTGTCCAAAGGGTCGTATGTACGTGCTGCTCGAGGTTCGTGATAGATTGATTTATTGGGCTCACACGTCACCCTCCTCTGGTCATCCTGGCATCGGTCGGACAGTGCACTGTCTTAGTGGGAAGTACTGGTGGCCCACTTTAGCCAAGGACATGAGGGTTTATGTTTCCTCCTGCTCGGTGTGCGCCCAGTGTAAGGCACCTAGACACCTGCCCAGAGGGAAATTACAACCCCTACCCGTTCCACAACGGCCGTGGTCCCACCTATCGGTGGATTTTGTTACGGACCTTCCCCCCCTCACAGGGGAACACCACGATCCTGGTCATTGTGGATCGTTTTCTAAGTCCTGCCGTCTCATTCCTATGCCAGGTCTCCCTACGGCCCTACAAACTGCTGAGGCCCTATTTACACACGTCTTCCGGCATTACGGGGTGCCTGAGGATATTGTATCGAATCGGGGTCCCCAGTTCACCTCAAGGGTCTGGAGGGCTTTCATGGAACGTCTGGGGATCTCGATCAGCCTGACCTCAGGTTTTCACCCCGAGAGTAATGGGCAGGTGGAGAGAGTTAACCAGGATGTGGGTAGGTTTCTGCGGTCCTATTGCCAGGACCGGCCGGGGGAGTGGTCGGGTTTTATCCCCTGGGCAGAGATGGCCCAAAACTCACTCCGCCACTCCTCTACTAACCTTTCTCCATTTCAGTGTGTGTTAGGTTATCAGCCGGTCCTGGCACCTTGGCATCAGAGCCAGATCGAGGCTCCTGCGGTGGATGAGTGGTTTCGGCGCTCGGAAGAGACCTGGAACGCTGCCCATGTACGCCTGCAGCGGGCCATCAGGCGACAAAAGGCGAGCGCCGACCGCCACCGGGTCTGGCTCTCGACCCTAAACCTGCCCCTTCGCCTGCCCTGCCGGAAGCTGGGTCGGCGGTTTGTGGGGCCATTTAAAGTCCTGAGGAGATTGAACAAGGTCTGTTATAGGTTACAGCTTCCTCTTAATTACCGTATTAACCCCTCGTGTCTCTCCTCAGGCCGGTAGTAGCTGGTCCGCTCCAGGAGTCTGAGGTACGGGAGGTTCCTCCGCCCCCCACTGGACATCGAGGGGGCACCGGCGTACTTGGTCCGTTCCATCTTGGATTCGAGGCGTCGGGTGGGGGGCCTGCAGTATCTCGTGGAGTGGGAGGGGTACAGTCCGGAGGAACAGTGCTGGGTCCCTAGAAGGGACATCCTCGATCTCTCCATGTTGAGGGATTTCCACCGTAGTCATCCGACTCGCCCTGCTCCGCGTCCTCCTGACCGTCCCAGAGGCCAGGGTCGGCGCGCGGCAAGGGGGGGTACTGTCACGAATTCAGCCGAGGCTTAGGCCTCTACTTCCAGCCCATACATACTATATACAAACAATGTTGTAGTGGAGGGCATTGAAAGTATATAGAGCGTTACTTTACTCACCGCGGACGGCAATCAACATTTAGCCACCTATTTTTGACCACTACATTCCTGCACACACACACACGAGTAGTTGAGAAATCTAACAAACACACACACACACACACACACACACACAGTGCATGTCTTGGTTGTGGTATCAGGTGGATCAGTTGGTAGTTGATGAGGTTTCCTCCTAATGCTTTGATGCCTGCTCAGCTCAGCTCCTCTCATCCCACTGCATTCCAAGCGCGAACACGCGAACACGCACACACAAATCCACTTTTCCTCATCTCTCTCCATGGTCTAAGAAGCAGAATGTGCTTCAACTTCACCATCTCTCCCAGGGTGTGTGAGTGTAATCCATACACTCTGACTTTGCCTTTCCCAAGGCTATTCCTGGCAGAGCCACAGGATTCCAACTCACATTCCAACCAGTGTTCCCACACACCTGCCATTCCCATCACCATTATGCACACACATGTGCAAACACACGGGTCACTTGGTTCATGGTGTGTGTGTGTGTGTGAGAGAGAGAGCGAGAGAAATACTGCAGATAAAGAGGAAAGGTGTGTACAAGAGTCTCTCTTTCTCCCTCTCCGCCCCCCTCTCCTAAGGAAGAGGGTGCTGTTTCATGGAGATGAATGTGGGAGGTTTTAAGTGGCTCCAAGGATCAAAGTTAATGGGCTCTCAAGTACCCGTAATGGGAACAATATACTGTTTGTGCCTAAAAGAAAAATGTGGCTTTCAATCACATCGTAACTGCTATACTATTTACCTATACCTATTTTATGTACGGAGAGAACATAATTGACTTTGTGTATTGGCAAATGTAATGGACACTTACACAAATAGCACATCTGTAACATGAACTCGCTCTAGCAGAGGTTTATAGGTCATCTCAGAACTTTCAGCATACCTGCAGGGACAGTCTCTTTCTCTCTCTCTCACACACACACACACACAAAAAACTCTCGCCGTTTCCCCCTCTATCTCTAGCTTTGTGTTTTCCTTTCATAACCTATACCGACAGAGGTGGCTTATCTGATTCTTGGCATGGCTCCGACCCAGCACATCATCTCATACCATTAGCAGAGAGCAGTGGTGCAGCAAATATAGTTTGTCTTGGCAACAGAGGCAGCTGTGGGGCCCGTCAGATAGGCTCTATTTTGGCCTCCTCAGCTCCACTACAGTAAATAGGCCTATGATGCTATCAAGCCGACGTGCTCAATATGCTTTAAAGTAGCACATTGTGATTGAAGTGCTACTAGAATGGAGACCCATGAGGAGTGTGGGTACTTATGTGTGTACAACCAAACTGAGTGTATTAAACATTAAGAACATCTGCTCTTCCATGACATAGACTGACCAGGTGAATCCAGGTGAAAGCTATGATGCCTTATTGATGACACCTGTTAAATCCACTTCAATCAGCGTAGATAAAGGGGAGGAGACAGGTTAAAGAAGGATTTTTAAGCGTTGAGACAATTGAGTCATGGATTGTGTATGTGTGCCATTCAGAGGGTGAATGTGCAAGACAAAATGTATTATTTATCAAAGTGCAGCTGCTACTACTCTTAAACCTTTGGATGCCATCTACCCTTAGTTTTGTTAAAGGTGACAGTTTTGATACTCATCGCTGCATCCTGTATCAAAAGGTTGGCTGGACTTCGCTAAAGACAGGTAGATCTCTACATTACTCCCTTTTTGGCCCTACTTCCTTAAACTTCCGTCTTATCTAACTTTGTTGTTGAAGTATAGACACCTGAGTTGAGGTTCCTACGGTCTCCACCGAGCAAGGTAAATATGCTTTTAGCTTTAATACGATGTATTGCTGAAAAAAAATCTAAATACATTTAATCTTGATGTTCTGGTGCCATTCGGGCAATTTAAAGTATTGATTGGGGACGTATTCGAGGAGGAATATATCTGTTTTTCTGGGTGATTTGTGATGTTTTATGTCTGCTTCCCATGACTGTGTATTTGTAATTTTATATATATATATATATATATATATATATATATATATATATATATACACAGTGAGGGAAAAAAGTATTTGATCCCCTGATGATTTTGAAAGTTTGCCCACTGACAAAGAAATAATCAGTCTATAATTTTAATGGTAGGTTTATTTGAACAGTGAGAGACAGAATAACAACAAAAAAATCCAGAAAAACGCATGTCAAAAATGTTATAAATTGATTTGCATTTTAATGAGGGAAATAAGTATTTGATCCCCTCTCAATCAGAAAGATTTCTGGCTCCCAGGTGTCTTTTATACAGGTAACGAGCTGAGATTAGGAGCACACTCTTAAAGGGAGTGCTCCTAATCTCAGCTTGTTACCTGTATAAAAGACACCTGTCAACAGAAGCAATCAATCAATCAGATTCCGAACTCTCCACCATGGCCAAGACCAAAGAGCTCTCCAAGGATGCCAAGGGACAAGATTGTAGATCTACATAAGGCTGGAATGGGCTACAAGACCATCGCCAAACAGCTTGGTGAGAAGGTGACAACAGTTGGTGCGATTATTCGCAAATGGAAGAAACACAAAATACCTGTCAATCTCCCTCGGCCTGGGGCTCCATGAAAGATTTCACCTTGTGGAGTTGCAATGATCATGAGAACGGTGAGGAATCAGCCCAGAACTACACGGGCAGATCTTGTCAATGATCTCAAGGCAGCTGGGACCATAGTCACCAAGAAAACAATTGGTAACACACTACGCCATGAAGGACTGAAATCCTGCAGCGCCCGCAAGGTCCCCCTGCTCAAGAAAGCACCTATACAGGCCCGTCTGAAGTTTGCCAATGAACATCTGAATGATTCAGAGGAGAACTAGGTGAAAGTGTTGTGGTCAGATGAGACCAAAATGGAGCTCTTTGGCATCAACTCAACTCGCCGTGTTTGGAGGAGGATGAATGCTACCTATGACCCCAAGAACACCATCCCCACCGTCAAACATGGAGGTGGAAACATTATGCTTTGGGAGTGTTTTTCTGCTAAGGGGACAGGACAACTTCACTGCATCAAAGAGACGATGGACGGGGCCATGTACCGTCAAATCTTGGGTGAGAACCTCCTTCCTTCAGCCAGGGCATTGAAAATGGGTCGTGGATGGGTATTCCAGCATGACAATGACCCAAAACACATGGCCAAGGCAACAAAGGAGTGGCTCAAGAAGGAGAACATTAAGGTCCTGGAGTGGCCTAGCCAGTCTCCGGACTTTAATCCCATAGAAAATATGTGGAGGGAGCTGAAGGTTTGAGTTGCCAAACGTCAGCCTCAAAACCTTAATGACTTGGAGAAGATCTGCAAAGAGGAGTGGAACAAAATCCCTCCTGAGATGTGTGCAAACCTGGTGGCCAACTACAAGAAACATCTGACCTCTGTGATTGCCAACAAGAGTTTTGCCACCAAGTACTAAGTCATGTTTTGCAGAGGGGTCAAATACTTATTTCCCTCATTAAAATGCAAATCAATTTATACAATTTTTGACATGTGTTTTTCTGGATTTTTGTTGTTGTTATTCTGTCTCTCACTGTTCAAATAAACCTACCATTAAAATTATAAACTGATCATGTCTTTGTCAGTGGGCAAACGTACAAAATCAGCAGGGGATCAATTACTTTTTTCCCCTCACTGTAAGTGGCACAGCTGGGAAAAAAACTAGTCTGTGAGATTGTGAGTGTGGTTTGTAGCAGACTTTCTCTAATAATGGGGACTCATAGCTACTAGAGAGAATATACCATAGACACCAAACCTTTCAATGAACTGGCAGTCATTTGTACAGTATAACTGGACTAGAGAGAGGCACAACGACCTAAATCAATGGATCTTATTCATTCGATTCAATGCCATTTCATTTTTGTGGGCTGCAACCATCACATAATTATTCAGTAAATATTCCCTCCTGAAAAGCACAAATTGTTGCTGAAAATCAGATTTCGCAGGTGTTTGCATCTTTCAAATTTCAGAAAGGGTGGGGACATTTGGTCAATAAACTTGCAAGGAGAGTGGTGTAGAGCTACCGCCCTGCGCTCCCCAATCTAGTATATGTTCTAACATTGCCCCCAGAACTTAATCGAGCATCTGAGGAATATTATGCAACATTTTAGTTATTGGTTTCTGCAATTAGGGAATGGCTAAAGAATTCTCTAGAAAATAAAGTGTCGTACTAAATGAGGGAGGCCCTGTTCAGATCTATCTGTGTGTGTGTGTGTGTGTGTGATCCAAATACAACACTACTAACTAAACCTACCCTATACATACAAAAGTATGTGGACACCCCTTCAAATTAGTGGATTCGGCTATTTCAGCCACACCCGTTGCTGAAAGGGGTATAAAATTTAGCACACCGCCATGCAAATCTCCATAGACAAACATTGGCATTAGAATGGCCTTACTGAAGAGCTCCATGACTTTGAATGTAGCACTGTCATAGGATGCCACCTTTCCAACAAGTCAGTAATGAATCACTCTTCACCATCTGGCAGTCCGACGGACAAATCTGGGTTTGGCGGATGCCAGGAGAATGCCCCAATGCATAGTGCCAACTGTAAAGTTTGGTGGAGGAAGAATAATGGTCTGGGGCTGTTTTTCATGGTTCGGGCTAGGCCCCTTCCTTCCAGTGAAGGGAAATATTAATGCTACAGCATACAATGACATTCTAGACGATTCTGTGCTTCCAACTTTGTGGCAACAGTTTGAGGAAAGCCCTTTCCTGTTTCAGAATGACAATCCACCAGTGTACAAAGCAAGGTCCATACAGAAATGGTTTGTCGGTGTGGAAGAACTTGACTGGCCTGCACAGAGCCCTGACCTCAATCCCATCGAACACCTTTGGGATGAATTGGAACTAATCGCCCAACATCAGTGCGATTAGTCCCCGCAGTCACCGCAGCAATGTTCCAACATCTAGTGGAAAGCCTTCCCAGAAGAGTGGAGGCTGTTATAGCAGCAAAGGGGGGACCAACTCCATATTAATGCCGGTGATTTTGGAATGAGATGTTCATGTGTATGTGTGGATGAACCTGATAAAGACCACAAAACTACCCCTATAAACTAAGACTTCTTAAAGTCCAGCTTCATTCAGCCCCACTTTGTTTCCAGCTCCTCCAAAAAGCATGCTGTTAAAGGCAGGCCAAAAGCAATTAGCTCTTTCCCTCTTTTTGTCTCTCCTCAATCACTCACTAATCATGTCCCTTCCTTGAGTCAGGGAGTAAATATTTAAGAAGGAGGGCGGAGGAGATTGGATCTCAGCGCCTTAAGAGGGCCATGGTGGTGGGCCCCAGCTAGAGCGAGAGAGCGAGACAGTTGGAGGATTATGCTGTTGTCTGGACGCAAACAGAGAGAGATGGAGGGAGGAAGCGAAAGGCAGAGGTGGGAGAGAGAAATGGAGAGAGATTGAAAGGAGAGCGGAAGAAATGAAAGGATGAAACCGAACCACAGAGGGAGGGAAATTAGAAAGAGAAACAGGGCCACAGAGCGAAAGAGAGAGAATAAAGTGAATTCTGTCACTGCAGGTCCCCCCTGGCGAGCAGGCAGAGATAATGTGGACTGGATGAAAAGCTCCCTCTAGATAGAGAGAAGGAGGGAGAGAGCGAGGGATGGAGGGAGTGGTGTTCTAATCTCTTCCTCTAAGGCCTGTTCTTGTCACATGCTGTTCAACTGCTCCCCCGCCGACTCAGCTCGTCTCTGATTGGCTAGGACTGGTGAGAGCAGAAGATTATGGGGTGTGTGTTGGGGGGGGGGGGGATAAAGATTCATTTTGGGGGGACGCCCCCTCAGGTGAAAACTTCCCCACAAGCTCAAAACTCTGAGGTGGAGAGGAGATGGTGGTGGGGTGGTGGTGGGTATATCTCAAGACATGTTTTCAATCACTCTCAGCAGAGGACAAGAAAATAGAAAGGCATAATGATTCCTCTCCTCTTCTATTTCCTGTAAAACTACCCCCACATTTCCTTCACAGCCCCTGCCCACCAGCTACCTCAGTACACAAACAACACCACACCCCTCCAACACACACACACACACACACACACACCCCTCTTTCTGGCCCAAAGCAGTTACTTTCCAGAGCCTGAGCCTTTCAACTCAGCAGGAGGCTACCAAAAATGTGTGTGTGTGTGTGTACCAGCTCATGTCCCGCTGGCCTCAATCTAAGCTGGCCAGCACAGAGAAAACCGAGGGATGAGGAGAGAGAGGGGAAAAGGGGATAAAGAATAAATAGAGGGAAGTGAAGAGATGTGAGGTAGAGCAGTGAAGTGAGGGAGGAGAGCAGAGCAGATGGGAAAAAGTCCAATAGAAATGGATAAGCAAGAGATGAAAGAAAGAGAGAGATGGAAAACTAATAAAAGAAACCGCCTCAAAAAAGGAAGGAAACGTAGAAAATTTAGTTATTTAGGAGAGAGTGGAGGGAGGCATGGCTAATAGGATAGACTACACTTACTGACAGTCAGCGGGAGGAAGAACTAACTTTCATCAAACTCTCCCTCCTCTCTCCATAGCCATGCATCTCTCCTGCTCACCCTGTCATCTCTCTATATCCCTCCATCTCTCCTGCTCACCTGTCATCTATCTATATCTCTCCTGCTCATCCTGTCATTTCTCTATATCCCTCCATCTCTCCTGCTCACCCTGTCATCTCTCTATATCCCTCCATCTCTCCTGCTCACCCTGTCATCTCTCTATATCCCTCCATCTCTCCTGCTCACCCTGTCATCTCTCTATATCCCTCCATCTCTCCTGCTCACCCTGTCATCTCTCTATATCCCTCTCTCTCCTGCTCACCCTGTCATCTCTCTATATCCCTCCATCTCTCCTGCTCACCCTGTCATCTCTCTATATCCCTCCATCTCTCCTGCTCACCCTGTCATCTCTCTCTATCCCTCCATCTCTCCTGCTCACCCTGTCATCTCTCTATATCCCTCTATCTCTCCTGCTCACCCTGTCATCTCTCTATATCCAGCCATCCATCTCTCTCCCCTTCCTCCTTCCCTCTCTCTTCTTCTTATAATGTCCATTATACCTACAGTACCAGTCAAACGTTTGGACACACCTACTCATTCAAGGGTTTTTCTTTATTTTTACTATTTTCTACATTGCAGAATAATAGTGAAGACATCAAAACTATGAAATAACACATATGGAATCATGTAGTAACCAAAGAAGTGTTAAACAAATCAAAATATATTTTATATTTGAGATTCTTCAAATAGCCACCCTTTGCCTTGATGACAGCTTTGCACACTCTTGGCACTCTCTCAACCAGTTTCATGAGGTAGTCACCTGGAATGCATTTCAATTAACAGGTGTGCCTTGTTAAAAGTTAATTTGTGGAATTTATTTATTATTAGCCAATCAGTTGTGTTGTGACAAGGTAGGCGGGTATACAGAAGATAGCCCTATTTGGTAAAAGACCATGTCCACATTAATCACTAGCTTATGTCAATCTACTATCCCCCATAGTAGAAAAGTTTACCTATTATATTGGTCAGCTTGGTGTTCTGTGTGAGAAATAAAAATTCCAAACAGACTCTGGGACAGTTGTGCGATGATAGATCCCAAATTCATACAACCACTGCAGGCTATAAAAAAAAAAGCAAATGAGGCTGATGCAACAGATCAGAAGGTTTAGCTTAATATCTTGATAAACTAATTCTTCACATTATAAGTGCAGCAATGCACACACGGCAGTAGGCTATACGTGTGAATGCTTCTAAATGCAATAAGCGGGAAAACACCGTTCTCAAAAGCGCACCACACATGCGAGCGGTTTCATGTGAGAGATGAAAATATCCCTTAGAAATGTTGAAAGAGGGGAGATCTAAAGATGCAACAACTAGAATGGGTTGCTAATATGACTATTGTGCCTTTGGCTACTGGTCAATGAAAGAAAGCTGATTTGAAAGCCTGAAAACAAGAGAGAAATGCTGGTTTCAATGGCATAAGGAAGTGGCATAAATATCATTATTATCTGCATCAATCCAGTGGCCATTTGTTTTGAAAACTCCATCACAAGTGCGCTACTGAAACACCACTAGCCAAACACAACAAGCTGGTTGGTGCACACCTGAGGGTTACTACCCAAAAAAATCTAAATTTCTCAGATTTTTTTCAGACCTCAAAAATGGTCCCCTGGTGTGTTTAAGCATTGTTGTGAAAAACAACAGAATTGGATGTAATATTTTTTAAAAAAAAGTGTGATTTGAGAGGGAAAACATGACAAGATTGAGGGAAATCACAGTCCTCCTCCCTGTTTGTACAGTGCCTTGCAAAAGTATTCATCCCCCTTGGCGTTTTTCCTATTTTGTTGCATTACAACCTGTAATTTAATTGGATTTTTATTTGGATTTTATGTAATGGACATACACAAAATAGTCCAAATTTGTGAAGTGAAATGAAAAACATAAGTTTTAAAAAAAAAAATGAACAAATAAATAACGGCAAAGTGGTCCGTGTATATGTATTCACCCCCTTTGCTATCAAGCCCCTAAATAAGATCTGGTGCAACCAATTACCACCAGAAGTCACATAATTAGTTAAATAAAGTCCACCTGTGTGCAATCTAAGTGTCACATGATATGTCACATGATCTCAGTATATATACACCTGTTCTGAAAGGCCCCAGTCTGCAACACCACTAAGCAAGGGGCACCACCAAGCAAGTGGCACCATGAAGACCAAGGAGCTCTCCAAACAGGTCAGGGACAAAGTTGTGGAGAAGTACAGATCAGGGTTGGGTTATAAAAAAATATCCAAAACTTTGAACATCCCACGGAGCACCATTAAATCCATTATAAAAAAATTGAAAGAATATGGCACCACAACAAACCTGCCAAGAGAGGGCCGCCCACCAAAACTCACGGACCAGGCAAGGAGGGCATTAATCAGAGAGGCCAAAGATAACCCTGAAGGACTTGCAAAGCTCCACAGCGGAGATTGGAGTATCTGTCCATAGGACCGCTTTAAGCCGTACAGTCCACAGAGCTGGGCTTTACGGAAGAGTGGCCAGAAAAAAGCCATTGCTTAAATAAAAAAATAAGCTAACATTTCTGGTGTTCACCAAAAGTCATGTGGGAGACTTCCCAAACACATGGAAGATGGTACTATGGTCAGATGAGACAAAAATTGAGCTTTTTGGCCATCAAGGAAAACGCTATGTCTGGCACAAACCCAACAACTCTCATCACCCCGAGAACACCATCCCCACAGTGAAGCATGGTGGTGGCAGCATCTTGCTGTGGGAATGTTTTTCATTGGCAGGGACTGGGAAACTGGTCAGAATTGAAGGAATGATGGATGGCTCTAAATACAGGGAAACCTGTTTCAGTCTTCCAGAGAATTGAGACTGGGACGGAGGTTCACCTTCCAGCAGGACAATGACCCTAAGCATACTGCTAAAGCAACACTGGAGTGGTTTAAGGGGAAACATTTAAATGTTGTCAAAGCCCAGACCTCAATCCAATTGAGAATCTGTGGTATGACTTAAAGATTGCTGTACACCAGCGGAACCCATCCAACTTGAAGGAGCTGGAGAAGTTTTGCCTTGAAGAATGGGCATAAATCCCAGTGGCTAGATGTGGTGGGGTGAATAGTTATGCACGCTCAAGTTTTTTAGTCTTATTTCTTGTTTGTTTCACAAAAAAAAATATTTTGCATCTTCAAAGTGGTAGGCATGTTGTGTAAATCAAATGATACAACCCCCCCCCCAAAAAAAATCCATTTTAAATCCAGGTTGTAAGGCAACAAAATAGGAAGAATGCCAAGGGGGGTGAATACTTTTGCAAGCCACTGAATTTCTTTTTGCTGTGGTATTGTTTTGATATCTAGCATAGTTTTTTCAAATTATGCCTTCTAGAGGATTTCGCAGAAAATAACTCATGCGAGAAATACATTTTGCACTTTATTTTAACAGTCTCTTTTCTTTGCTGTTACAGTAAAATGTATCCAAATCAATGTTAGAACACAAGGGCATCTTAATTTAAAAGATGGCTAGTCATTATTAGCCTGGTTCTGTTTGGAATGCAGGCACATTATGGGACACAGGCCATGTCATTATCAATTATGTAAAATATATATATTTTTTTTAATTGGTGAGACTATATCATGTGCTGGTGCCACAAGCTGAAAACATTAGTAGCACCAGTGGAAAAAGGTTACTGTAAAACCTATTCCTAATTAGATCAGGAGGTTTACATGGTATACTCCGACACAAACTGACCACATACACACACTCACTCCTGCACACAAAGTTTACTTTGCATGCCATTTCCAGCCCAGAGTATTGTGCTTTCTCTGTAAATTGCTCAATGTATATAAATTGTCATTGGCTCCTCATGGTGCTATCAGCACACACTTAAGTAAACCACTGCAATGTGTGTGTCTATGTGTGTGTGTGTGTGTGTGTGTGTGTGTGTGTGTGTGTGTGTGTGTGTGTTGGATTCACTCAGCCACAGTCTACACCCTACAGCTGAATCATGGAATTCCGTGCATGTATGTGTGTTCATTCAGATAATTCACCCAGCCAAACAGTCTCCCCTATGCTACTGCAACATGTACAGTAATTCATTTGTTGCCCTACCCAGAGAGAAACTGACTCCATAAATTCAATTATTTGCCCTGTTTTGAGAATGTTTATTAAAAACCATAAAGTCGCAACGTTGTTTTTTATAAGCCTGTCTCCACAAGTGCTCAGAGTTAATTCAATTTGTGTAATGGAGGCCCGGATCATATGACCTACACTTTCCTCCATTACCCACAACCCCATGCCATTTGATCTGCATTCTATTAAACTGCGTTCTCTCTAGAAGTAAGAACATAATTATTGGCATTTCCAGAAACAACCCATAGCCCTTATTTCCTTGGGCAATTCATATGGATCTGAAATCAGGGGAAAAGTGTAAGCAATGTGGTTGTAGCTAGCTCCACCTTGCCCTCAGTTTGTCAATAACATTTTCGCTGTATTTCTTTAATGCATTATTTCCATATTGCGTATATACCCATCTATTTAATTCATATCTACACATGCCTAGGGTTTTATTTTGGATATGGACATATCTTACCCTATATGTTTGTGAAAGACAAACCTCAGCACCTATTAAGGTGAGTTTGTAATGCAACAGATATGTATTATTATTATTATTATTATTATTATTATTATTATTTGGGGGGGGATGGATCAGCTTAATATTGCAGATAGATTGTATCTTCTATCAATGTAATTGTCTGCATCACTTCCAATCCCCCATGTTTTTTATATATATACTCCCCTTTATTACTTTTCCACCATCCTTTCCCTACTTGGAGTAAATTAGTGAACAACAATGCCCAGGCCTCTACTTCCGGTCTATACTTACTATTTACACCTTATGGACACAGTTAATTTTACAATAATACTATTATATATATATATATATATATTGTTCTTTCTCCTGAACTTCTTCTACTCTCAACCTCTCCGATCATTTTCATGATGTCCATCCGGTTTGCTTCTATATGCCATATCTTTCTAACTGTGCTCTTTCCCATAAGCTCCCAACCTATATACTTATTATGGACGCAGTATGCTTACATTATTAGCTATATTTGTTATTATCTGTTGTTATTTGTTATTAGTCCCATTCTTCAACTCTATTCAATACCTCCCATCTATCTCTTAACACCATCCATATAGGATTTCTATTTGCCATATATATTTCAACCGTACTGTGATGTTTTACAAAAGTTCTGAACCTTTCTATTCTCATTGCTTCTACAGATTGTGAATTAAAAATAAACATTTTTGCTAAAAGTATTATTATATTATTGATTGATTGACTATGACTTTTCAGATCACCCAGTAATGCTATCTGCAAGGTTAGCTCCAGGTAAATATTGCAATCCTTTAGCCATTCCTGGACCTGTGTCCAAAAACAAGCTACAAATGGACAGAACCAAAACAAATGATCTAATGATTCTGTCTCTTCACAGCAAAATCTGCAGAGCTGGGAAGATTGTATCCCCCATATAAATAACATTCTATTGGTAGCAAGAATTTTATATAATAATTTAAATTGAAAGATTCAAATTTTTGAATCCGGTGTCGTTTTGCGTGTCAGTTCATAAACACTATGCCATGGGATCGGTACGTCAAAAATCTCTTCCAACTATTTTGCAATCTATATGGGACGGCTGTCAATCCTTTGGTCCTTAAGTGAAACTGATATACTTTTTTATTTATCACAGTTTTCCTTAACCAATTATGTTCTTTAATGGAAGGCCGACAGACAAGTTCCTTACTTTCTCCCCCTTCCACTTTCCTCTTCCACTTTTGCGGTAAGGCTGCAATTCTTTGGTTGTAATTTTGGGTAGAGCAGACATTTCCATATGTTTTTGTTAGCTGCATGTGCGACATAACACCAGTCCTACCAATGATATCATTTACGAAGATTATACCTTTTTTAAACATTCTGTCAAAAAATAAAGGTTTTTTGTCAATTAGTATATTTGAATTTAACCACAATATTTGTTGCATTATTTGTTCTGTCATTTCTGGAGGATTAAATTGAAATTGCAACCAACTTTCAATGGCTTGTTTTAGAAATAGTGATATTTGGGAGATGATTTCCTTTTCAAATAACTGCAAATGAGTTGTTGTAATCTGAATAAAGGGAAAAAGGCCTTTCTTGAACATGGGTTTGAGACAATCTTACTAATTTGCTTGAGAACCAGTTCGGATTTAAGTATAACTTTTGTATGACTGAAGCTTTTAGTGATAGGTCTAATGCTTTAATATTTAATAATTTCTGTCCTCCGAATTCATATTCATTATATAATTATGCCCTTCTAATTTTGTCTGGCTTGCCGTTCCAAATAAAATTACATATTTTTTTCTCATATAATTTTAAAAAAACTGTTCGCTAGGCGTAGCCAAGACCATAAGCAAATAGGTAAACTGGGATAATACTAAAGAGTTAATCAGGGTGATTTTTTCCACAAATTGACAGGTATTTTCCTTTCCATGGTAGTAAGATATTATCTATTTTTGCTAACTTTCTATTAAAATGTATTGAAGTGAGATCATTTATTTCCTTTGGGATATGTATTCCGAGTATATCCACATCACCATCAGACCATTGTATTGGTAAACTACATGGTAATGTAAAAATTGTATTTTTTAGTGATCCAATACAGTGGGGAAAAAAAGTATTTAGTCAGCCACCAATTGTGCAAGTTCTCCCACTTAAAAAGATGAGAGAGGCCTGTAATTTTCATCATAGGTACACGTCAACTATGACAGACAAATTGAGGAAAAAAAATCCAGAAAATCACATTGTAGGATTTTTAATGAATTTATTTGCAAATTATGGTGGAAAATAAGTATTTGGTCACCTACAAACAAGCAAGATTTCTGGCTCTCACAGACCTGTAACTTCTTCTTTAAGAGGCTCCTCTGTCCTCCACTCGTTACCTGTATTAATGGCACCTGTTTGAACTTGTTATCAGTATAAAAGACACCTGTCCATAACCTCAAACAGTCACACTCCAAACTCCACTATGGCCAAGACCAAAGAGCTGTCAAAGGACACCAGAAACAAAATTGTAGACCTGCACCAGGCTGGGAAGACTGAATCTGCAATAGGTAAGCAGCTTGGTTTGAAGAAATCAACTGTGGGAGCAATTATTAGGAAATGGAAGACATACAAGACCACTGATAATCTCCCTCGATCTGGGGCTCCACGCAAGATCTCACCCCGTGGGGTCAAAATGATCACAAGAACGGTGAGCAAAAATCCCAGAACCACACGGGGGGACCTAGTGAATGACCTGCAGAGAGCTGGGACCAAAGTAACAAAGCCTACCATCAGTAACACACTACGCCACCAGGGACACAAATCCTGCAGTGCCAGACGTGTCCCCCTGCTTAAGCCAGTACATGTCCAGGCCCGTCTGAAGTTTGCTAGAGTGCATTTGGATGATCCAGAAGAGGATTGGGAGAATGTCATATGGTCAGATGAAGCCAAAATAGAACTTTTTGGTAAAAACTCAACTCGTCATGTTTGGAGGACAAAGAATGCTGAGTTGCATCCAAAGAACACCATACCTACTGTGAAGCATGGGGGTGGAAACATCATGCTTTGGGGCTGTTTTTCTGCAAAGGGACCAGGACGACTGATCCGTGTAAAGGAAAGAATGAATGGGGCCATGTATCGTGAGATTTTGAGTGAAAACCTCCTTCCATCAGCAAGGGCATTGAAGATGAAACGTGGCTGGGTCTTTCAGCATGACAATGATCCCAAACACACTGCCCGGGCAACGAAGGAGTGGCTTCGTAAGAAGCATTCCAAGGTCCTGGAGTGGCCTAGCCAGTCTCCAGATCTCAATCCCATAGAACATCTTTGGAGGGAGTTGAAAGTCCGTGTTGCCCAGCGACAGCCCCAAAACATCACTGCTCTAGAGGAGATCTGCATGGAAGAATGGGCCAAAATACCAGCAACAGTGTGTGAAAACCTTGTGAAGACTTACAGAAAACGTTTGACCTGTGTCATTGCCAACAAAGGGTATATAACAAAGTATTGAGAAACTTTTATTATTGACCAAATACTTATTTTCCACCATAATTTGCAAATAAATTCATAAAAAATCCTACAATGTGATTTTCTGGAATTTTTTTTCTCATTTTGTCTGTCATAGTTGACGTGTACCTATGATGAAAATTACAGGCCTCTCTCATCTTTTTAAGTGGGAGAACTTGCACAATTGGTGGCTGACTAAATACTTTTTTCCCCCCACTGTACGTAATATAATACATTTGCCATCATTTGGTTGTAATCCAGAGAGGTTAGAAAATGTATCTAGATCCTCTATGAGGCTGTGGAGGGATTTTAGTTGTGGATTTAAAAGAAAACATGAATCATCAGCGTACAATGACACCTTTGTTTTTAAGCCCTGGATTTCTAATCCTCTGATATTATTATTGGATCTGATTTTAATAGCTAACATCTCGATGGCCACAATAAATAGATATGCCGATAGTGGCCAACCTTGTTTCACTCCTCTTGACAGTTTAAAACGTTCAGAGAAATAGCCATTATTTACTATTTTACACCTAGGGTTACTATACATGATTTTGACCCATTTTATTAAGAGATTATCCAAAATTGAAATGCTCCAGGCATTTATATATAAACCCCAGTCGTACTTTATCAAATGCCTTTTCAAAGTCTGCTATGAATAGCAGGCCTGGTTTCCCATATTTTCCATAGTGTTCTATTGTTTCCAATACTTGCCTTATATTATCTCCAATGTATCTTCCATGTAAAAAACCTGTCTGATTAGAATGAATAATATCCGACAATACCTTTTTAATTCTATGCGCTATACATTTTGCTAGAATTTTTGCATCACAACACTGAAGTGTAAGGGGCCTCCAATTTTGTAAATGGACTGGATCTTTATATTTTCCACTTGTATCCTGTTTCAGTAATAATGAGATCTTCTTCTTGAGTGTCAGATAATCTACCATTTACATAGGAGTGGTTAAAACATGCTAATAACGGTCCTCTTAGTATATCAAAAAAGGTTTGGTATACCTCGACTGGTATGCCATCCAACCCTGGAGTTTTCCCAGACTTAAAGTCTTTAATTGCATCCAGAAGTTCCTCTTCTGTAATTTCACCTTCACATTAGTCTTTCTGTGTGGCTGTTAACTTGACATTATCAATAGAAAAAAAAATCTCTTCAGTTAGAGGAGATGGAGGCGACTGAAAAGAAAACATATGCTTAAAGTACTTTGTTTCTTCCTTCAAAATATCATTTGGTGAATTATGGGTGACTCCGTCAACTGTAACCAGTTTCATTAAGTTATTTTTGGTAGCATTCCTATGTTGAAGATTAAAAAATAATTTTGTGCATTTTTCCCTATATTCCATCCAGTTTGCTTTATTTTTATAATATATTACACTTGATCTTTCTTGAATAAGTTTCTCCATTTCATTTTGCTTTTCCTCTAATTTATTCTGAGCCTCTATGTTACAGTTTTTATTGCCATCTATCTGTTCTGTTAGACTTTCTATTTCCTTTCTTAGTATAAACTATTTTGACCTAAATTGCTTTTGTTTTCGAGATGAGTACTGAATTGCATGGCCTCTAAAGGCACATTTAAAGGTGTCCCATACAATAAGGGAAATTCCTTTGTTCTAATTATAAATAAATTATCATCCAATAGGCTTTGATTACATTTCCAATATCCTCGCCCACGTGGAAATTCATTAAGAGTAATGTATATGCCTATTATATGATGGTCCGACCGCATTCTGTCCCCTATCAACACTTTTTTTTACTTTTGGTGCCAACGAGAATGAGATAAGAAAGAAGTCAAGACGACTAGCTTGATTCAGTCTCCGCCATGTATATCTCACTAGATCAGTATATTTAAGCCTCCATATATCTACTAGTTCTAATGTATCCATGACATTCACAATTTCCTTAAGAGCATGTGGGTGATTGTTTGTGGTGTGATTTCCTTTACGGTCCATTGAGCTATTTAAAACAGTATTATAATCCTCCACCATAATAATATTGTCTTGAATTGCTTGCAGGGTTGATAATTTATTATATATATTGTCAAAGAATTGTGGATCATCATTATTTCGTCCGTAAAGGTTAATGAGCCATATCTGTTTATGGTCCAATACCATATTTAAAATAATCAATCTACCTTGCGTATCTATTTGGACAATTTGCACATTCGGATTGAAATTACTATTAATTAATATCATCACCCCTTTTTGAATTTCTTTGCCCATGGGAGAAGTATATCCCCCCCCCCCCAATTATTTTTTCCACGCTACATAACAGATATGTATTGTCAGAAACGGGGCACATAGGTTCAGTGTTGAATAGGAGTAAACCTATCCTAGAACTGTGGTTATGGGCAGCTTTACCTCAAGCCAGCCTCACAAAGTGATCACAGTGAGCGATCTGCCCAGGATCGATCAGACAGGACTAATGGATTGAAGAGGGCTAATTGAAAAGGCTAATATCTACTGCCTGCTTACATGTGTCTGCTTAAATGATCTCAGTACCAGTGATCAATAGGGAGCGATCAGACTCCACACTGATTCTATTGGCCGGGATCAATAATGCTAAGTGCCTGGGGCAAGGCATCACCAATTACTTCCCTCCTCCCCCTTCCTTACTGGGAAAGAGGTGGACAGATGAGAAGAAACGTGCACACACACACGCCTGTATGCATTCTCACACACGCACATACATGCACAAACATAAACGCATGCGCACACACACACCACCACCAACAGCTCTGGTGCCAGTGCTTCTCTGAAAGCTTAGCAGAAGCCAAATGTCACTCAAGCATCCGTTAGTGAGCACAGAGAACATACACAGTCAGAGTGGACCACTGAATGTTATGGTTCTCCATTTCTGACACAGTGGAGCTTGTTTCAGTGACTCCACTAGGTTGGTACAAATGAGTACATATGGAACCAATGAGATCAATGATTGGCTGAATGACCCAGTGCTATGTGCCAACGTGGAGCTGCCATACAGGGTGATAAGATTTAAAGTGGGATGTCACTGGTCTACAAAAGGCAATATAAAAACCCACACACATGAGCGATACACACAACAACAAAAAACACTGAAAAACAGTTTTTTTGAGTGTGTTTAGTGCACCTGTGTGTGGATTTTGTAAAACTATTGCCTTTTGTAGATAGCTACACAGAAAGTGGCACAGGTCCTAATCCAGGCACTTGTCATCTCCCGTCTGGATTACTGCAACTCGCTGTTGGCTGGGCTCCCTGCCTGTGCCATTAAACCCCTACAACTTATCCAGAACGCTGCAGCCCGTCTGGTTTTCAACCTTCCCAAGTTCTCTCATGTCACCCCGCTCCTCCGCACACTCCACTGGCTTCCAGTTGAGGCTCGCATCTACTACAAGACCATGGTGCTTGCCTACGGAGCTGTGAGGTGAACGGCACCTCCTTACCTTCAGGCTCTGATCAGACCCTACACCCAAACGAGGGCACTACGTTCATCCACCTCTGGCCTGCTAGCCCCCCTACCTCTACGGAAGCACAGTTTCCGCTCAGCCCAGTCAAAGCTATTCGCTGCTCTGGCACCCCAATGGTGGAACAAGCTCCCCCATGACGCCAGGACAGCGGAGTCACTGACCACCTTCCGGAGACACTTGAAACCCTTCCTCTTTAAGGAATACCTGGAATAGTATAAAAGTAATCCTTCTCTCCCCCCCTCCCCCACCCCCCCATCAAAAAAACTGGCTATCATAAGTTGAATGCACCAATTTATAAGTCGCTCTGGATAAGAGCGTCTGCTAAATGACGTAAATGTAAATGTAATATCGGTCCAGCATAAATTATGAAGATTTGATTATTTGAAGGAAAAAACTCCAAATAAATAAAAAAAATGTCCCATGTGTCCAGAGACTAAATAAGGTACAATATGGAGATGGTTCACATACTGCTGTAGTTTACATAGTGCTGTATTTCTTCAACCAACTTCCAAAATAAAAACATTAAAGTCATTGAACATTTACAGTGGGAAAAAAAAGTATTTAGTCAGCCACCAATTGTGCAAGTTCTCTCACTTAAAAAGATGAGAGAGACCTGTAATTTTCATCATATGTACATGTCAACTATGACAGACAAAATGAGGAGAAAAAATCCAGAAAATCACATTGTAGGATTTTTAATGAATTTATTTGCAAATTATGGTGGAAAATAAGTATTTGGTCAATAACAAAAGTTTCTCAATACTTTGTTATATACCCTTTGTTGGCAATGACACAGGTCAAACGTTTTCTGTAAGTCTTCACAAGGTTTTCACACACTATTGCTGGTATTTTGGCCCATTCCTCCATGCAGATCTCCTCTAGAGCAGTGATGTTTTGGGGCTGTCGCTGGGCAACACAGACTTTCACAGAACTCCCTCCAAAGATTTTCTATGGGGTTGAGATCTGGAGACTGGCTAGGCCACTCCAGGACCTTGAAATGCTTCTTACGAAGCCACTCCTTCGTTGCCCGGGCGGTGTGTTTGGGATCATTGTCATGCTGAAAGACCCAGCCACGTTTCATCTTCAATGCCCTTGCTGATGGAAGGAGGTTTTCACTCAAAATCTCACGATACATGGCCCCATTCATTCTTTCCTTTACACGGATCAGTCGTCCTGGTCCCTTTGCAGAAAAACAGCCCCAAAGCATGATGTTTCCACCCCCATGCTTCACAGTAGGTATGGTGTTCTTTGGATGCAACTCAGCATTCTTTGTCCTCCAAACACGACGAGTTGAGTTTTTACCAAAAAGTTCTATTTTGGTTTCATCTGACCATATGACATTCTCCCAATCCTCTTCTGGATCATCCAAATGCACTCTAGCAAACTTCAGACGGGCCTGGACATGTACTGGCTTAAGCAGTGGGACACGTCTGGCACTGCAGGATTGGAGTCCCTGGCGGCGTAGTGTGTTACTGATGGTAGGCTTTGTTATTTTGGTCCCAGCTCTCTGCAGGTCATTCACTAGGTCCCCCCGTGTGGTTCTGGGATTTTTGCTCACCATTCTTGTGATCATTTTGACCCCACGGGGTGAGATCTTGCGTGGAGCCCCAGATCGAGGGAGATTATCAGTGGTCTTGTATATCTTCCATTTCCTAATAATTGCTCCCACAGTTGATTTCTTCAAACCAAGCTGCTTACCTATTGCAGATTCAGTCTTCCCAGCCTGGTGCAGGTCTACAATTTTGTTTCTGGTGTCCTTTGACAGCTCTTTGGTCTTGGCCATAGTGGAGTTTGGAGTGTGACTGTTTGAGGTTGTGGACAGGTGTCTTTTATACTGATAACAAGTTCAAACAGGTGCCATTAATACAGATAACGAATGGAGGACAGAGGAGCCTCTTAAAGAAGTTGTTACAGGTCTGTGAGAGCCAGAAATCTTGCTTGTTTGTAGGTGACCAAATACTTATTTTCCACCATAATTTGCAAATAAATTCATTAAAAATCCTACAATGTGATTTTCTGGATTTTTTTTCCCTCAATTTGTCTGTCATAGTTGACGTGTACCTATTATGAAAATTACAGGCCTCTCATCTTTTTAAGTGGGAGAACTTGCACAATTGGTGGCTGACTAAATACTTTTTTCCCCCACTGTATATGCTTTTACACAATACATTTATATTGTTATGTAAATACAACAATTTTGATTTTAAATTTTAAATTAAAACTTAGACACTGGAGTTGCCTATTCTACGACAATCATACAATTTATATGTGACCTGTATAGCCACTTGTACTAGCTGCACTGACACCAAATGTCATTACACCAACAACAACAAAAATAATATGTGGCACATTTCGATATTGTACTAAATATAGTCACGTCAAGCGAGAGAGAAAGAGACAAACAGAGATATTTAGGTGTAACTCACTGCATCCATCCTCGTCGCTGTGATCTCCACAGTCGTTGTCCCCGTCACACTGCCACTGGGCCGGGATACATGTACACTCCCCAAACGCGCTCACTGCACACGTGAAGTGGTTGCGCCCGCATGAACACTCCGCACTGCCCAACACGCCTGGAAAGAGACAGAGAGAAGAGGGAACCGGGTTAGGAAAATGCTAAAAGAATACACTTAGAGGACATGCTTGTATAGCAGAGGTGGTTTGGTGAACTATCCTCTTGTGATGAGTAGACTTGCCTGAGGTTTGGTGTACCATGTACAGATTAAGCCTAATCCTGGGTTAAAAAGCACGCTCAACGGAGAATCTCCATTGAAATAGCTTTTAAGTGTGGGACTAGGCTTAATCTTTGTCCAGGAAACCAGCCCTAAGAGTTGTGGGGGGGTCCCACAACTATGTCTAGCCGTTAGCTATCTGCCCTTTTTCTGGCCTGCAAATTGATTTTGACAAACAAATCGGTCCCCAAAAAATGAGAATTTCGAAATCCCGATGTGGCCCTCAAGCCAAAAAGTATGCCCACCCCTGCTTTAGCTCAATAGGCTAACACAGCCTTGAGTCAAGCCATAAAAAATAAAAATAAACAGTTACCTACTGCACCTATGAGCACAGACCATATCAAGAACAATACATCGTGTCTCATCACTACCCATACAGGGTAGGCCATAGCAAAGCTGTCAGATATGCTTATGAAAGTGTCAGCAGCCTCATCCACTCATTTAATCTGACTGTCATAAAACCAATGAGCTGTATGTTATATGACTGGTAGCCAAGACTGGTGCATTTATACACTCCATATATCCTGAACACGCACGTGTGTGTGTGTGTGTGTGTGTGTGTGTGATGGATATGTTTTCAGCTGGGGCAAAACCACAGTCTCGTGCTATTAAAGTAGTACAATAAATATATCTGGCCTTAATTTCACTGGCTTCCATTTTGTTAAGGCATTCTGTGTGAACACTGTATGCAAGTGAGAATGTGTACCCATCAGTTTTGTGTGTGCGCGTGTGTGTGTACATGCTTGTATATGGACATGAGAGTGAGGCTGCGATGCCTCCTCAGATGCTTTTAGCCCCTTTGAAAGAGGCTGACAGCTTCAATGAGTAAGGGGTGAAGTGTGTGTACAGATTGGTTGTACAAATATCTACAAAAGGCTATATAAAAAAACACACACACATGAGCAATACACAGGAGCGATACACATATTTTGCAAAAATATTGCCTTTTGTAGATATCGGTCCAGCGTGTGGGTGTGCAGTACTGCAACTGCACCGCCCGCAACCACAGGGCTCTCCAGAGGGTGGTACGGTCTGCCCAACGCATCACCGGGAGCACACTGCCTGCCCTCCAGGACACCTAGAGCACCCGATGTCACAGGAAGGCCAAAAAGATAATCAAGGACATCAACCACCCGAGCCACGGCCTGTCTATCATCCAGAAGGCGAGGTCAGTACAGGTGCATCAAAGATGGGACCAAGAGACTGAAAAACAGCTTCTATCTCAAGGACATCAGACTGTTAAATAGCCATCACTAGCCGGGTACCACCCGGCTACTCAACCCTGCACTTTAGAGGCTGCTGCCCTATATACATAGACATGGAATCACTGGCCACTTTAAATAATGGAACACTAGTCACTTTAATAATGTTTACATACTGCTTTACTCATCTCATTTGTAGATACTGTATTCTATTCTACTGTATTTAGTCAATGCCACTCCAACATTGCTCGTCCTAATATGTATATTTATACAACCCAATTATTATAATTTTTTGTCATTTAGCAGATGCTCTTATCCAGAGTGACTTACAGTTTAGTGAGTGCATACATTTTCATACTGGCCCCCCGTGGGAAACGTACCCACAACCCTGGCGTTGCAAGCGCCATGCTCTACCAACTGAGCTACAGGGGACTACATTCTTCATTCCATTCTTTTACTTTTAGATTTGTGTATTGTTGTGAATTGTTAGATACTACTGCACTGTTGGAGCTAGGAACACAAGCATTTCACTACACCCGCAATTACATCTGCTAAATATGTGTAGGTGACCAATCAAATTTGATTTGAGATGTTTTCCACTGACAGCCTTCGAGAGAGTGTGTCTTAGGCTGCACTAAAAAATATTAAGCAAAAAATAATAATAACCCAAATTTATATGAATCTCAGCAAATCGGGTCCATTACGGGGAGTGAAAAAAGCCTCACATTTCTCGCTCTCTTTGAACTCAGTTAAAGACTGTGTGTGTGTGGTTGGTTCCTGGCCTCTTCACAAAGGCATCAGTCAACCCAGGAGAGCCTGGCACCAAACACACACTAACCTTCAGAAGCCTCCCACAGCACTAAATTAATGGCCTCTCTTTTCATTCTCTCTCTCTCTCTCTCTAAATTAATGGCCTCTCTTTTCATTTTTTCTTTTCCTCCATTCTCGGTCTTACTCTCCCGCTCTCTCTTCCCAAAAGATTCTAACACGACAAAGACAAAAATAAATCCCACTCAGTCATTATTTTTCCAGCCTTTTCTGGCTCCTTCCCTTTCTAATCTCTCCCCTGAGGCGTGTGGTCCCTCCTTAGTGTCTCCAAGCCCTGTCCCTTTCAGACACATAGAACAAGGGACCAGGCTAGAATTAAGGCCCTAATGACTGATGACAAAGACAGAAAGCCTGAAAACACTGTTCCTTTCTTACCCCCTAGAATCTAGATCAGACAAGGAATTATCTGTAGCATCATACAGACACACATGCACACACGCAAACTTATGCTCACGCACACACCCACACATGCACACACACAGACACTACTCCTCTTAGACTTGGTCAGGTCGTAACTAATACTATTCATTCGGGTTGGTGCATGCTGATCAACAATTTAATCTATGCTAAATTTACATGAGTGTGTATGGGTTTCCATGAGCAGGGTTGTATATGCGGGTCTATATGAATGGCTTTCTAAGTGTGGGTTTATGTCGGACTAAATTAGAGCCTTGTGTCTAGAGTTGGCAGAGCAATCATGTCACATGGATCCACATGAGAGAGGCTGCATTGTCAAACATGCTTTAAACAGCACAGGCCACTTGCACTGAGAAGACCTATAAAATGACAGGGTTCAATACAAAAACACACACAAACACATGCATGTGTGTGAACTCGAATACACACACACAGAAAATTAAACCACAAGTTGAGTGGATTCATAAAACTCAAGACCATATGAGTGAACCGTGTAGATGTGGATAGATATGCAGGTAACTGCCAAAATAAAGAAAACACCAACATAAAGTGTATTAATAGGGTGCCAGAACAGCTTCAATGCACCTTGGCATAGATTCTACAAGTCTCTGGAACTCTATTGGAGGGATGCGACACCATTCTTCCACAAGAAATGTCATTTGGTGTTTTGTTGAAAACATTTTCTCGGGCACTGCTTCAGAATCTCCCATAAGTGTTCAATTGGGTTGAGATCTGATGACTGAGATGGCCATGGCATATGGTTTACATCAATTTCATACTCATCAAACCATTCAGTGACCACTCGTGCCCTGTGGATGGGGCATTGTCATCTTATGGGGGCATAGCCAAGATAGACAAAATAATGGCCTGCCCAGCATTTTTATATATGACTCTAAGCACGATGGAATGTTAATTGTTTCAATGTTTCAAGTTTTTTATGTCACATGCCCATTTCCAGTGAAATGCCTTTGTTTCAAGCTCTAACCCCAACAATGCAGTAATCAATAACAATGTAATACTAAAAATAACAAGGTAGAACAAAAATACACAAGATACAAAAATAACAAATAAGAAGAACATGATAAAGTAAGTAAGTCAGTCAGTTCCAGTGCCATATTTACAATGTGCAGGGATACTGGAGTGATAGAGGTAGATATGTATAGGGTTAAGGTGACTAGGCATCAGGATATATGATAAACAGAATAGCAACAGCCTATATGATGATTGTATGTGAGTGGGTCTGTATAAATGTACAGTACCAGTCAAACTCCAAAAAGTTTTGGGACATTGTAAAGTCCATGGAAAATAAGAGCACCTCCTCCCAACTGCCCACTGCACTGAGGCTAGGAAACACTGTCACCACCGATAACTGTACAATAATCTAGAATTTCAACAAGCATTTTGTTACGGCTGGCCATGCTTTCCACCTGGCTACCACTACCCCGGCCACCAGCTCTGCAACTTGCCCATGCCCCCCCCCCCCCCCCCCCCCCGCTTCTCCTTCGCACAAATTCAGACAGCTGATGTTCTGAAAGAGCTGAAAAATCTGGACCCCCACAAATCAGCTGGGCTAGACAATCTGAACCCTTTCTTTCTAAAATTAGCCGCCGAAATTGTCGCAACCCCTATTACTAGCCTGTTCAACCTCTCTTTCGTAACGTCTGCTGATTGGCTCAAATGCATTAAGAAGGAAAGAAATTCCACAAACTAACTTTTAACAAGGCACACCTGTTAATTGATATGCATTCCAGGTGACTACCTCATGAAGCTGGTTGAGAGAATGCCGAAAGTGTGCAAAGCTGTCATCAAGGCAAAGGGTGGCTATTTGAAGAATCTCAAATATAAAATATATTTTCATTTGTTTAACACTTTTTTGGTTACTACATGATTCCATATGTGTTATTTCATAGTTTTGATGTCTTCACTATTATTCTACAATGTAGAATATAGTAATAATAAAGAAAAACCCTTGAATGAGTAGGTGTGTCCAAACTTTTGACTGGTACTGCATGTGCATATTATGTGTGTTACAGCAAATTATGGAGTGAGTGTTTGTATATGTTGGAGTATCAGCGTGCGTAGTGTGTAAGGCCCTGTGTGTGTGAATAGAGAATAAGAATAAAATACAAAGGTCAACTCATATAGTCTGTGTAGTCATTGTGAAAGCTATTTAGCAGTCTTATGGCATGGGGATAGAAGCTGTTCAGGAGCCTGTTGGTGTCAGACTTGATGCACCCGTACTGCTTGTCATGTGGAAGCAGAGAGAACAGTCTATGGCTTGGGTGGTTGTAGTCTAACGATTTTATGGGCCTTCCTTCCACACCACCTGATATAGTGGTCCTTGATGGCAGGGAGCTTGGCCCTAGTGATGTACTGGGCTATCCGTACCACACTCTGTAGCGCCATGCGATCGAGGGCGGTGCTATTGCCATACCAAGCAGTGATGCAGCCAGTCAAGATGCTCTCAATGGTACAGCTGTAGAACTTGTTGAAGATTTGACGGCCCATGCCAAACCTTCTCAACCTCCTGAGGGGGAAGAGGCGCTGTCGTGCCTTCTTCACGACTGTGCACGTATGTGAACCATTTTATGCTCTTAGTGATTTGGACACTGAGGAACTTGAAGCTCTCGACCAGCTCCACTGCAGCCCTGTCGATGTGGATGCGGGGCCAAACTGCCAGGTCACCGACCTCCTCCCTGCAGGCGGTCTCATCGTCGCCGGTGATCAGGCCTTCCACCATTGATGATGGTGTTGGGAGTCGTGCGTGGCCAAGCAGTCGTGGGTGAACAGGGAGTACAGGAGGGGCTAGACACACCGCTGTGGGGCCCCCGTGTTGAGGGTCAGCGTGGCGGAAGTGATGTTGCCTACCCTCACCACCTGGGTTCGGGCCATCAGGATGTCCAGGATCAAGTTGCAGAGGGAGGCATTCAGTCCCAGGGTCCTAAGCTTGGTGACGAACTTGGAGGGGACAATGGTGTTGAACGCTGAGCTGTAGTCAATGAGCAACATTCTCACATAGGTATTCCTCTTATCTAGGTGGGTGAGGGCAGTGCAATTAAGATTGCGTAGTCTATGGATCTGTTGGGGCGGTATGCAAATTGGAGTGGGTCTAGAGTGTCTGGGATGGTAGAGTTAATGTGTCCCATAACCAGCCTCTCAAAGCACTTCATGATTACAGATGAGTGCAACAGGGTGGTAGTCATTGTGGCATGAAGCTTTAGAGTTCTTGGGAACAGGAATGATGGTGGTCATCTTAAAATGTTGGGATTACAGACTGGGACAAGGAGAGCTTGAAAATGTCCGTGAATATACCGGCCAGCTATTCTGCACATGATCTGAGAATGCGCCCTGGAATACCATCAGGCCACACGGCCTTGCAAGTGTTGACCTGATTAAAGGCTTTACTCACATCGGCCTCGGAGAGCGAGATCACCCAATCTTCTGGGTCTCACACCCGACACGACGTTAATGTCAAAGCGTGCTTAAAATGCATCGCGTTCGTCTGGTAGAGAGGCATCGTTGGGCAGATCACGGCAGGGTCTTCCTTTGTAATCAGTACTGGACTGTAGCCCCTGTCACATGTGGCAGGCATGTATTGTCCTTTTGCTCATTTGATGACTCAGCAGAGGTCATAGCGGGACTTCTTGTACTTGTTCCTGTCCTCAGCCGTAGCCCCAGGGTTGGCTGAGATAGCCCTGTGTGTGGTAGCTCTGTCCTTTAGTTTAGCGCCAACCTCAGTGTTAATCCAGGTCTTTTGATTGGGGAAGCAGCAAACCTTAACTGAGGGGATAACGTCGCCGATGCAATTCCTAATGAAGCCGGTGACTGAGGTGGATAGCTCGTCGATGTTATCGGCGGAGTCCCGAAACGTATTCCAAATCAGCACTGTAGCATAATCTCTGATTCTGGAGACCATTTCTCAACGGAGCGAGTCACGAGTAATTCCTGTTTGAGCTTCTGTTTGTAAACAGGAAGCAGGAGTATGGAGTCATGATCCGATTGCTGAATGGCGGATGAGGGAGGGCCCTTGTATGGTTGCTTGTGGGTAGAATAACAGTGGTCTAGGACTTTATCGCCCCTAGTGGTGAGGGAGACGTGTTGATGGAAGTTCGGGCATCACGTGTCTTAATAAAAAATCGCCAGCAACCAGAAAAGCAGCCTCTGGATGTACTTATAGCCTCGAACAGTTTGTGAAGTGCCAGCTTGTTATTTTTCTTGTCCTGGTGGAATTTATACAACAGTAACAATAACAGCTGAAAACTCCACTGGGAGGTAAAAGGGTCAGCATTTGACCATCAAGTATTCCAAGACAGGTGAACAATGGGTCGACACTTCCACCGCACTCGAGTCAGTGCACTCAATTTTCCTGACTCCACTGTCCTGTCGGCACGGTGAATGGAGAATCCATAGAGTTGTCCGAGAGCCATGATTCGGAAAAGCAGAGAATATTGCAGTTTTGAGAGTCCCGTTGGTAGCAAATCCGCGATCGGAGGTCATCCATCTTATTATTAAGTGAATGGAAGGAAGATGGAGGAGGAGAATGGCCAGTTCTCCCTTCACCTTAATCTCGCTAGGATCTCCCCTCTCTTGCCTCTGTAACGTCGGCGTTTCTTCTTGGGTAGCCCGGAAATTGGGTCGGAATTACAGAAAGAGCCAAGGCCAGATGAGTCGAAGTTGAAGCTGAAGCCGGTATTGAGGTAAGTAACTGCCAATCTGATGTTCAAAAGTTGTTGTCGGTTGTAAGAAATGATATGGCCAGTACGACGCCATCTTTAAGTCAATTGCTTAATTAACTCAGGAACCTCACCTGTGTGGAAGCACCTGCTTTCAATAGACTTTGTATCCCTCATTTACTTAAGTGTTTCTATTATTTGGGCAGTTACCTGTACTTCAATCATATACCTTTGAATAATATAATTTTGTGGGGGATCGAAACAGTTCTAAATAAAATGTGTCTAAACTGTAATCCTTTATGGTGAAACTGCCACGTCCATTTGGGAACAACAAACAGTTTTTTTTATTTTTTCGGACATCATTGCACGTACGATAGAACAGCAGAATATGCACTGCTCGACACCTCACCTCTGTTTCGTCCACAAAACAAAAACAATAAAGGTGCCCGGGGCGAACAGTGGCGCTGTTTCCCCTAATGCGGATTCCATCTTTAGAGGTGATTGTAAGGTCAATACCTGAATAAACAGACTAGTTGACTGGTAAAAAGACAGAACCCTCTCCAGGTACTTATCTTAAAATGGAACACGCCTTTCCCCCACAATGCATTGCCAGCCAGGCATTGTGGCACTGGTCTTTCAGAGGCACTGCCATGACAGACAGAACACAATGATCAGAGAGAGATAAGAGCTCAACTGGCTGTGTGTGTGTGTGAGTGTGGGGGGTAAGCCAAACCCTCACTTCCTTTCAGGTATAACATTTCACCTTTGCTGCCAAACGCTGGGGGTGTGTGTGTGTGTGTGTGTGTGTGTGACCTCCTGCAACGAGAAAACAGACCACTGACCACACACAGCTTTGTCCACACCTTTGAACGTGGCGTGCATGTGTGTATATGAGCATGGAACCCCACAGGACCCTCGGCATGGCCAGAGCTAGACAGGTGTTCCTCCAGGGAAAACACAACCATCCCACAATCCACCACTACCTACAGCAGTCCACTAACACATAGTGGTCTATTTTAGGCCACGCTATTTAATCTATGGTGGGACTACAAGTCAAGAACAAAGTTGTTCTTTCCACTACCGCCCGTTTTCTTTCATCAGCACCCAATGCTAACTCATTTACCTTCTAATTTACTACTATAAATGAGTGTATGTATTGGGAAATTACAGCAGAGCCAGCATCCGCACACCCACACCGGACCTTGGAAGACTGATCATTGTAATATAGGGTCAACACAAACAATAACTCAACCCCCCAGGAGTGAAGGATGTCAAAAGGTTGATTGTTAATTAGGGCTGGACCTCCCAAGTGACTCTGTGGAGGGCTGAGTGTGTGTTCAGTCACTGAGAAAACAGTACCCTGCCAAAATGTATAGTGGTACAGAACATAAGAAGAAAATCAAAACACCTCGCTCGCAGACAAGCATGTGTGTGGATTTGCATTTGGGAGATGGAACAGGACACACACACATACACTTTCCCTGCACTCATGTATTTTCCCACATTCCCTCGCTCTCTTTCCCAGTCTTCCCTCACCTGTCTTTCTATTGTTGCTCTCCAGATATCTTGACAATGTCCATTCCTCTCCCTTTTCTTCTCCACTATGCCACCCATAGCTCCCATCTTTATACATCCTTCTATCCCCCTCCATCTCTCTCCTCACCCTGTAAAGTGTTGTGGAATTGTTTGTTAGAGCTGGACAGCTGCATCTCAGCATGTCAACACCTGTTGTGGCCAGACAATCCTTCCTGAGTTACGTTCCCTCTTAAAACCCAGAAGAGTCACACAACGCTTTTCAATGAGACAGGACTAAAAAGGTCTGTGTGTGTCCATAACCTCCCCCCAACACCAGTATTTTACCACCTCCATATCTGATGGTCATACACACACGATGCCAATGGTCATCTTGGTATTTTGGTGGCATTTTTTGATCTTTCCATTGGTTATAAGGGCCATAGCGAGCAGGAAAAGTGTAGGCCTAGATAGGTCAGTATGTCATGTTTATGTGTTTACTATACTTCCTATGCTCTCACTCTATCCCTCTCCCCAGAAGTCTCTCTCTCTCTTTCTCAATCTCTCTCCCTCCACTTTCTCTAAACCACCACATATGGAAGCCCTTAAAACCTCTTAAGGCACGGTCACAGCGGTTACGGTTGCTCCCGGTTACGGTGGTTTGCAACAAAGATGCCAATACCTCATCTTCTCTGCTCTCGGTTTCTCCCTCCATCCCTCTCATCCCCCCCTACTAATTTACCCATCTCATGTCAGGCCAAGCCTGGAGCGGTGAGGAGTAACCCATAGGCACACGTTGGGCCCAGCTAACACAAACACACACAGGCACAAACACAAACACGCGGACACACACACACAATTGTCCTAGGGTAACATTTGGGCAGCGGCAGGGTTCTCTTCTTGCCTGCTCATCTCAGATGTGGGGGGGGGGGGGGGCATGCTTATCATGCAACGGAGTCCGGACACTCCCTCAAACAAGCCTGACTAGCAGCCTCATAACTGAGCCAGCACCACCTGTTCATCAGACATACCCCTCAAACTACGCAAATTACCCATCTGTCCAAACAGACTGAGACAGGCAGACAGACAGGCTGTGTACCAATCCAAAAGGCACCTACCTTAATAGGTAGCACTTTTCCAGTAGGTTACTGCCATTTGAGACAGGATTCAAAGGCAGCATCACGTGAAAATGTATTTGCATTCCACAGAGCGCGAGACGTTTGTTTACACTGTAGCCACTCTAGCAGTGTAAGCAACTAGTGCTAGCAATTCAATGATCAACTATCCCAAAATGGAAATATCTGACACCAATAACAAGTAAACAAGTAACAGGATCAATATCCTCAGTACCTGTTAATGAATTAAGTTAACACCGAACAGAATAATTATCCTACGGTATAGGGTCCTCCTCTCACATATTGCTTGGTCTGCAGCTCCATCGTTGTGGACATGACAGGTAAGCTTGCCTGCATGATACAGGATACGATTTTTTGAGATAGCTAAAAAAGCTATTTTACTGACTGTTTAAGAATGATATATAGCCAGAATAGTGGTGTTTCACTGGGAAGCTAATATTACATTAGGACTGCTAATGTTTTTTTCTTCTAATGAGTAGGCTTGCATTGTGATTAACTCATACAACTCACACATTTATATTTACATTTTACTCATTTAGCAGACGCTCTTATTCAGAGCGATTTACAGGAGCAAAACATATTATTAAATTACACTGATGTTCAAGATAACATGGTTTTATATTTGTTGATAACTAATATTGAAAGGTGAAATGATGCAATCTAAATACATTAGAAGGCCTAGGCTACTTCACCCTAATTTAAGATAAATGCATTGTATACAAAACAAACACGGACTTGATAAAAGGATGTCCAATATAATTATATAAATACAGATCAAACAGGAATATATATTCAATTAAATGAATCCAGCATTGTAGTATTATTGATGCCTTTCCCTCTCCTTGCAGGGGATTAGACAGATGAACTGCAGTCACCAGATGCCCAAGCCTCAAAACCAGAAACGTGTGGAGACATCAACACTTGTCTTTTTTATAATTGGTTTTCCTGTATCTGTACATGAGTCCTTAAAACACAGTCCAATCTCAAGATGATTATCAATCAATCAATCAACCAAATGTATTTATAAAGCCCTTTTTACATCTGCAGATGTCACAAAGTCCTATACAGAAACCCAGCCTATATTGCATTGTTGGATGCAATATAGCATAACCTCCAACATTCATAAGCTTGTTCAGCACATGAGGGCATATTTTCTCATGACAGATAGTTTTTTAATACACAGGATATGATGTTTACAGGTTTTTGTTCCAGCCCTTCACTACCACCTCATTCAACTAATGGTGGTCTAAATTGAAGACTTGCACACAGTGCAATCCCCTGGCACAGAAATCACATTTGTATTTTAGAATAAGCTTCACAAGTTACAATGACCTGACAAATATGCATGATAAACAATAACAAGGGTGAATATATTTCTATCTAACATTGTGATGTTGCACACTCCTGAATAAAAGCCTGGGATATTGTGATTATCCTGGTGGCTGGGAGGTTCCCAAGTTATTTACATCTGTCTGGGTGTCAGGGTGGGATGTCCTTCAACCTGGAACAAGCAGTGACAAGCTACCTTTATTAATGTGCAATCACATATTCATAGGCTTGATCAAGTTGTTTACAGTAAGAGTAGAGACCTTAGCCTCTAATTTTAACTAGTAACACCAAACCCAATGGTGCAACACAATAGGGGAAGGGAAAGCGACAAGAGAAAGTTGATGTCAGCTAACATCACGTAAACAGACTTTGCATTCAGCAAGCTAGCTAAACAGACTCTTCATCAAAATGCTTAAATAACTTGGCTAACTAGCAAGCCTAGATTGAACAGAACACAGCTGGCTGCATTTCCTACGTTTTCATGTTGTTAAAATGTCTTACCTCCAAATGACTTGGGCAGGACTGTTTTCCCCTGCCAAGCCAATGGAGTGAAGAAAAAAAAGAAGTGCTACATGTCTTTAGATGGCTAACAACTTCACTAATGAATGATTTAAAAAAAACTATCTTCACAATTGACACATTGCTGAATCTATGATTAGTTAGTTTAGTTGTTCATCTCCAAACAGCTGATAAGCAGGCTAGTGAGCTATATCGCATCCAACGTGAGCTAAGCTAGCTTGGCATCAGGCTGATAAACACCAGTTCCTCAACATTTGAATTCAAAATGCATATGAAAGTAATTTGTAGAACATTCAACATAATTTGGTGAAAAACTAAACGTTATACTTACATTTCACAAAGTTATTCCTTATTCTTCTGGAAATATTTCTTCCAAGCGGGGACTTCTGTCCTCCATTAATTCAGAAATGCTACGAATTTTCGCTGCACCGCAAGATGTTATGGGATTGCCTCCCCGGCGAAAAATACATGGGATGTTGCCTTCAAAATCGACCCAAATGAAGGCACCTTAGAAGGCAGCATTTTAAGGTACCAATTTGACGTCCTGCCTCAAAAGGCAGCATTCTTGTCGATTGGGACACAGCCACAGACACAGACAGAGAGACAGTGCAGCCCAAAATCATTGTATTTTTGTAGAGTGGTCCTTCTCTTCCTGAGGGTTAAAAATAGGGACCTACAGGGTGAGGGCTGGAAGAGAAGATGATAGGATAGTGCCATTATGGCAAAGTTGTGGGTATGTGTGTGTGTGTGCGTGTGTGTGTGTGTTGCAAGCCAGCAGTCCCTCGGAAGTCAGTTCAAAGATAACACTCTGGCTTGGCTGGGGATGATGGGATGGCTTCTGGATCAAGTATTTGGGCTAGAGTAGTGTGTCTGTGTGTGTGTGTGTGTGTGTGTACATGCTTACGTGCGTGTGTCAGTGGGGGTTGGGTTTTGGATGTGTTTTTCTGGAAAAGGGGCAAGTTTGTCATTCCCCAGTTGATTTTCCACCAATGTCAGCCCTTTGTAATGACTCTGGCCCCTACACACTGTACGCATGTGGGTTTGGAGCCTTCTCAGTGTGTGTGTGTGTGTGTGTGTTAATACCCTGCTAGTGAGAACACAACTGTCCTCTATGCTGTGTCCCTGGCTGTGAACACTACACCACTGGACAATGTGCTGACTGAGCACTTGGTCTCCAATCCCCCTCTAATCCTCTGCTTGTCTCTTTGCCCATCGGCGCCGACACGCACACAAAAACCAGTAGAACACCATTGTTGAGCCACAGCCATACCCAGGGCATGCTGCTTCACTCTGGGGTGACGTGAGAGAGTGAGAGAGGTGACAGGTGAAGGGGAGAGGTATTGGTTGATGGCAAGGCTGTATGACACACACACACACACAAGCAATATTCTTACAACACCAATTTCCACCATATGTTGTCAGCCCTTTGGTGGCCTAGATAGTATCATCCTCTGTGCAGCACTTCAAACGGGCTTGTTTGTCCCTCCGTTATACAACCAGGCTACTAAATGTCAACTTGAGACATGGTATGTAACATGAATGACCAGGCTTTAATGTTGGTCTGGGCTTCCACTACACATCAATCATCACTCTCAAAAAACCTTCTTCTCGCTGGGAAGATGCTCCAATACTGTCCCTCCACCACTCTTAAACCTTTCAAGCCATTCATATGGGAAAAAGGAAAGGAATTTTCAAATATTTACATCTAGCCTTAAACAAAAAGAGATTTGAACCCTCAAAACATTAAGCAAGCCCCGGCATCATATGTAATATTTGTGTGGGGTAAATCAGAAACATGTTTCTGGGCAGGAGAGTCTGTAAATGAATGTAGCAGATGCAACTGGAATTTGAAAGTCTCAGAGTTCAGGTGTAATAAAATCCTAACAAGTTCGCATAGAGAGTGTGAGAGACCGAGAGAGAGAGAGATAGATAGAAAGAGAGATGGGCTTGAAAGATGGGCTTGGCTGAGGAACGAGACGGAGAGATGGGCTTGAAAGATGGGCTTGGCTGAAATGGCTAGCTGAGTATGAACATATTGCGTGTGTATGTGTGCGTGCGTCCGTGACTGCTGTTTGGGGTAGGGAATTCCACTGATTCCAGCTGTCTTTCTCCACAGCGTACAAGGAATGCTGCTGAAGCCCCAGTGTTTAGGTGTGTGTATGTGTGTGTAACCCTATCGTCTGGCCCAAGTCCAGTCCAGCACAATATCCAGCACAGTAGTCTACAATACAAGCCTCCTGTCTGGGACAAGCCTCTGAACCCCTCCCTGAAACCCAAACCTCCTCAGAGACCAGGACCTCTCTCTGAGCCTTATCGATCACCCCCTCCCCCTGCCTCATGCTGACAGAGTGAAATCCACTCCAGGTATGAATCAAACAAGAATGAGGTGACAGACGAGTAGAACTGGAAAGGGAGAGAGCAATGGCAAAATTATTGTATTCCTTTCTGACTGATGATTGGAGAATAGTCTTGGTGCATCTCAATAGCCTAGTTGATTCATCTTCTACTCTCCTTTCCTTCATTGTACTGATATAAAAGAAACCTGGGCATGTTCAGTTGGTGTAGCCAGTTGGCATGACTCCACTATACCTTGCTCCCCTTTCCTGTCTTTGTGGGTCAGCACACATGAAGGAAATGAGGAGACGAGGGGAGGAGGCTACTTTAGGCTATCGAGACACGTCCCCTGACTATATCTGCCAGTTGTTCACTAGCTCTGAACACTGGAAAGCACGGTGTTCTTGAACAGCCTCTCGGAGCAGTGTGGGTTGCCAGATCACTCTCAGCCTGCTGAGTCTGTGAATGTGACCTCAGACTGAAGGGATAAGTGTAATAAAAAGGGATTACTCCATCCAGGCGAGATGTAACTCACTTTATTGGCTCAGAGTGAGGCTGGATGAGAAGAGCAGACAGGGAGACCCACACAGTTCCAATATCCACCATTAGAGCCATAAAGAAAACCATGTACAGGGTCCAGCCATTCATAGTAAAAATAATAACTGAAGCATCTTGTCTATTATCAATGGCTTCTAGGGATGGGCACGGTTAATAGAATATACGAACAGATGTTAATATTTATTTGAAAAAACATTTTTAGGCCTATTTTAACAATGAAAAAGTTGTCTAAATTAAATTCAATGTTTATGTACGGCACACTGATCTACTGCTGCTTAAGATGTCACGTGGCTTTGACAGTACATTGTTAACAGTTACTGTAAGTAGCCTATGAACTGAGGACGCACAAAGTGATTGTATTATTTTCAAGCTCATTTTCTCTCTCATGGGCTATGGATTGCATTTTACATGAAGAGGCATTTTACTGTCATAGCGTATTTAGCCCTCTGGTCAGCCCTGACAACTGTATACTATTTTCCCTACTTTAAATAGCAATTAGCCTAGTGTAGGCGCGCACCAACAGAGGGTCCACAAGACCTGACCACAGATCAATGCAAAACACTTACCAGAAAACTTTTTTTTAAACAGTATCAGTTCTATGATGGTGAACATCAGACCGCTCTTTCACTGTTGCTGTTAGCCAAAGACTACCGATACAGCACCCTGAAAACAACTGCACACTGTCTGCTGTTGTGGCATTTTTTACTATCTGGATATCTGGGAAATAATGCAGGATATTATTTCAATAGTTAAATAATTTCAAAAACCCATGCCTAAAGGCTTGTAATGAAAAGCGCAGAATGGCCATGTACAGTCGTGGTCAAAAGTTTTGAGAATGACACAAATACTAATTTTCACAAAGTCTGCTGCCTCAGTTTTGATGATGGTAATTTGCATATACTCCAGAATGTCATGAAGAGTGATCAGATGAATTGCAATTAATTGCAAAGTCCCTTTTTGCCATGAAAATGAACTTAATCCCCCAAAAACTTTTCCATTGCATTTCAGCCCTGCCACAAAAGGACCAGCTGCCATCATGTCAGGTGATTCTCTCATTAACACAGGTGAGAGTGTTGACGAGGACAAGGCTGGAGATCACTCTGTCATGCTGATTGAGTTAGAATAACAGACTGGAAGCTTTAAAAGGAGGGTGGTGCTTGAAATCATTGTTCTTCCTCTGTTAACCATGGTTACCTGCAAGGAAACATGTGCTGTCATCATTGCTTTGCACAAAAAGGGCTTCACAGGCAAGGATATTGCTGCTAGTAAGATTGCACCTAAATCAACCATTTATCGGATCATCAAGAACTTCAAGGAGAGAGGTTCAATTGTTGTGAAGAATGCGTCAGGGCGCCCAAGAAAGTCCAGCAAGTGTCAGGACCGTCTCCTAAAGTTGATTCAGCTGCGGGATCGGGGCACCACCAGTGCAGAGCTTGCTCAGGAATGGCAGCAGGCAGGTGTGAGTGCATCAGTGAGGCGAAGAATTTTGGAGGATGGCCTGGTGTCAAGAAGGGTAGCAAAGAAGCCACTTCTCTCCAGGAAAAACATCAGGGGCAGACTGATATTCTGCAAAAGGTACAGGGATTGGACTGCTGAAGTCTGGGGTAAAGTCATTTTCTCTGATGAATCCCCTTTCCCCAGCTGGTAGAGCACGGCGCTTGTAACGCCAAGGTAGTGGGTTCGATCTCCGGGACCACCCATACACAAAAAAATGTATGCACGCATGACTGTAAGTCGCTTTGGATAAAATTGTCTGCTAAATGGCATATTATATCCAGAAAACACATTGTCCGGAGAAGACAAGGTGAACGCTACCATCAGTCCTGTGTCATGCCAACAGTAAAGCATCCTGAGGCCATTCATGTGTGGGGTTGCTTCTCAGCCAAGGGAGTGGGCTCACTCACAATTTTGCCTAAGAACACAGCCATGAATAAAGAATGGTACCAACACATCCTCCCAGAGCAACTTCTCCCAACCATCCAAGAACAGTTTGGTGACGACGAATGCCTTTTCCAGCAAGATGGAGCACCTTGCCATAAGGCAAAAGTGATAACTAAGTGGCTCGGGGAACAAAACATTGACATTTTGGGTCCATGGCCAGGAAACTCCCCAGACTTTAATCCCATTGAGAACTTGTGGTCGATCCTCAAGAGGCGGGTGGACAAACAAAAACCCACAAATTCTGACAAACTCCAAGCATTGATTATGCAAGAATGGGCTGCCATCAGTCAGGATGTGGCCCAGAAGTTAATTGACAGCATGCCAGGGTGGATTGCAGAGGTCTTGAAAAAGAAGGGTCAACACTGCAAATATTGACTCTTTGCATAAACTTAATGGAATTGTCAATAAAAGCCTTTGACCCTTATGGAATGCTTGTAATTATACTTCAGTATACCATAGTAACATCTGACAAAAATATATCATAACAGCGAACTTTGTGAAGACCAATACTTGTGTCATTCTCAAAACTTTTGACCACGACTGTAGATATTGTGTAGAAGGGTCAGCATGTCCTCCATGTTGGCACCACATGTTCCATAACAGTAAGACTTTAGTTCACAACATGGAGCTCATTACATTTGAAAATGTCTAACTGAGTTTGCCATTATGATTTGAGTTTGTATGGCACTGCTATCAGTCCAACAATGACCTATAAAATAATTGTCTCAAACAGGCACGCATGCACAAACACTTGAGCACACACACACACATCCTGTCTGTGGAAAGTCTTGTTCTGAAGAAGACCACTCAGCAGAATGTGACTGGCTACAAGACGCCGACTTACAAATACCAATTTGTCAATATCCACCATGTTGTAACCATGTCCCTTCCCCAGACACTGGAGAACAACATCCTAGAAGTTGATAGTAGTTCCTAGAAGAGTTTGGGCCTGGGTCAAACACGTGTTTCAGCCAGGGAAGACTTTTAGGGCGACTCATTCTGTCCGCAAAACAGTCTTCACAGTGCGTTAAGTTGTACAATAGTTGGCTGTTTTGTAGACAGGTGATGTGACCCTTAGTAGCTCAAGATAGAGAGGTGAGGGTTTTAAGAGTCACAAACGCACACACTCAAACGTGCAAACGCACACAACAACAAAACCCACATTAAATTGGTGACTTGAAGGCAAGACCACTCTAAAACCGAAGCGGACAACCTGTGGTTGCGGTTGAATTCCCTCTGTCTCTGGCTCCTTTTTGGAAAGAGAATAAAACTGAAAACACAGACCCCTCCATTCAGTGTGATTTATCCGTATGGCCGAGCCCTCTTTACCAACTGCAAAGGCCCCCTTCCGGGGTGCCCAGCGGGATGCCTGAGAGTGGTGTGTGAACCTCCCCTGTCTCCTTTAGCTCAAAAGGAAGGGATGAACAATGGTCCTCGCTAGGCGCTCACTCTGAACAATCCCTCTCTTCTCTCTTTTTTTTCCTCTAGCTCTCCTTCTCTTTCTTAAAACAACCCCAAGCTAGAAAAGCCCCATATTACTCATTCCTCATACCTCACTCCATCAGAGTATCATAGTTAATAAAACTACTTCCTTTCCTACCACCACCCTCTCCCTTCTTTTTCTCACTCGGTATCGTTCCTCTCATTGTTTCTTTCTCCTCTCCCTCTTCCATATCCCTCTCTCTCACCTATGCCACCCTTTCCCCTCTCTACCCGCTCCCACTGCCTTTCGTTGGCAATAGCGAGGAAAACAGACTGAATCAAAAGGAGGAACAGCAGAATAGAGGAAGGGGAGACTATGAGAAAGCTGTGCCTCACATCTTTCTGGGTTCTCAGGACCCCAAATGACCCTCCTATTACCCAAATTGTCAGAAAGTGGTTGACCACCCCTCCCCCACAAGCTCCATCTGTCCCCCCGACCCGATCCTGTGAAAAGTCCTCTGTTGCCTCATGGGTTTGGACCGAGCGAACGAGTGAGTGATATTTTTGGGAACTATTAGCATAATTGTCATTGCTACTATAATGACATCAATGTTGATTTACGATGAGGCCCAATATGAAAACAATCAACTAGGCCTACAGCGTGGATGCAGAGCTGGCTGTATGGATCATGATGGTCTACAGTCACATCTCTCCCCCAGTGCAGGAGCTACTAGCGACCACACGCTGTCTGTGTGGAACGAGTAGCTAATTTGTTAGCATGGCGCTCTCCCAACCAGGCCAAGCCAGGAGACACAAAACCAAAAGCACCCACACACGGGCACAGGCACACACACACACACACACCTGTTAACCATTACTTGTTTAAATTCTCCCCTTATAACACTGCAATCCTCACTTGGCCCCTTCTGTTGAAGGCTCCGGAGAGAGTACAGTTTAGACACAGGAAGTTACCACTGGAGGCCATTTTGTCCATTCACCGCTGGCTCCTACAGAGCTATTGAGCATTCACTCCGCACCTCCACGTCCCCGACAGGCGCAACAAAAAGCATTTTAACGAAAACCCTCCCTGTGGTTCCCACACTATTTCACCTGTCAAACACTCACAAAACAGGAGGGGAATGCCAAACGCTCCTCTGGGGCACCTCAAGCGCACCTCCCGCCAGCCCGGGACCAATAGAGACATTGTGGTTCCTCTTTCAGACCAGGGACACTATATCTTTGGACCGCCATACCTCCCTTTTCTCCAGGGTCCAAACGGCAAGGCCTGAAAGGGGCAAACGTTCTTTAGCACCGCTGTGAAGAGCATGACCACAACTGGCAGGAGGTTGGGGGGGGGGGGGGGGGGAGTTGGTGGGAAGCAGTTCTTTCCAAATAGAACAGGATGAAAGAATAAGAGGAGTCTTCTGGAAAGAGGGATAGAATAGCTTTAGTGGGCAAACAATCGAAATACAGGAATGCCCATTTAAGACGGGAGAGAGATTGTGAAAAAGGAGGGCGCAATTCAGGAGATCTCCGCTGTTAAGACAGTTCAGTAACCCCCTGAAAAGTCCAGGTCTGTCACAGATGCTGTGTGTGATCATTCCTTTAATCCTATAGAGCTTCAAAGCATTTAGAGCTACCTGGAAATACATCCCTAAAACACAGCATTGACTTTAGAGAGCCATTTTCACAGAATCTCAGTGCAATCAGTACTAAAATAGAGGTTATAATTTGTTCTGTTTGTCCGTCAACTAGGGTTGGGCGATGTCAATCTTTGTCCTATTGTGATTATGTACCAATAAAACATTGTGATATACGATGGTGTTGCCACCTATTATTGGCCAACCACCAAGAAAAGTTATATAAAAAAAACAGCTAAAATGATCGTTGGGCTATAGGCGAAATCGAATGCTACAACTGGACGAATCATGATGAAAGATAATGTTGTTGAAAGCCGGGGAGAGGCCAAGTGCAGGCAAATATTTTCTAATATTACTTTCTGGTGGAGGAGCTTCGGCATGGAACAGGTTTGTGTGTGTGTGTGTGTGTGTGTGTGTGTGTGTGTGTGTGTGTGTGACAGTCAGTTTGATGAGGAACAGGCTGTTTTACCATTTAGTGAATTAGCCTACATCATGGGCTGGATAGAAGCAGTCAAATGTCTTCAGAAATTGATAATAATTGCTTTATTCACTTCATAAAATAATAATAAATAAATCTCTCATCTGTTCGATCTCTCATAAAGCTGTGATTGAGAATAGCCAATGCCTAGGTTTATGCTATAAAATCAAATCAAATCAACTGTTATGTGTCACATGCTTGTTATTTTTGAAAGCAGCAACTTTAGGACACCACTTTCAATATTTGGGAAATAAACTACTGTTCATAACTTTAACTTGTATTAAAGCTTTTATGATATGCCTAGTAAGAGGATAGGTTATTGTACATTTGGTTTTCAACCTTGCATGGAAGGATTTTCTGGCCGACATGGATAATTATTTCTTAATAAGCTTAAACTTGTAATTAGATTTTCTATAGGCTATTGATATTGTTTGTTCACTCATTATTAGACCCTTCGCTACCTTATGTTTTTAGGCTCTATAAACAACTTTTTGAGATGGAACTTTACATTCATTGTTTGATCGGGAGAAAGCCATGCATAAAACTATGAAAGCGTAGCCTATTGCCCAAAGTCATCCTCACAGCCTATCGAATGGAGAGAATGGAGTAAATATAAGCTACCTTTTTTTAGTTAGTTATAGTTAAGGAGTGTCCATTATAAAAAAAGGTTTAGACTATAGCCTAAGGCTATTGTAATTTCACCCAACTTATTTGATATCTTGAACAGCTAACTTAAAAAATATGTGTATTTGTTGCACCTTGCACTTAAAGGGAAACTTCACCGCTAGACAGTATTTGGGGTGTATTTCCAGTCTCTCTACATAATTATGTGTGATGAGAGGGTGTTTCAGACATAATTATGCACTATAGCTGTATTTTAGAATTTTTGCATTGGGAGAGTTGAGCCTGCTGTCCAGTGTTATGTTCGAGACCACCTAAAGCGAGACCGATTCAAGACCAAGACCGGAGCAAATAGAGTCTGAGTCAAGACCAAGACCGGAGGGGTACAACGGGTCCGAGACAGAGTCAAGACCGAGACCAGAAAAATGTGAGTCCAATTCAAGACCATGATTGTACATTTTGTCAAATCACCACCATAATAAGAGTTCAGGCCTTCTACACCTTCAGAGAAGGGCTAAGGATTTATAAAATAATAATTATAATATTATCATTATTATTATTATTATTTTAATTGATGTTCTGATTTAATCTCTTCAGTTTTTGTTGGAAAGGAAAGATATAAAGAATTTAAATATCCAATCAGGATTTTTCTTTGCTGGTTTCTAGGGAGATGAACTAGCTAAGTCAGTCGTGTGTATGTTATTGTGTGTGTCTGTATGCATGTGTCTGTGCCTATGTTTGTGTTTGCTTCACAGTCCCCGCTGTTCCATAAGGTGTTTTTTTAATCTGTTTTTTTTTAAATCTAATTTTACTACTTGCATCAGTTACTTGATGTGGAATAGAGTTCAAGGTAGTCATGGCTCTATGTAGTACTGTGCGCCTCCCATAGTCTGTTCTGGACTTGGCGACTGTGAAGAGACCTCTGGTGGTATGTCTTGTGGGGTATGCATGGGTGTCCGAACTGTGCGCCAGTAGTTCAAACAGACAGCTTGGTGCATTCAACATGTCAATACCGCTCATAAATACAAGTAGTGATGAAGTCAATCTCTCCTCCACTTTGAGCCATGAGAGATTGACATGCATATTATTAATATTAGCTCTCTGTGTACATCCAAGGGCCAGCCATGCTGCCCTGTTCTGAGCCAATTGCAATTTTCCTAAGTCCTTTTTTGTGCCACCTGACCACACGACTGAACAGTAGTCCAGATGTGACAAAACTAGGGCCTGCCTTGTTGATAGTGCTGTTAAGAAGGTAGAGTAGCGGTTTATTATGGACAGACTTCTCCCCATCTTAGCTACTGTTGTATCAATATGTTTTGACCATGACAGTTTACAATCCAGGGTTACTCCAAGCAGTTTAGTCACCTCAACTTGCTCGATTTCTACATTATTTATTAAAATATTTAGTTGAGGTTTAGGGTTTAGTTAATGATTTGTCCCAAATACAATGCTTTTAGTTATAGAAATATTTAGGACTAACTTATTCCTTGCCACCCACTCTGAAATTAACTGCAACTCTTTGTTAAGTGTTGCAGTCATTTCAGTCGCTGTAGTAGCTGACATGTATAGTGTTGAGTAATCCGTATACATAGACATTCTGGCTTTACTCAAAGCCAGTGGCATGTCATTAGTAAAGATGGAAAAAAGTAATGGTCATAGACAGCTGTCCTGGGGAATTCCTGATTCTACCTGGATTATATTGGAGAGGCTTCCATTAAAAGAACACCCTCTGTGTTCTGTTAGACAGGTAACTCTGTATCCACAATATAGCAGGGGGAATAAAGCCATAACACATATGTTTTCCCAGAAACAGACTATGATCGATAATGTCAAAAGCCGCACTGAAGTCTAACAAAACAGCCCCCACAATCTGTTTATCATCAATTTCTCTCATCCAATAATCAGTCATTGTGTAAGTGCTGTGCTTGTTGAATGTACTTCTATATAAGCATTCTAAAAGTTTGTTGTCAATTTGTTTACTGTAAAATAGCACTGTATCTGGTCAAATACAATTTTTTCCCCAAAAAAGTTTACTAAGGGTTGGTAACAGGCTGATTGGCCGGCAATTTGAGCCAGTAAAGGGGGATTTACTATTCTTAGGTAGTGGAATGACTTTTGCTTCCCTCCAGGCCTGGGGGCACACACTTCTAGAAGGCTTAAATTGAAAATATGGCAATATAGTCTGCTATTATCCTCAGTAATTTTCCATCCAAGTTGTCAGACCCCAGCGGCTTGTCATTGTTGACAGACAATAATATTTTCACCTCTTCCACACTCACTTTACTGATTTGTTGTTGTTGTTGTTGCAATACACACACAATAGCCCATAATAACAAAGCAAAAACAGGTTTTTTGACATTTTGGCAAATTTATAAAAATTTTTTAAACAGAAATACCGTAAGTATTCAGAGATTAAATTGAGCTCAGGTACATCCTGTTTCCATTGATCATCCTTAAGATATTTCTACAACTTGATTGGAGTCCACCTGCTGTAAATTAAATTGATTGGACATGATTTGGAAAGTCACACACCTGTCTATATAAGGTCACACAGTTGACAGTGTATGTCAGATCAAAAACCAAGCCATGAGGTCGAAGGAATTGTCCGTAGAGCTCTGAGACAGTATTGTGTCGAGGCACAGATCTGGGGAAGGGTATCAAAACATTTCTGCAGCTTTGAAGGTCCCCAAGATCACAGTGGCTTCTATCATTCTTAAATGGAAGGAGTTTGGAACCACCAAAACTCTTCCTAGAGCTGGCTGCCTGGCCAAACTGAGCAATCGGGGGAGAAGGGCCTTGGTCAGGGAGGTGCCCAAGAACCCGATGGTCACTCTGACAGAGCTCTAGAGTTCCTCTGTTGAGATGGGAGAACCTTCCAGAAGGACAACCATCTCTGCAGCACTCCACCAATCAGGCCTTCATGGTGGAGTGGCCAGATGGAAGTCCCTCCTCAGTAAAAGGCACATGACAGCCCACTTGGAGTTTGCCAAAAGGTACCTAAAGGACTCTCAGACCATGAGAAACAAGATTCTCTGGTCTGATGAAACCAAGATTGAGCACTTTGGCCTGAATGCCAAGCGTCACGTCTGGAGGAAACATGGCACCATCCCTACGATGAAGCATGGTGATGGCAGCATCATGCTGTGGGGATGTTTTTCAGCAGTAGGGACTGGGAGACTAGTCAGGATCGAGGCAAAGATGAACAGAGCAAAGTACAGAGAGATCCTTGATGAAAACCTGCTCTAC